ATAATGTGTGAGCTTATATGTGCCATATATATTTACATGGTTCTTTCTATATATGTATGTGTTTAATTGTTTCTTTATCTATTGAGATATCCACTGAGCATTATTTGCTCAGCGAGTTACCTGTTTAACTCCTGTTTAACTCGCAGATTTTGAGATTGGTCCATAGAGAGTCGGCTTACAACTGCTGCAGTTCATCTATAGAAGACTCAGTCTTCAGGGTAGCTACTCATTGGATGTGTATTTTTTTTTCTACCCTTTTTATGGCATGTACAGGGCACACAGTTGGGCCCATTTCATTTTGTAAACTAGTATCATGTTTTGTAAATTTAAAAATTACATTATTTTTGTAAACAACATCAGCATGATATTATATTCAATATACATTATGACTTCAGCAATATACATTATGACTTCAGCATGTCAAGCCATACAGTCAACCAGCTTGTAACGTCTCGACTCGGTTTATTCGGGTTTACGGGTGGACCGGGAAGGGGTGTTACAATAGCATCGCCAAATTATATAATATTTTGCGGTAGGTAAATGCAAATTGGTAGTGATTTTATATAATTAATCAATAATAAAATTATATTTTTTATTAAAGGAAGAAATAGAAACATCCATTTTTATTAAAAAAATTCATTATGTATATAAAGTGCAGTATTAATTAATCCTTGTATTCATTTGAATCTAAATAAAAATTTATATTTTAATATTATATAAATAACAAAATTAAATGAGTAAACGTGCAATGCACATCATAAAAGAATTAGTATATACAAAATGTAGTCTTCAATAAAAATCTTCAATTTTAGATGCTATCAATTCATGCGGTGAATGTGGATGTAGCTCAAACAAATGATCTTCAATTATCCTCGCTTCGTAATATTAATATATTATTGCAATTTAGTTTATTCTACTTATAATCATATATACAAAATGTAGTCTTCGATAAAAAAAAAATAAAAATTAGAGACTCTTAACTCGTGCGGTGAATGTAAATTGAACAAATGACCTTCAAATCTTCAACCTAACTTTCTCCCTAGTAAGCTACCCCCACTTAGTAATATTAATATATTATTGTAATTTAGTTTATTCTACTTGTAATCATAAACAGAAAATGTAGTCTTCGATAAAAAAAAATTTAGAGGCTATTAATTTGTATGGTGAATGTGGATCAAACAAATGGCCTTCAGATCTTCAGTCTAACACTCTCCTAACTAAGCTATGCTCAATTGTTAATATTAATATATTATTGTACTTTACTTTGTTCTACTTGTACTTATATATACAAAAAATGCAGTCCGTGATAAAAAAAAAAAAAAAATTAGAGGCTGTTAATTTGTGCAGTGAACATGGATCAAACACGTGACCATCAGATCTTTAGTCTGATACTCTCCCAATTGAGTTTCCGGTGAACATGGTTCAAACACAGAACCCATGACCTTTGATTTTTAGTCTGACGCTCTCCCAATTGAACTATCCCCTTGATAACATTAATATATTATTGTAATTTATTTTATTTTACTTATAATCATATATACATTCTTCGATAAAAAAATAATCTTCAATTTTAAAGGCTATCAATTCATGCGGTCAATGTGGATCAAACACGTGACTTCAAATCTGACGCTTTCTCAGCTAAGCTATCCCTACCCGTTAATATTAATATAGTATTGTAATATATTTTATTCTACTTATAATCATATATACAAAATGTAATCTTTGATTAAAAAAAAAAATGTTCAATTTAGAGACTATCAATTCATGCAGTGAACGTGGATCAGACACTTAACTCTCTCCAAAAAAACTATTCCCGCTAATTAATATTAATATATTATTATAATTTATTTTATTCTACCTATAACATATTAATCACATGGTTTTTTTTTTTTTTTTTTTTTACCTATAACATATTAAACTCACATGGTTTTTTTTTTTTTTTTTTTAGAGAAATGAATCAACGTGATTCAACGAATAATATGTAAGTATTTATTTATTTTTTATTTTTGAGAATACGAAGGTAATTTATTTTAAATTTTTTTTTTTTTTTTTTTAGAGAATGAATCACGTGATTAACAATAATATGTAAGTATTTATTTATTTATTTATTTTTGAGAATACGAAGGTATTTATTTTAAATACCATTAAGTAAGGTGGAACAATTTGCCTAATTAGAGATCATAACGAATTATCCAAAATCAAATGCGCGCCTCGCGGCAATGGAGAAATGCGTAGTATTCAATTAATATACTAATTAACATTATTGAGACACGTGGCAGTGGACTTTAAATTACATTTGACTTTATGAGTGAATCAAAAATTTTCAACATTTTTTATTTTTTTTTAATGAAAAAAATTATGATATCATAGCATCATTGCTAATGAGAAATCTTAAATTGTCAAGTGCTTGGTTAAATAGTTTGTACATTATGTCACCGTCTTTTTTTTTTCAATAAAATCATTTAATTTTACGGTCAAAAATTAGCACAATTGGATTAGTGAATTTTCTCTCCTCTATCTTATATATCGAAAGTAATAATTTTAATTTTTTAATATATGTGATTGTTGAACTCATTTTGTGATTTGTTAGATTTGGGCTTTGAAATTTGAGTTTAGACTTAAATTTTTAATTAATTTATATCCAATTAATATTGTTTTTATGTAATTAATTAAAAAGAAATAGATAAAGAAAAGTGATCTATAGTTCAACAAGAAAAGCACTTTTCAAGCTCATTTCGTATGCAGTTGTTCGCAGGTACAGAAGGTGGGGGATCAAGAGAGCCAATGAAGGGAACGTAGATGCATGTAGAGCTTATAAATGGAGCAAAGGAATAAAGTAGATGCATCCAACCAAAATCCAACTAAATTCTTTGATAAATTCAATAAAACTCTCCAACGAGCCAATTAGTTTAATTTTCAAAGCATCGTCTTCTGTAATTACAAACTCTCTTTTCAATAGAAGCAACCAATTTACATTTCAAGCGATCAAATTCCCTTTAATTTTCAAGCAATTAAGCTCTTTTTACAAACTCACCGATCAATTCATTGGACAATCAATGAAACGTATACCGTAGATTCAAACTCACAATCTAGAAGTCAGATCAAAAGAGATATTATTTTTCAATTGGTGTACTTTACACACCTGGCACACTCATATTTCCCAATTCAAGCTGTTATCTAGCGGATTCATTGTTATTTCCCATAAAGAACCAACAATGATGAACATGAAAAATGTGACTTCAAGTTACTTAGGAAAAAATTTTAACTTTTTTCTTTGTTCTCTTGTTTAAGGGTGAGCAAAGTTCAGATAAATTCAGTTCTGTAGATATTTATTGCGGTTTTGATTCGAAATTTTAGAAAATTTCAATTTTGATTTACAACATATGTGATTTTAGCCTTAAACGAATTGGAAATAACCAAATTGAAGAGTTTGATTCAATTCTAAACAAACTTCAACGCGGTTTCAATTCTAAACAAATTTGTTCTTAATACTTGATTTTACTATTTAAAGATTATGTGTAATTATACAAATGAAAAGAAAACATATGACCAACAAATATTTTTCTTGATAAATTTTTATATATAAAGAAAAAAGTTCATATTAATTAACAAATATTAATTAATGGCTCATCTTCCACATAGTACTAATTTTTGAAAAGTCAAAAATTTTGTTAGAATCAATTAATGAATGAATGAAACCAAAATGAAAGCAAACTAAAGTGTGGTGTCTGTGTCAGATATTCCCATTATGTCATGTGTCCCTTCTAAACAATTCAATCTACATACCCATCACTTCAAATTTTATTTTTAAAATTTTGGAAATTCTTATAAGTTTAATCATTTAGAAATTCAAAATCCAATAATTTAAATTACAATTAGGGAGAAAAAAAAATAAATGTCTCTAGAGATTTTTTATTTTCTAAAAAAATGGTTTTTTTTTGTCATTTTATATGTATGGACAATAATTTTTCTTTTGCAATAATTATTCATGACTTTTTAAAAATTATAAATAATTCTCATAGCTAATCGAGAATGATTTGGTTAGTTTTTTTCATTAATATAGAGTATTTAAGGTCTAATATTCGACTAGAAAAATTTTCATCAATTTCGTAAGTTAAAAGGAAAATTATCCATGTTATATAACTCACAGGTTATTTCGGATTACTAAACATTTTGACGAATAAAAAGAAAACATAATAAAATAATATGAAAAATAAATAATTTGATACTGATGAAGAGATTAACCTGATTCCTTTTCAAAAAATCAAATCAACACAACTATTAATTGATATGAAGGTGTTGAAAAATTAAATTAGGCATCTCCATGGCAAATTGTTGTTGGTATGTTTTCTTTTACTAGATCAATTTAATTAGTATGAATGTATAAATTATTCCAAAAAGGTTGGGAGCAGCTTTCTTTTTTACTAATTTATACCTTTTTGTTTTACTTGTTCATATTTAAACAGACACAATGAACTCAATAAAGGACAAATTCAATTTATAACATTAAAATTTCCAAATGAAAAAGGTTGTAAGAATTTCAACTCTTAACAATATATATATAAACAGATTCATCAAGAAAGGAAGAGCAATAAGGAAGGAAGAAAATCCACCAAAACATGCACAAACAAATAAGAAAATCAGATTTTCTCGAGAAAAAGAACAATAGAGATTGAAGAAATAATGAGATTTCTTAATGGATGGATAAGGAAAATTAGAGTTAGGTAAAACTAATACCCGTTGTGGCTAAACAGGAATCTATTCCTTCTCCTTCTACAGGCAAGTCCGAAAAAGTAACGAAGAGGGTATTATTGTAATTACGGAACCCATGCCATTCATGTAATTTAAATAATATTTTAGGGGCAATTGTTTAACTCAGTCTCTATAAATATAGACCAAACCTTTCTCAATTTCATTCCTAAATTTCTCTCTCCTATTCCTCTCTCTTTAAAACTCTCTCTCTTTTCTCCCTTTTTATAAAACAATCTCAGATTCTCGTTGTCACTGTAATTTTTTTTGTTTTTGAGGTTTTATTTTCTTATTCTCCTCGAATTTTTTTACCTTTTTTTTTACTTTTTCGTACCGACAATTTTTTGTTTTTTACTTTTTACTGGAGAGACCGTTCGTTGAGAAGTGAATTTATTTAATATTTATTAGCTTTCCTTTTTTTATTTTTTTTGTTTCTCCTCTTGGTTGTTTGTCTTTCGCAATTTCTGGATTGGATTTGAGTGCCGACGTGGCATGCATCAATACGTTATAAATGAATACCAAAACGATGCGTTTACCTCCTCGTCGCTTTCTGACGTCAAATAAACGGAAAGAGAGGGAGGGTTTTGATTCTCTGAAGCCGTCTCCACCGCCACCACCTGCACCACCAACAAAATTACCCAAGCCGACAATAAATCGACTGGACTCAGGAATCCTCCCTGAGCCGGCTCCGTCTAATCAGCTCCTTGCCGGTTATTTGGCCCACGAATATCTCACTAAAGGCACACTCTTTGGTCAACCGTGGGCCCCGTCTCGAGCCGAAGCGGTTCCTGTATCGGCTGGTTTTGTGGAGTCGAAGAAGATAAAAGCGAGTCAGAAAGCCAAGGAAGCCGAGCCGAATAGCAACAAGGAAACTTATGAAAGGTACGTGGATGTGTCATGTTTGTTGAAGGCTGGAGGGGCCCACTTACCTGGCGTTGTGAACCCAAGCCAGCTCGCTCGCTTCTTATAGATGTGACGTGACACGTGGATCAAAGCCATTGGCTTTTCCATTTTTGAATTTGTTTTTGAGGTTATCGAGGTGTATGGTGTGAGAGAGAATCTCTCTTTGTAGAAATGGGGAAAATTAAGAATAGTTAGGGATTTTGACATTTTGCGCTGTATCTATCTGCATGTATTTAGATCTGATCTTCAGTATATATTTCATGGAAATTTCTATTTTCTTTTTTTTTTATTATATATAATTATTCGTAGATTTTGATTTTGAAGCTGAAATGAAAATTTATGCACGTGAGAATTGTGAATAGATTAGTTATTAATATGCAATTAAATTATACATTGTATGTTTGTTCACTGATTATTCATTTGAAATATTTAAAATTACATTATACATTGTTTTTTTATTTTTTTTGAAAAGGACATTATACATTGTTAGTATGTATTTAATTGCTTATATTTATGGATTATGATAATTGTAACCAGATTTCATATTAATAAAACATACTTGTCATATGTTTTATTTTCGGAAAAATATATGGAAATATATGACAACATACTAATATTATGAACTCATAACAAACATTCCAAAACCAACCACAAGTCGGGTAGTTGGCAAAAGTTTTAATATTTTAAATATTGGTAGAAATGTGACTATTATAATATAGTAATTTGGATATTTAAAATAATATTTAGTGATCTACCGTTAATTTTTACATAAAGATTCGAGAAGTAATTGGTCACGAGTCATTTTTAGTGCAACCGTTATAATATTAAATCCTCTTATTATATTATATTATTATGTTGTATTAGGCTATATCTTTTTATTTTGTGCGAACCACCGATATTTGGACTCTTAGTCACAGTTAAAGTTATCGTTTTTCTTTGTAAATGTGCTTAATGGAGATCAACCCGAGAACTATGCCCAGCCTACGTTGCTGATAGAGTTACAAGCCAAAGTTAAAAGCTAAATTTTTTATTTTTTCAATTAGAGCATATATATTTGGGCAAATTATATATACTAAACTCATAATTCCATAAATTTGGGATCACTTATTTTATCAATATATATGATAGAGTTACAAGCCAAAGTTAAAAGTCTAAATTTTTTATTTTTTTCAAATTAGAGCAATATAATATGTTGGGCAAATTATATATATCTAAAACTCATAATTCGCATAAATTTGGGATCACTTATTTTAATCAATATATAGTATATATATATTATATATATTATATATAATCAAAATGTTTAATTTTTTCAAATCGTAAAATGTAAAGATTTTTTGATCTTCCAATAAAATACGCTTTCAAGACTTTAAAATGTTTTGGCAAGCCATGGCCCTTGCCTTTTTGTATTGTTATCAGCATAGAAATAATTATTGATTGATTGGTTTTCTTTTTACTTTTTAAATTTGTGAAAATCTTTGTGGTCGAAAGACCTTTCACTTGTTACACGAGTGAAAAGACTAATTAAACCGCATTTTACCTAATTGGCTTCTCACAAAATACTTTTTTTAGGGAATCTTCTAACAAATATTTTAATCCTTCATGTGAATATCTAAATAAATAAAAAGGGCACAAAAAAAGAAAAAGAGAAACAAAATTATAAATAGAAAAATGTAATTAAACAAAATTATACACACTGCAAATTTTTTTTTTTTAGATACAAGCATAGCAAGAGATTTCAAGTTACAATCTCTCCAACTAAAATAATTTTTATTGATTGGTTAAAATTATTCTAAATAGAAAAAATTTTTACACTCTGTAATTCAAAATATTAGTCTAACCTATTTAAGCTTCCATGAATAAAAACACTTCATGTGCTTCTTTAATTAAACTGGCGAACCCGAATATTGACTTCTAAGATTATTATTTATTTTTTAAATTAGAAAATTCATTTTCAAAGGAATTGATAGAAAATGCTATATGCAGAGAAATTCCAATAAAAGTGTAGTTAGACACGATAACTTTCCAAAAAAAATCCAAATGCTCAAATGGTGGAGATTCCATAGGATATTGGGAATCTGTTGGGGACCATCATAATTCAAAAGCCGCAAACATTTGCAACACTGGCAATATGACACGTAAGCAAATTACTTATCTAACAAAGAAAAAAAAAAAAAATCCAGTTTTTCAATTTCTAAGAAAATTAGATTTTGTTCATTGCTTAAGAGTAAACACAATATTAAACAAATGTGAACAAATTATCATATTTTATATTGACATAATTTTAAAATCTAAATATACAGACAACCTTAATAAAACAATAAAAATCTTTACTTTATAAAAGAATTGCATGACAAAAATATATAAATAATTATAATTAGTAATTTTAAAATATTTTTATTTTATTTCAATTCTCGTTAAGTTTTAGATTATAATAATATATTTCATTTAAATAACAGATTCATAAAATATTTAGTTTCAGTTTAGTTTAATCATGTTGTATGGCAACTTGAATGAAATTGTTTAGGCCCTTATGCTCATAAGCCAACTTGAACCGCATGGACCCAGACGAAATCGATCCGGGATGGGGTGGAGATGGGAAGAGTGGGAGCAGGATAAGAAAACGATGTCGTTAAAGTATAGTAGCCAGCAAGAGAACTGTACCATAAACGGGGCCGTATTATCCGGATAAGAAAGGGTTTTGGGTTTTGCACTTTTGCTCACTGGCGCGTCCATCAGCATATCTCTCTCTCGCTCTTTCTTTCATTCGCTTTCTTTGCCTTTTCGAAAGTTAATGGTTTTGTTCGTTTGATTTTGCTTTACAATAGGAGAATCCAATTACTCAGGCGTTCTTCGACCGGTATAAAACAGCCAACTTTTCCACAAAGAAAGACGTATTGATAATTTTGGAGGTGAAGTGACTGTGAGTTTAACTATTGCACCTTAGCTGGGAATTTTTTCTTTTGGCATTTAAATTGGATATTATTGCTAATAATATGTAATCCATTCGTTCTTCCTAGATATTGCATTGTCCTTTTAGTAAACAATTCTAAAAATTTAGTTTAATGGGTCCGTGTGTTTAGTTTTCAGTTTGATATTACAGCAGAATTGGAATTGTTGTTTTTACTATTTAGTTTAATTTCTTATTGAATTTTCTTTTTGTTGATTGTTTCTTTTTTTAATAGGAATTGACTGAAGATTACATGCTATGTGGGATGGAGACTAGAATCATCACCCGAGAATAAATTTTTACTGCTTTATGATAACTTTTGAATAGTGAAAGCAGCAAAGGATATTGAATTGCTTATGGCATATGAGTTTCCTTCGTTTTTAAAGATAAATTTCTTCTATCTTTGAGTTTCTCTGTTAATGTAGGTTTTGTATTCCCTGCATAAATACATTTCTGCATTGTTGATCAATATCTGCCTGTGAGTTGAGAAAAATGTTTTCCCTGCAAACAATTACTATGCCAAAATCCTTTTCACCTCTTTGTTCCATAAATGCTGAGCCTAATTGGTTTTTCTTTTCTTCAATTTATCCTCAAATTCCTGCTTGTAATCTTGCTTTAAGTACTTATAGTCATTTGAAATATGGGTTGCCCTCTTTGACACCCTGTGGACACAGTATAAAACTTTTTCCTTGCTTTGCTGCTTCAATGAATCCTGATTCAGAGCCTGACCCTCAAACTAACTCCAAGCCAAAAGCAAAACATAAAACAAGAACTCGTCGTCTGAAAGCTGTAGATGCTCAAAATGAAGATGAAAAACCTGGAAAAATCTTCCCAACAACCATTCCACGCAAGCAAAGGCGTGGTCGTAGGAGTGAAGCTGTTGCAGTTGAAGATTTTGTACGTAAATCACTTGAGCAAACATTTTCATCAATCCGACAACAGAATCCAAAACTTTTAGAGAACTATGAAAATATAATGAAGGATAAAGTTAATGATGAGGATTCTGAAATCAGTGATGATGAAGATGAAGATGATGATGACAGTGATGAATATGAAGATACACATGAAGTTGGTAGAGGAAAAGGAAAGAAAAAGAAAATGGTGGTTAAGGAGGAAGACCCAAATTGGCCATTGGATGCTGATGTGGGCTGGGGAATTAGAGCATCAGAGTATTTTGAGAAGCACCCAATTAAAAATGTTGTGGGAGAAGATGGATTGAAAATTGACTGGGAAGGGGAGACAGATGATACCTGGGTGAAAGAGATTAATTGTCTTGAGTGGGAGAGCTTTGCTTTTCATCCTAGCCCACTAATTGTTCTTGTTTTTGAGAGATATAACAGGTAACTATATTTTATTATCTGGTACTTACTGATACTAAAAGCATTTCATATAATTTAGAGCACAAATATTGTTGTTAAAGGTGTGATAATGCTTTTAGGGTCCTATGATGAGTGTTTGTTATTTGATAAGCAAAATGAATTAACAACTAGATCTAAATGTATGTTGAGAGACATAAAATCAAAATGCCAAAGATTGTTGCTTGTTTTTAATATCTGCAGCTTCTGTAATTTAAGATATCAAATGAAAGCCCTTTATTGTTGTTTCTCTCATTTATATGCGCCTTGCCGTCTTCAATTATTGATCGAGTTCAAATTGTAGAGTAAAACCAGTTTCTGACCTAGGAAAAGATATTTACTTTACTGCATTATATCTTCACAATACAATTTTTGTAAGAGGCTGAAACCTCCTCTTTCAGATATGGAGATTCATGAACTTTGCATCTTAGCTTGAAATGTGCAGATAGTTTTTATGTTTTTGTGGAACTTTATACCATGCATATGGTGCTGATTACTGAGAAACACAATGTAACCAATGGTTAGTTACCATGTGAATTGGAGTAGAGTATTGAATGAGCATGAATGGATAATTAATACAAAGCTAAAACTTTTGTGTTTAGGGCAACTGTTAACTGGAACACTTTGAAAGAGCTAGAGAAGGCAGCCAAAGTGTATTGGAGTGCAAAGGATCGACTGCCTCCTCGGGTATATTAGACTTCTCATTTTTTCAGTTTAAATTTGTAAACTTCATTTTAGACTTCTATTTGTTTGACTGAAGTTCATTGTGATTAAGTTTTGTATTTTGCTGACCCTCTAATCAATGAGGGAAGAAATCTGTTTTCTGTTGTTTCTGTATCTCGAATCCTTGATCAACACTAGAAAATATTAAATGCTGTTTTAGGATCTACCTAACCAAATGCTTTCTTTTTCATACGGATTTTTTTACCGTTAAATTTTGGGATTCAATTTTATTTAGTCTCTTTTGCTTGTTCCAAAATTTATGGCAAACTACTAGTGCATAAATGTAATTACCATGTATCTTATTAAATTGTTGAGGCATTGATAAGCTGACAGACATATCGATATTGGATTTTTTTGGAATCAGACGGTGAAGATAGACATCAATATTGAAAGAGATTTGGCATATGCTCTTAAAGTTAAAGAATGCCCTCAACTTTTATTTTTACGAGGAAACAGGATCATTTATAGGGAGAGAGGTGAGACATAATATTCTCTTTACACAGATACAAGAAGCATGGTTTTGTTCAATTGCTTCCATCACATAATATATCCTAATTTTTTCTTTCAATATTATAATGAAACAACTGGCTTTGCAGAGTTCCGAACTGCGGATGAGTTGGTCCAGATGATTGCACATTTCTACTACAATGCTAAGAAGCCTTCTTGCGTTCAATGATGCAGCCCTATGTTCCCCTTATTAATTTTTCAGGTACGCAAATATAACCTGCAGTTAGAGAATATCAACCTTCTTGCAAGTTCATTGTTTTACATCATCCTTGTTCTTAAAATAGTACCTAGCTGATGCAGGTAAAGCATGACAGATCTCATTGTTCTTTAGCTCTTAATAATGTTAGTTTTACTCAATTATATTTTCATTGAAGAGTTCATGTAAATTATGCAATATGTATTAGTTGAATTGTTCATGTTACAGTTTTGCAATTTGTATTTATGAAATATTCTTCTGATTTTCACATAGGAAAATAACTTACTCTACTCTTGACCTTGACCCTGTTCTGAATGGTGTGATTTTTTATAATAAATAATTTATATATCAAATATGGTAATAATATATCAAAATATGGTAAATATTTAGGGTCTGTTGGACAATATTTATGCAGGGGATTGAGAAATCCATGTGATATCTTGGGGATAATAATAAATCTCTTGCTAATTATGTCTAGATATTGCTGATTTTGTTAGATATAGTTTCAAGCCAGTTCAAAAACAATATGGGTTACCATTTATAATTTATAATTAATCGTTTGTTGAGCTTTAATAATCGTGAGTGGACCTGGAGCTGATTTGGTGGGGAGTAATATAGTGCCCAAATTAGCTGACAAAATAAGCTTCCTGGACCTATAAACAAAAAATTTAACTGGCGGATTTTGCTATTTAGATTGTTGTGAAGAGATGGCAAAACTAACCTCCTACCTTTTCCTTGTCCTCCTCCTCATTGCAGCAGGTAAAAATCTCCTCTTGCTTTTATGTTCGGTCTGCAATTTTTTGCTTTAGGTGCATTGTTTATCTAGATTTAAACTGGGTTATGCATGGAGTATTCACAGTGTTGTTAATCCAAATGTTCACTGCTGCTGTCTTTTAGCAAGAAAATGAAAGAATTTTGGTTTTTTTGTGGCAGCTGAAGATGGACTGTGTCAGGGAGGAGAGCCTTTCGAGTGTATAATTAGCTGGGATTGCCAAGATAACGAAAGTTGCAAGAAGGAATGCAGCACCAAGTACCCCCGAGGTCGGGGATTCTGCTCCGGTGACCCTAAAGTCTGTTTATGCGCCTATGCCTGCCCTCCTCCTCCTCCTCCTCATTGATTTGTATATGTAAGAGAGTGGAATGCAAAAAAATTGTAATGCTTCGAATAAATGTTAAAGAAAACTTATAATAACATATTGCAAAATTTATGTTGGTGCGACCTGTATTCATTTTACAGCGTATATCAAAATAGATGAGTATAAATTATTTCTTAGAAAAAAAAAACAAATTACTATATTTTATCATTCCAAAAATTCAGGAAACTATATTTCCTTCCCTTAAAATTAAAAAATTACTTCTGTTGCCTAAACTTTATTTTTTATTTTGCCCCCTGCAATCACTGTTCATTGATCATAATTGTAATGATAATTTAACAATAATCAATGGATTAATAGCATACAACCAATCAATTCATTAGAAGATTAATAGATGTTCTCTTATTCGTTATAAATTAGTTATAAGGTTTGAAAAATAATTTTTTATTTCATTTAATTGAAAAATTATTTTCCATCACGCTCCAATCCTGATAAGCCAAACGTCGAATATATATAACAAGGAATATACGGAAGTAGAGAGAATAATTAGAAGAATAGGAGGGGCGCCTAATCATAAATACATAAAATGTTGGGGTTGCAAATGAAATAAGCCAAGTGAAAAATCCACGCTAGGGTCCGTCTTCTTTTTTGTTCTTGACCCGATCGCTTCTGATTCCGGTAGCTCTCTCCTATTTCTCTCTCCCTCCCTCTCTCTCGTTCTCTATAACATTTCCGTATCTAGGGTTGAAGTTTCTCTCTGTTAAGAAGAACAATGAGAGGATTGCTAAACAAACTAGTTTCTCGCTCCCTCTCTGTCGCCGGAAAATGGCAGCAGCAGCAACTCCGCCGTCTTAACATTCACGAATATCAGGTCTTTCCGTTTTCTTCTTCTTCTTCTTTACAAGCATATGCGTATACTTGTTTTCGTATAGGGATTAGATCTTTGTATCTGTGATTTTTAATTTGGTTAAAGTAAGGAACATAATAATATATGGCATGCGTTTAATTTGGAATTTTACGTTTTTTTTTCGTAATTTATTATTTTTATGCGCTTTCTATTAACAAAAAGCTGGAGGCTCAAAGGACGTGCTAGTTCTGGGGTTCTTTTTCGGTTTTTGTGTACTCTGCTAAGTGCTTGGTTGTGTTGTTGTTGGTCTATGTAGTTGCTTGAATAATACGCATTGTTTTGATTCTGGGTGGTAATGCGTGATAGTTGTTTCTCTTAACAGGGAGCTGACTTGATGAGCAAATATGGGATCAATGTTCCAAAAGGAGTAGCTGTTTCATCTGTCGACGAGGTTAAAAAAGCAATTCAAGATGTATTTCCAAATGAAAGTGAGGTAATTGTCATTATGATATCTGATTAAACTTATTTGGCTGTGGATCTTATGGCGTTTGTCCATTGATTACATGAAATCAAAATTAGATGGGAAAGTATATAGCCCAATGAGCTGGGTAATTTTGCACTGAGTCTCAGTTTTTGTGTTCATACATCCAAATACTGTGGGTCAAAACTTTAGCTTTACATAATGATGCAATCATTGAATCGGTGCAGTTGGTGGTTAAGAGCCAAATTTTGGCCGGTGGACGAGGCTTAGGAAAATTTAAGAATGGCTTTGAGGGTGGAGTTCATATTGTTAAGGCTGACAAGGTTGAAGAGATAGCTGGTAATGAGAATTTGCCTTTTGTATTTCCATAATAACTCGATTGAATTTTTTTTCCCCTTTCTGGTTAGCTATTTGCAATTTCTCTTATTGTTGAAACATAGGCTTAACTCTTCTGTACTGATAATGGTAGTGATGATGTTAGATAGATGTTTAAATGTAAGATGATGTGCTGGTGAAAATGAATCATGGTAATTACACTGAATGGTTCTTGTTGCTGTGTTTCTCTGTTTATTTATTTTGAACTTATAGCTTTTGTGCAGTGCATTATTATTTGATCAATTAGCCTGGGTAAGTTGCTCTGGTGCTTGAGATTTAGTCTTCATTTTATGCTGATCCATAAAAATTTTCTATTAATGTTGAAGTCCAAGTAGATACAACTTACTTGTTTGGGTTTCTAGCCTTCATTTAATACCCTTGACAATCTACTCTATTTCCTTTAAGTGTAGAGAGGCATTATCCCTTTCTTAGAGGACATAAGTTGAATAGAAACTGCCATTTTGGTTCATGTTAATGTTGTTACATAGCTACATATGCTTTGTCTTTGGTTGGCTCAGTACATTGTTCTTTAGTTCTTAGGTATCTGGTTCTTGATGTCAGTCCTTAACAATCGAGATGGTTTGTTTGGTTTGATGATTGAATGACACTGCTTGTTTGTGGTCTCCAAACATGTTGTGTATACTAACTAGTCTTTGGTGCAAGAGTATTTTCTATCGAGATTTGCATATTTAAGAATTTTGAAAGAGACATTATTTCCTCTGTGTGACTAAGAAATATTCATGGCAGTTAGCCCTTCTCATCCTTTGTCATATTTTTCTTTCCTGCAGGAAAGATGCTTGGTCAAATACTTGTTACCAAGCAAACTGGTCCTCAAGGAAAAGTTGTCAGCAAGGTTTGGCTATTTGATTCCTCTGAAGTAAAACTTATGTTGACAAATTATCTTGATGAATTCGTATGCATATCCGTGAATCTGTTAATACTCTTAATAAGGCATGATAAAGCAGCTTCATATATTTTGGAGGAAATAAAAGAAGGTTTTATTAAAGTTCAATTAAAAATTTTTTAATTGAACGTTGCTTAAAAAAGGAAAAATATAAATTGTTTCTCTTTCGTAATTACATTTTGGGTTAATGACTTGTACTGGAAGTTTATTGTTTCTAAGTTATAAAGCTGGTGCTATATAGAAGTTCATGCTACTCTGCTTGTGTTACTAATTCAATTTTAGGTGTATCTGGTGTTTATGTTAGAGTGAACTGTCATATACTAAACTTAACTGGCAGTTGTTTGTAAAAGTTATATGAGATTTGAGATTTAACTTTTGTGAAATTTTAAAGCTATCCTCTCTGTTTGTTTGGAGAGGGGGCTAGATTTGGCAACAAGGTTCAGGTGGTTACCCTTTGTCTTGTTGTAATTCTTAGGATCTTTGTGTGAATAAATGATTATGGAATATTCATAAGGTGATCACTTTGAAAAGCTTGAAAGTCTTCATGATATGATCTTTATTGAGGTGTCACTGCTTATTTTATTTTCATTCAATTCAAGGCTGGAATAGTAATATAAAATATTTAATTTTTGATATGTGATTTTTCTCTCATCAATACTTCTTAAACTTTTTCTTGGAAATGGTAATGGACCAGCTGCTTAAATGTCTTTTTCTTTGACAGGTTTACCTGTGTGAAAAGTTATCGCTCGTGAATGAGATGTACTTTGCTATCATGCTGGATCGTCAAACTGCTGGACCAGTATGTTTCAGCTATCTGAGACCATTCTTAGTCATTAAAACTTTACAATCTATATCAATATGCTTGTCCATTTTTCTAACTCATTTGGAGCTATTGTTCTGAATTGACCATGCATTTATCTGTGTCGTGTTTTACAGCTTATCATTGCCTGTAAAAAGGGTGGAACAAGCATTGAAGACCTTGCAGAGAAATTCCCTGATTTAATTATCAAGGTTGCTATCCTCCCCACATGATTTATAGTGGTCATCCAGGCAGTCTCTATGTCCTTGGTTTCTGTACTCTTGCATAACTTTTCTACTGCTTGTTTCTTTTAGGTGCCAATTGATGTATTTAAAGGAATCACTGATGAAGATGCTGCAAAAGTTGTGGACGGTTTAGCCCCAAAGGTGGCTGATAGAAAGGATTCAATTGAGCAAGTTAAGAAATTATACAAGCTTTTTCACGAGCGCGATTGTACATTGCTGGAGGTGAGTACAAATATTATTTTCACAATGAAGTTAATATGTGACTCAACCCCAAATGCTGCTTTGCACTTTTTCCCTACATGGATATCTTACAGTGAATAATTTTTGGCTTTCTGAACAGATAAATCCCATTGCAGAAACTTCTGAGAAACAGTTGGTAGCTGCTGATGCTAAGTTGAACTTTGATGATAATGCTGCTTTCCGTCAGAAGGAGATTTTTAGTCTCCGGGATCCAACACAAGAAGATCCTCGAGAGGTTAGTTGCAGTATAACTATGGGGAAAAGGGGAATCTCTCTCAGAAATTCTTATCTTGTCTCTTCTTGTTCATCGGTAAATGTAGCCCTAAATTCAGGGGAGAGAATGAAAAATATCTGTTTAACTGACCCAATTAGATTGGAATTGAGGTGGAGTTGAATTGAGGTTTTGCTAATAAGTAAATTGAATACTCTGAGCTGATCCCACTCATAGACTCTACAACCTCCATAAGAAAGAAAGCTATCTGTAGAATCTACATAAGCAAAATAATTATGAGTAAAAAACATCTGACAATCTAAACATGAATCAGTTTTTCGGCGTCAGAGGAGGAATAAAGTGGAGCTATGGAGGATTTACAACTTAAGGAAGTAAAAAAAAAAAAATTGATCTCATTTACTCTTCTTTATATGAGAACATTTTGGCAGTTTTAGAAAAAGGATTGATTATTTAAATGACTATTCTTGATTCCTTGTCTATGCATCTGACTCACATATCCAGAGACACGAATGCTTGTGCATTCCCTTGTCTAAATGATTATGAAATGGCTCTACTAATCTGTCCTTCCACTTGCTTTCTTTGATAGGTGGCTGCTGCCAAGGCAGATTTGAATTATATTGGTTTAGATGGAGAAATTGGTTGCATGGTGAATGGTGCTGGATTAGCAATGGCTACAATGGATATAATTAAATTGCATGGGGGAACTCCTGCCAATTTTCTTGATGTCGGTGGAAATGCTTCTGAAAACCAGGTAATGATTTAATTGAAATCTTTTCCTTTCATTTTTCTTTAGCTAAATTATATTTTGTTCAATGTGTATAATATATATTTCTTTAATCTAAAAATTGTGAACAGGTGGTTGAGGCATTTAAAATATTAACTTCGGATGATAAGGTTAAAGCAATATTAGTGAACATATTTGGAGGAATTATGAAATGTGATGTGATAGCAAGCGGAATTGTTAATGCAGCCAAACAGGTGAGATCTGCATCAAATTGTTTTCACTTTTTCATTTTTAGAAATAGTAGTTGCCAAATAATTTATATCCAACTTTTTGAGTTTTAGTTCTTAAAAGAATTACCAGAACAGAGAAGAAATAGATTTGCGTTATGAGTTATATCATTGAATATTTTATTAAATCATAGTTTTTGCCGGTGCTCTTGTTTGAAGGTTGCACTAAAAGTACCAGTGGTGGTTCGTTTGGAAGGTACTAATGTTGACCAAGGAAAGAGAATACTTAAGGTAATTAATTTGAAATCTGGGAATCGTATCAATAACGACATAGGGAAATCTTGTTTTGTTAAGGATTATGGATGTTCAACTTATAAGTTGCTTATGCGATGATGATCGTATCTGCAGGAAAGTGGAATGACACTAATTACAGCAGAAGACTTGGATGATGCTGCAGAGAAAGCAGTAAAAGCATTATCTAGTTAAGAAATCAAGAAATGAAGCCATTCTGGTCGTTGCTGTTTTCAGAACTCTCCAAATGAATTTTGGTGAATCAAATGTGTTGAATCTTGAACAATAACATAACAGGGATGAGGGTTATTACCTGTTCGAATTTTTTTATCTCCTTTTACAATATTGAGCTTTTGTGGTTAGCAAATTCATGTTGATCTCTTTGGATGTTATAGGTGATGAATAAACCCGCAAGCCTACTCGTCAAGAGTCACCATTCTTTTTTACAATTTTTCTGTTTTGTCTTGCAAGGAAGGATGCTGATGAAATGATAAAGTTGGAAAGTTTTAAGACAGGTCTCATTAACAAGTGTCCATGTCTCGCACATCATATACTCTTGTTGCTGCATACAAGTTTTAATACCTCGAAGTGCTTGGACTTATTATTTATCATCATATTACACAATCAAGCAATTATACCATGTATAAATTATTAAGGACAGTTCCAATTTTCCAGAATTTAGCTATCTTTTCAAGGATTCCACGATCTTCCTGGAAATGCAGTATGCTGTGGATTGAATCGTGATCATGGGATTAACCCCGATTGCAGTTGGCAATACACTTCCATCACAAACAAATAAATCCTTTGCTTCCCAGCTTTCCCCGTTTTCATCGACCGCGCCTTCTTTCTCTGTGGCTCCCATTCTACAACTACCCATTTGATGTGCAGAAAATAGCAAAGTCCAGTGCTCTTCCTTTGAAGTTAGCCCACTCACAGTGACTGTATCCAAGAAGTCCTCTAAATCCTTATCCTGGATGCCTTTACATGCAATTTTTTGGCCATCACTGCGGTAAGTGCCGACCTCCACAGCTCCAGCACCAACTAAAATTCTTAAAGCTTGCCTTAAGCCAATCTTGAGGTTCTCCTTATCAAACTGGTTTTGCCAGTGCTTAATTCTACCCTCTGCTTTCACTTCTCCTGAACCTTGATCTCTGATCAATGCAAACAAGCCAGCAGTTCTAGGATACTTTACCATCTTGTCTTTGAAATCCTGCCCTGAAACCCATGGCGATAGTGCTGCATATGAGGATGGCCCAAGTGCCGGGGTTTGTATAATGGCACGGACCTTGGATTCCTCCGAGATGACCCTATGCATTGATGTGATAATTCCTCCCTCGTATGATTTGCCTTTGAAATCTGATTCATGCTCTGGAAAATATCCCCAAGCCACTACAACCGGGTGGAGATGAAGGTTGCTGCCAATGTTTGGATTCAACAATCCGCTAGATATCATTAGCGGGGGAGTCAAAAGAGAACCGCAGGCAGAAACTGTTGCTCTAGCTTCAATTTGCAGCTTTTTAGTGATATTTGTATTTGCCGCTCTTGCAATCACTCCTAAGCATTTTTTCTTTCTATTTCCGGTAGTATCATCCTCCAGTATCAATTTCTCAGCTTTGCATCCTGTTATGATTGTAGCATTACAGGATACAGCATCGACGAGCCAAGTTGAATCTGTTCCTTTCTTATCACCTGTTCTACATCCGAAGTTGCAAGAACCACAATAATGATCAGCAGAAGAATTCCTTGCAACTGATTCGACTTTCAAACCAAGATTCTCACACCCTTTTCGAAGAACTTGATTCTGAAAACTTTCATTCAAACAGTTATCTGTAACACCAATTCTCTTACTCACAGCATCCATTGCATATTGATAATCAGAGCTCCCATAAAATCGAATTTTATGATCAAGACTCCATTCTCTAAGAACATAATCCGGTGTTCTTATACAGGCAGACCAGTTTATCGCAGAACCTCCACCAACAGTTGATCCGGCCAAAATCATTACTTTCCCATTAAGAGTTGATAGGATTCCACCAGACTCGTATAGTTCGGCCATTGAAGGTCCTTCAAGTGAAGAATAATCCTCTGCTACAAAGTAGTTCCCTTTCTCTAGGACAAGTACTTTCAGGCCTGAGCTTGCAAGCACAGCAGCTGCAACTCCACCACCGCAACCAGAACCAACAATCACAACATCACATTTGATCTTGCAGATTTTGTGCTCTGAATCTTCAGTGACTTCGAGGCCTTTTTCAATGAGAGATTGGAGAATTGTGGAATCATCTTCATTTGCAAGTTCAACTATCCCCTTCTGAAGAGGTCTTTCCTCTCTTCTCAACTTTTCTCTATTGTCTTTATGATATCCAATTGCTTCCCAAGCTGGGTTTTCAGAATTTTCATCTGTCTGTAACAAATGGTGAAATTTGGAAAAAAAAAAAGGTAAATTATGCTATAATTTTGCGTCTTCTTCGATTAAAGAAAATAAACTTTTATTTTGAGAAATAATAAGAAAGTACCTATGCAATAAATTGTTCAAAAATAAAACTGTACCCAATAGAAATAAATTATCAGAGCTTGTTTTGTTAGTTTCTGGGTGATAATTTTAGTATTCAGCTGTTATAATAACTTATAATATAAAATATTAATTCATTATAGCATTGGTTTCTATGTTTCTAAACATAGGGGTTAATTACCAATTAAAGAATTAAGTAGAAGTCACCAAACACTTCTATTGATGGCAAATAAATAAATATCTTATCTAGAGGTATGTAATGACATTTCTCTCCATGAACTAAAAGAGTTGTATATCCATAGTCACGTGTTTTTGCACGTGAAAGCATCTTAGATCTGTCACAAAATAGTTTAGAGATATGGCATTTATCCTTAAGAAGATAATACTAAAACGTCGCTAATTGGAAGATGTCAAAATCATTTCTCTTTCACATCCCTACCGAGAATTTATTTGGGAACTTCATTTTCTCACATGAAGATAAAGAAGGAGCTTTATGTTTATGAGCAAATTATTTGAGACTTGAAAATTAAAAACCCAAATACAATTAGAAGTGAAAAAAATAATTATTACCCTGGAGAAGAAGGTGTACAGGCAGAAGATCCTGACAGCGACAAAGGCTGCTCTTAAAGGAAAAATGTACTTCTGTCTTGACCACTTCAGGAGAATTTCTTCTCTCTTCTTCACAGAAAGTTCAGAAAATTTGTGAAAGAATGGCCAATTCCAATCAAAGCATATGAACCCACAAAGCAACAGTGTACCCAATCTAAATGATAGAACCTTCAAAACCGATTTCACTACTTTTACAATTTCTGGTAGACCTCTCTTCACCATGAACTCTGCTACCTGCTTTCCATTGTCAAAAGAAGAAATAAACAATTCATAAAGTACTTGAAAACGGAATTAAAAAACTAAAAAAGGAACTATTTTTAAATTTATTTTTTAATAATTAAATAAAGTCATCATTCCAGTGAGTAATAAAGAAGAAACCAAAAACCCAAAAACGTTTTAGAGAAGAAACAAATAATATATAAGATTTGACCTCATGAGGGATTGGAGGATCAGAGCCAGAAGCTTGGTAAAAGGAACGAAGAGCCTGCTGCTTATCAACTGGGATTTCGTTACTTAAATCGTTTACTGGCAATGGAGGAACGAAAGCTTCACACATAGCTGCCAGTGCTTGGATCTGACCTGAACAGAGACCATGACTGTATTCGGTTATTCTTCTTCCTCCTCCTAACAAAGGATTTTGCTCCATTGTTTTGTTTCGCTTGCTTTCTGTTTGTCGGTCTGGTGTCCTCTCCATATATTAATAGGCACATGTATCGGTGTGCACGATCTTTAATAAATATTGATTTTAATATTTAGTTTCAATTTTAACATTTCACTTTTTTATTATAATTATTTTATAACTTAATAAATAATTTTAAAATTTATAATATTCAAATTCATGATATTAATTTTTTTTATTTAAAATGATAGAATATTATGATAGGAATAATAAATAACGATCAAAAATTAAAATTAATTTAACCAAAATGATAGAAATATTTTAATAAAATTAATTAAAAATAATAGTTACAGCCTCCATGATAATAAATAAAGAATGATGAAATATAAAGGGTAGACTTAAGGTGCCAAGTGGAAGTGTATAAAGAAAATACTACACATGTCACTTCTGAGGAAAAATATGTTTGCTTTATATATTTATTATTTCTTTTTATAATATTTATTACATTTAAAAAAAATTTGAAAGAGTAATTAATATATATTTTTATATTTACTTTTTATATATGACTGATAATTATTATTTTAATTTAATATTTTTCTTAGAAAATTAATATTAAATTAAGGTTAAGATAGTCAATTTATTTAATAATTTATTATAATTAATTAATATATATTTTTATATTTTAACTTTTATATAATGAAACTGATAATTATTATTTTTAATTTAATATTTTTCTCTTAGAAAATTAATATTAAAATTAAGGTTAAGATAATTATTATTTTAATTTAATATTTTTCTTAGAAAATTAATATTAAATTAAGGTTAAGATAGTCAATTTATTTAATAATTTATTATAATTTAAACAAATTTAATGATTTCATAAATGTGAAATTTCAAATACGACAAGTATTATGGAACAGATGCAATTTTATATTATTTATATTTGCTTTGGGATACTATTTATATATGGACAGTAAAAATCGGAAAATGTTTATATTAAAAATTATTATATTTGTATGAAAACAAAAAAATCAACATAATTTAATTTTTCATAATTATTTAATTATCTATTAATTATTTTTTAAAATAATATTAATATTTAATGTTCATGTTAATTTACAATCAAATATGGCAATTTAATATTTCTAAAATTAATTGTTTATTATTTAGTAACTTTTTAATAAGATAATATTACCTTTTCCACGTAACTTCTTTTACTTGATGTTGATTTAGAGTAAATTGCTCTTTACGTAAATTCTTTTACAGTTATAGAAAGAATTGTTCTTTTTCTTTTCTTTTATTTTCTTTTCTTTTCAATTTATTTCATAAATTTAGAACTTATAGGAGTGAATTATAAATTGTTAATAATTTTATTAATGAGTCGCAATTAAAAAAAATTAATTATTATTATTAAAATAATTAATTTTATCAAATACAACATTCAATAATTAATTTGTTAATAATAGACTCCAACTTCTATTATCCAGACACTTTAAAAAATTCAATATATCGATGAGACCGTCGATCTAAGTCTTGATATTTTCGGGGGTTACGTCACGCATGCATCAGCGTCATAGCTCTTGTTGAATTTGATATGCCCTTCTGTTGCCATCTGTAATTGACAGAGAAAGAAGGCTTTCCCACTAAATGCATTCTTATTGGTTTTGATGGTTTCATTAATCATTTTATATTGAAAAAGGAGAATTGTAATTAAATTAAAAGAATTTATATTTTTAGAAACTGACAAGGAGATTTTTTTTTAATTTTAATTTCACTAATACTTTAATTTTTTTAATATATAAAAAAATAAAAATTGTCAAATTTAACACAACCACAATAGTACTAAAGTCGAAAAAATTACAAATAGAAATTTCTAAAGTCGAATAATAAATTGAATGCATATTAATTTCTTTAACTATACTATTATAGCATTATTTATAATTAAATGGCTTTAAATTCGTTAAAAATATTGAATTAATAACAAATGTTAAAACCTAGAAAAATAAAAAAAATTTTGCAAGTTATCTATAAATAAAGATAAATATCATGTATGAAATTATTGATATTGAAATCATGATATGTGAAACATTAGACATGTAAATTTTTTTTTTTTTTTCTAAATCACCGGTATTTGGATTCTATCACCAAAGATCACTTAATTCGGATCAAGGTTTAGTCGCAGTTAAAGTTTTTCACCTTTCTTTATAAGTGTGTTTCGTAGAGATCGAAACCGATAGTTCTTCCACATGCCTAATCTGCAGTACTAACTGAGCCACAACTCGTTAGTGTACAATGTAATTTTTTTACTTTTGTCTCATTGTATATGAGAGTATAATACCAAAAGAATAAAAACAATTACATGATTAATAAATTGAAAAAGGCTAAGAATTAAATGAAATTATTATATATATCATTTGCAATGTAAACAACACTACTAATAAAAATGGCTAAAACACATGAATTCATCTATGTTTTTTTTTTTTTTTACGGAAAAATTTCATAACATCCTAAATTTTCTTACAATAGATCCATTGTATCACTAAAGTTATAAATTTTAATAATATTACATATCTCCCTCTTTGATATTAACAATAATTTTTAAAATTTTTGTCCTGCATATGTAAAATATTAATTTAATATTTATATAATACAACTCTTGAACAATAATTTTCACATTTTTAACTGTTTAAAATGTGTTTAATAAATCTAATTTGATAAATTGCAATATCAAATATAATGATAATTTTATTTTATAAGTTGAAGTATTTTGTAGTTAAACTGTTTAATAAATTAAAATAAAAATTGAAGTGAATTTGTACATTTGGAAGATAAAAAAAGGTGATGTGAAATTAGTACCACAAAACTCCTTTTTTTCTTGAGAATTACTCCTCAATTACTCTCGTTGTCTTGTTTTTTCATTATTTTATTTTAAAATATAAATCGTTTTGAATATTTTAAAGAGTAATTTTTTTTTAATATTATCTTTATTTATATTAATTTTTTTTTTAATATTAATCTTTATTTATATTAATCGTTTTGAATATTTTAAAGAGTAATTTTTTTTTAATATTATCTTTATTTATATTAAATATAATAACTATCATTGGCTTTGAAATAAAAAATAATTTAATTAAATTATTATTGATTTTATTATAATTTAAAAAATTAATGTTTTTATTAATTTCCGTGAAAATCATTAAAATACTTTATATGTTGTGACATACGTAATACTTTACAATGTCTTGGATTTGGTGTTTATATAATCCCAATAAGTTACTCCTACTTGCATCATATTCATAGCTCTCTGACTTTATCTGTTTCAGAAGTTACAACATCAAATCAAATAATAATAATAATATCTGAACATTTTATTACCTCTACACAAGCAGCACAGCAACATAGAGATCTTCAAACCCAATTTGATTTTTATGCAACTAATGATATTGTTTGCTATGTTCATTTTATTTAAATTTAATATTTATAAATATTTTATTAATCAAAACATTTAGAAAATAATAAAATTTGTTACAAAAGCTGCAAAATAAATTTTCTAAAAATAAACTATTTTATATGAAAGATTATGGATCTAATTATATTAAAAAAGGAAATCAAAGGTGGAAAGAAACCCTAAAAGGGAATTTCAAATAAATTTGACAATTTAGAAAATAATAAACACTAATAAAGACTATACATATTATAGTCATTTAGAAAATAATAATAGGTTTTTTTTTTTTTTATAATTCAAATTAAACTTACATTTAATAAACTCAGCCTTGAGGAATTTTCATTTTTAGTCTCACAATTTCCGTTCATTAGAACTGACGGGGAATTGGGGATTAAACTTATAGTGGTTAAAGGGCACTAGTTGAATATTTGGGCCACCGTAAATTGAACTTGGGATTTTGGCCCATCCCAAAAACTTCTCTTAAGCCCAGTTTGGATCTTTTTAGGTCTTTCAGGCTTTAAACAGGCCTTGCCCAAATAGCTTGCATATGAGCTTGAGTATGTGTAATGCAAGTTAAAATAAAATTTTAAATCATATAAGAGATATGACATTTAAAATCAATAAACAAACATTTAATTTATTCCTTGAAATTTAATTTTTCGAATGATAAATATAATATGTTTATAATTTTTTAGTAAATATAATATTTGAAATATTAATTTTTCTATTTAATTAATTATCATTTTCGATTATTTTTTGAACCGATTAAATTCAACTCATTCATATTGAGATAAACTAAAAGTTAAGATGAATTAAATTGGTATAATCAACGGTGGAGATTCTTCTCATTATAATAAGAGAATCAAAAGTTCAAATATCACTATTATAATTTTTCTTTAAAACATATTTCTAATTCTAATAAATCACAATTAAAATTATTTTAAAGTTCAATAGAAAATATCGATTCAAAAATACAAATAGAATGGCTTTTAATCCTATGCCGTTTACATGTATATATAGAAAAATTATAGGAAGACCTTCTAACCCCTAGCACTCCAGAAGCCCAATAAGGAAAGGGAAGGGTGTTGTCGTAATTTAATCCTTGTGGCACTGATGTAATTATAGTGTGATGTAAGGGTACCCATATAGTACAACCACTATAAATAAAAACCTAATCCTCCCTTCAGCTCATCCTCCGTTTTTTCTCTCTCCTAATCCTTCAAAACTTCTCTTGCCTGCCTTTGTTTCTTCTGCTTCTGTAAATCTCCTCTCTTTTTTAATTTTTAATTTTTTTTACCCTTAATTTATATTTTTAAATTTTATTTTTTTGGGTTTCCGTTGATGACGTGGCATGCATCGATACCTTAAAAATGAATACTAAAACGATGCGTTTACCTCCTCGTCGTGTTTTGACGTCAAATAAACGGAAAGAGAGGGAGGGTTTTGATTCCCTGAAACCGTCTCCACCGTCACCACCAACAACAAAAATACCCAAGCCGAATGCACCTGAAGCCGGGTCAGGAAATCTCGCTGAGCCAATTTCATCTAATCAGCTTCTAGCCGGATATTTAGCGTATGAATACCTTACAAAAGGCACACTCTATGGTCAACCTTGGGAGCGGGCTGGAGCTGAGCCGGTAGTCGGCATGGAGTCGAAGAACGTTGAGCCGAATCAGGAGGTGGAGGAAGCCGAGCCGAATAAGGGAAATTATCAGACGTACATGGAAGTATCGAGTTTGTTGAAGGCAGACGGGGCCCACTTACCTGGCGTTGTCAATCCAAGCCAGCTCTCTCGTGTCTTGAAGATGTAAATGTATGACACGTGTAGAAATTTCATTGGTTAGAAAAGAATCATTGTCTTTTGGTTAATTTGAATACTATATTATTATTATTATTATTATTATTACTAGTATTTCATCGGGGCAGGTTGAGGCAGCGGCATGCAATGCATTATGCATGTAGATTTAGATCTCATTACACATTTAATGCTGGAGCTAAATAAATAAAATTATACATGAAATTAGTATTTTAGGTTGTTGAATTAAAATTCCTGAAAAGTTTAAATTATTATGACACCCTTCACATATGTTGTAATTAGAAATTTAGTCCTTCTCTTTTTTACATTTAACCTTCAAGCTTTTTTTTTTTAATGATTGAGCGAAAATTACTAACATTTTGAGAGATGAAACTGCCTTTATACAATAGAATTACTTCATCTAGTCATAAGTAATTGTCAGATCTATACTTTTTTTTTTTTTCTTTCTTTAAGAAAGTTATTTAATTTGTCTAATTTATAATAAATTTTTAAATAAATTAATTATATTATCTTTAATTATAATAAATTATTGAGAATTTTGAAAATTATTGCCATTAATATTTGTCATTTGCAAAAGGTAAACATAAAAAAAATTTTATTATTTTTTAAAATTCACAAATGTAATACTTATTTATGGGCATAGTATTTTCATAAATTTGACAATTATTGTTGAACAGAGAAGGTACGAAATATTCAACCGGGACAAGCCTAAGAAAGGGATTTCAAAAGAAGAGATTATTATTCTAAGAGTGTATAAAAACTCATCAAAAGTCGTTCCAGACGACAACGCTTTCTGGCAATCTAAAAATAAACGACAAAACTCACAATTCACAATTAGCGGTCCAAATTAGCTAAAAGCCACGTCAATAAATATCTCATATTAGTTTGTGACCTTTATATGATTGATTGAAATGATATTAATAGTCCATAAATTGATCTACTTAATGGTTTCCATTAAGTATATTCATCTTTACAAAGTAATTACGACTAATATCATCAACAAATAAATAAATAAATAAATAATTTAACCGATTTTTTTATTTATTGTATATTAAATATTATTTGAGCGCTCCTAACGAGTATTTATTCCATTCATGAGAATTAAACTCTAGAACTCACTCATTTCAGCATTCATTGGTAGAGTGAATTTAGTAAATATATACATCTATCATAAGATTAAAATGGATTTCAAAATTAAAGAGCACTATTTATTTTTCTAATTTTATTTTTATCTTTGTTAAACATAATAACTATGTTCTACATTTTTTTAAAACACATATTATTATCTTCCCATTTGTTTCTCTTAATTATAGTGATATATCAATGGAGAAAATTTATTGAAAATAAAGTAATTGGGTGAAATAAAAGATAATTTAATCAAGTTTAGAAATATTTAATATAATTTAAGCGATTTTTTTATTTGTATTAACCATAATATAAAAACTTTAGACTACAAATAAAGAAAGACTTTTTTTGTATACAATGATGCACTAAATAATTCATCTGTTAAAGCTCAAATCCATTTCACATGTAACATTCATATGTTGAAGGTACTTAAGGATTTTTTTTTTTTTTTTGGACTTTTTTGTATAACAAGATGCACAAAATAATTCATCTGTTTTAAAGCTCAAATCCATTTTCACATGTAACATCATATGTTGAAGGTACTAAGGAGATTTTTTTTTTTTTTTTGGTCAAAATTGATAGGTTAAACTATGTATTCCGCTGATATATATAGATACCACCCTTGAAAAATTGGAGATACATCATACATACATGTCACGATGGTTTGGCTAGACAATTTCAAATATGGAATTTATCAAAATCAAATAATTTTGGTCCTTTGTTAGTATATTAACTAACTATAATATAAGCTTAGAGCCCAGTTTATTGCTCTGAATGGGCAATCATTCTTGATTTTACTCATGGATAAGGATAAGAATGATTGATTGGCATTGTTTTGTTGTGGTTGATATTATAGAATTTGATGACGACGATGAAGATCGTTTGGAAATTGGTTATAACCTAAAAACACCAGTAATATTATAACCTAAAAGGTTATGCTTTAGATTATATGATTATTTTTATGTAAGTTATACAGAACGAGTTTGAATAGTTCAAAATCATTTCTCATTCCCAATTATGAAAATTGAAAAAAAAAAAAAAAAAAAAAATGAAAAAAAAAAAAAAAAAAAAAAAAAAAAAAAAAAAAAACTGATTTTGAATTGAATGCTTTCCAATAATAATTAAAAATTATTACTCTTATTCATACGTCATCCACCACTTCCAACTGAGCTCCACCTCATAATCATACAACACCAAAAACATTCTTGGTAGTCCACAATTGACAATCCATTAAAAAATATGAACTCAAAAACTGTACAAAATAGATGAAGCTTGCACCAACCATAAGAAAGATTAAAGAAGAACCAGATACAATATTCAGTTAACTGATGCACTGGTTCAGTTCTGAACAGGAACACAGCAAATCTCCTGAAGAACACTTGTTGGTTCTTTACCATAAGCGGGTCCCTCGGACCCTTGAAGATACATCGAGCATCTTCAAAAAAATAGTTCAGTTTCAGGGATAGATCCAGTTACTTTATGGCTTATGACCTAGAGAGGGAGTACGAACCTTTTGCGGTAGTCATAATTTTACAAAGTCTCATATCATGAATAAATAATAATTGAATCCTAGCTTACAAAGTAGGTGAATTTGCAAGGAAAGTATCTAGGTCCTAGGTAAGGGGTGAACCAAGATCCTCTTCTACCTTATTCTCTTGACATCTTTTAAGAAGATAGAGTTGACGGCGTAAATGCAATACCTGCCAAATCAAGAAAATAGGATAAATCAACAGAATTATTAAACAGCAAATGGCAACTAGCAGCAGCCATCACAACAACTAGACAATATATCACAAGAAGACATGTCATGAACAATGTGTTTCGATATATCACAAGCACATGAGTAGAGCATACAGATGATATTGTGCATCAATGCCGACTTCAATCTACTTTCCTCTCTCATTCTAAACAAGGCAAATTGTAAACATGCTTATTTGCTCTCATGCCTATCAGCCCTTTTTTCAGAATGAATAAGTTTCTTCCAACATCCACAATGCCTCTTTTTCAAAATACTAATATTTTTATGTCAGGCTTCTGATTTCTTCATAGGGATAACAATACAAGGATTCAGTAACATACTTTGAACAGATTCAACAATAGCAACACCCTAAGGGATATACTAATGAATAAATCATATTGCAAGTGAAGCCAAAAGCACATGCAGCACATGAAGAGAATATAATACCTCTTCCTGAAGCAAAACTGGAAGATTCTGAGTTGAAACAAGACTCGCTATTTCTTGTGAAAGTTTCCCTTCTTTGATACCTGACCATGTTTTAGGAGGCAAAGCCAGTAGAAGAGCTGTTATTACATCATTGCCAGCTGGATACATCCTAATGCAACTACTTGGACCATGGCCACAGCAGCTTGGTTTTGTTTGGGATGAAGGAACCAACACATCTAGCCCCTGCTCACTCCTACCATTTACAACCGTACCAGACACCAAAGTAACAGACTTCTCTTCAGTGGCCTCCAAGCATTTCACACATGTTTCCCTACAACAGTAACCTCCAGAAGAACTGGACTTTCCTGCCAAAATCTCTGCCCCTTGGCAACAAACACTTGCAGCAATTTGAGGAAGATCATCTTTTTGACTAACAATTGGCATGTTTTTGCAACATGAGTTTGCTGAATACAGAAATTCTGCCACATGTTTAAAAAGTCCAGTCTCCTGCACCTGTTTTAGCACCTCTCCCTGCAAAAACAACATTGATTTTGAAAAGAATTGCATACAAACATCAAGCACATTAAGAGAAAGGTCCAAAAGGATGGTGAAGCATTGTAACACCTTCACAGCAAGCCTTCCTTTCTCCTCTTGGCTTAGACTTTTGCCACCATCATCTTGTCTCCTCACTTCTGCAACCCACTTAATAAATTCACCAAAATCTGATGGGAGTGACGAGAAAATGACAGAGAGCAATGCATGAACATCTTTCAGATCTTCTGACTTTAAGAGAAGAGGAACATCATCCACCAAATACTTTGCAATGCCAAGCCAACTCTCGTGCCTACAGCTCTGTATAAACTGTCTAAGTAAGATTACAATATTACAAGCACCGTAAGTCATTCAATGTTCCAACCATCTCCAATTTTCTCAAATCACATATGGTGGGATGATGAAAAAGGCAACAATATAACATCAAGATGCATAAGAATCAAGACATGACTACTGCAGTTGCTGTCAAAAGGAGCACTTGTTTTTTTTAAGGCCAGAAGCTAATGCTAAAGTTCAGATGTATAAACATTTTGAAAGGTGTGATTTGCAGGCATATTTTCTATTATGAACCTTGATGGCAGTACACTACAGCTCTGAAATGGTGCAACCAGAAAAAAACCGAGGAAATGACAAAGAAAATGGAGCTAACTTCCTAAGCCAAGTTACTCATTTACTGGAATATAGAGATCAAAATACAGATATCGAATAAGATGTACTTTAGGTAAAACTATGTTGTAAAAACATATTACATAAAAGGTATAGAAGGTGAAATTATATATGCAATTAAATAAAATCATACCAAGGTATAAAGCATTCCAGGCTCTGTATGCGGCCTCGATATAAGCATGAACCTGCAGCATAATCAACCTTCACGGGTAAATAAAGGAACAATATTTTGATGCAAACTAGGCATCAACAAAACAAACATACAATATGGAAACATTTAAGTTGGAATAAATAAACACACTAAGAAAATAGTCATTAAGCTCCAGAAGGGAGTAAAAAGGAAGATTCAGTTACTTTGGTTTAGATCCCAGTTATAAGAGGAAGACATTCTGGCTGACTGTGCAGCTCTCACATCAGAGAGCATCAACAGGATAATTGCCTCACCCAACTTCTTATGACTCTTCTTTGTTGCATTTACATTTTCTGTATCTTGCTTAACAATTTAATGAGAATAAAGATCAATGTGTGTGTAATATGCAAATGAAAACAAAAACTAAAATGAGATAAATTTACTTTTGCAATTACAAGTTGAGATTTTTGAACCAGAGATCACACCTACAAAAAGTTTCATCACTGGACCTAGTTAATCAATTGCAAGCTTCGATGTGCATATGTTGAAACTAAATTCACACAGACAAGTGAGAAAGTATGTTGTATGAACTGAAAATAGAAAAATTCATGATAAGATGGTCATTTTGTCGGTCACACAACTGTAACTGTTCATATTTGAGAATTCAAGAAATTCCAGTATTTCAGTGCCTTGAATTGATTGTCACTCCATTAACCACATCTAGGCATCTCATAAACTCAGTGGTATACATCCATTACAGAAAAATGCCTACCCTCTGTGTTGCCCAGTTGCCTCATCAATACTATCCATGGCTTCCCAAAGAAGAGTTAATGGAACCCAATGCGGTGGATACTTAAATCGTGCAACATCCAAAATCAATGCCATGTCCCTTTCAGCATGATAACCACCAATAGGTGAAAAATGGCCAGTTCCTGTCTGCAACAAAGAAAGACAAACATTGATTTTTAAACTACTGATGCTCCCATCGCTCTATGGTACATAAAGGAAGTAGCTGGACCAACTTATTTGTAGACCCTTGTAAGCAATAGAGTCCAGGAAGAGTCAATGGGTGGATGGTACCTTCTTTTTTTTTTTTTTCAAAACACGAAAATTGAAATCACAAATTCACTACATCCTGGCACTCTTTAAGGACAAAATCAGAATTTTGTTTAGTATGACTACAAGAGTACATTAAACCTTTTGGGTTTGTTGTGTCTTCAATAACAAGAGTGACTCGCTGTTTAAAATTAATATACAATGCATAAGTAGCACTAGCATTCAAATTTTATTCATAACATATAACATCTAATTCCAATGGATGACATTTGCACACAGTTTTTTCACATCATGGACTTTGCAACAACAACTTGCAAATTTCATAGAATCAATGGTAGCCAACAACCATTGCATGGTCCACTTTTTGAATGATTAAAAGTTTATCGTCCAACTATTAGATAGCATATTGCACGAAAAGGAATTATTAGAGAACATCAGAAACTAGACACATAGGAAAAAAGATCAAAGACAGATACCTGTTTAAAAGTTCCTCTATGATATGATGATATCATATGACAATCATCAGAAGTGGAACATCTCACTAGATGCTTACGGAAGTCATCAATGTTGCAGTGATTTGTACGGTATGCTTCAACTTTTGCCCCAGCGCAGTGAGCCAAACACACAACCTTCCCAAATGAGATGCCTTTAGCTTTAACCTTTTCTAATGGTTCACAGCAATCTAACATGGATTCATCAAACCACCTCCAAGGTCCTGCAAGAAAAATGATACCGCTTAAAATGGAGTTTATGATAACAGAATAACTGATTCAATTCAAGGTCAACACAGGAATGTCTTAGAAAAAGTTGGGATATAGATGCAGTTCAAGCCATTTTAAGAGTTATTTGTATCATAATAATGAATATTCCAACAATAGCTTAACTCATGATTATAACAATATGAAAATTGGATTTTCTAATCAGACAAATCAGTATGCCTTTGTCACCCTATATACCATTGAGATTGATACACGTTTCAACCAGAAAAAATTGGGATCCACCTACTTCACAAACCTGCCAGGGCAAATGCACTTAATCTATGATGTATGGCAGTACACAATGCTGCATTGACACTAAACACCCTACCTGGTTCCAGACTCAAGCGCATGGCCAAGGAGTACAAAATGCAAATGAAGCAACACCTAGCATAAATCTAAAAGACACATCCGGTTGTCCCAGGTGCATGTAGGTGTTACCTTTCCATTTTCTTCCAGGATCAATGGCAAGGGAATTCAAGACCATAGAAAGGCTAGCCAAACCACAATATGCAGGTTCTGACTGCGTCTGAAAATAAGAAATCAACCTATAGAAACCTTCCATGGTTCCGTTCTGAATGGCTTCAACGAAAAGTTGCTGCAATACCAAAACCACACTTAACCAACAGTAGAAATCACTAAAGATAAGGGCTATCATCATCACAAGTGCACAGAACATAATTACACACTGCGATGATTGCACATAAAATTGACCAAAAGAGAAGGTATTGCAAAACAGCTTCCATTGGCCAAGTTGAAGTGACAAAGCTAACAGCACTAATCACAGTCCAAAAAAGAAATCAGTATTTTACTAAGATTAATCAAGTTAAATGCAGCAAAAACAACTGTTGAACGATCCTGTTACACTTACTCAACACAAAACTTAAATGGCAAAATTTATTTTCTATTTAAGATGCTTTTTAGAATTCTAAAATCAAAATACTATTCACAGATTGATCACATCATCCATCACTAAATCAGCACTATTTCGATCACCTCTAAACCATAAACCCTCATTTCAGTTAATTTTAATTCTTAAAACCAAAAAATAGCATAAATTAAGAATAAAATTGATCAGACTTCAACTTCAAAAATTACCTTCCCTTCAGGGGACGCAAAATCGATAGCAGGAGGAGAAGGGAGGAGTCGGCGGTAGAATCCAGCCATAGCCATTTTTAAAAAGATCTATGGAGTTCTGAGTTTTTTCTTTCTCCCTTACATAAAGGAAAGCGTATGTTTCGCGCGATTAATGGAGATGCGACGGGTATGTTTATTCTCCTTCTTTCGATAGGTTTGAATTAGTGTAAATTGTAGAATATTGACTGTAAAGTCGTCGTTATTTTCTTTGTTCAGAAAACGCCGTTATGCCCCCGCGAAAATTCCACGGTTTCAAAATGGGTCTATGGTTTCCGTTTGCTATGGACCTATGGTTCCCAGTTTCGAGTTTTGCAAGTTACTATTGTATACCCACACTTACCCTCCCTTTGGTGCGTATGTCGTTCTAAGTTTGCATTTATAAATAAGGAGTAAATTGGAAACCAAGTAGGGCTGACGGCTGAGCACGATTTGAACAAACCAAATTGGTTCGATTTGATTTGATATTTTCACATACTACTAACTCGATTTATAATACTTGTCACATTTGAGAAAATCTTGTCACATTTAGTAGCTTATTTCAAAATACTTGTCGTATTTGTGGTTTCAAAAAATAATTATTATATATTTTTTTCATGTTTACCCTTTATATATGACTAATAATTATTACTTCAATTTAATGATTTTTTTTATAAAATTGGTATTAAATTAAGATTAATATTGTCAATTTATTTAATAATTTATTGTAACTTAAACAAATTTAATAGTTTTTTTAAGGGATGTGAAATTTCAAATGTGACAAGTATTATGGAACTGAGGTAGTTACCTCTGTTTCATAATAATTGTCACGTTTGAGAATATAGTTTGTTCCAAAATATTTATCACATTTGTGGTTTCAAGGACTAATAACCACTTTTTAATAATGTTCACCCTTTGTATATGATCAATAATTATTATTAATTTATTTAACTTAAAACAAATTAATAGTTTTTTTTAAGGGATGTGGAAATTTCAAATTGACAAGTATCTATGGAACTGAGTTAGTTACCTCTGTTTCATAATAATTGTACTGTTTGAGAATTATTGTTCCAAAATATTTATCACATTTGTGGTTTCAAGGACTAATAACCACTTTTTAATAATGTTCACCCTTTGTATATGATCAATAATTATTATTTCAGTTTAATGATTTTCTTAGAGAATTATTAAATTAAGGGTAATATAATCAATTTACTCAATAGTTTATTATAATTTAGACAAATTTAATGATTTTTTTAAGAAACATGAAATTCAAATGTGACAAATATTATGGAACAGAGGTAGTAGTTTCATTTCAGTTTTAGTAGGAAGAACACATACTTTTTTGATTTGATTCGGTTTTTATTAGACCAAAGATATAAATTCAAATCCATTAAATATAATAATAAAATTGAATCAAATAAATTGGATTCATATAGTACATATTTTATTTCATTTTATATTAAAAAAAAGTTTTATTCTATTAGCATTAAGTGAATTTAGTGTGAAGAGATAATTTCAGTAAAAATATACTCATTCCATTCCATTTTATTTGCTTGTTATTCATTTTTTAGATGTCTCAAAATATTTGCAAGATTTTCAAATTTAGATATCTAAACAATTATTTTTTTTATAATAATAGATATCTAAACAATTATTTTTTTTATAATAACCTTAAATTTAGATATCTAAACAATTATTTTTTTTATAATAATCTTTATAATTGTTCATCAAATGAAAAAATTTTATTAATATATCAATGAGTTAAGGGTACAAAATGATAAAATATTTTTTATTGACTAAATTTTTAATATGCATCATGTTTTATCAAATCATGCAAATAAAATGGAAGGGAGCGAGTATAATTGTATTTAAAGGAGGAATTAAATATCAACTCACCCTCTCCAATAATATAAATATATTTTTGATAATTTTAAACTTGGTTTTCAATCACCACGTTCCAAGCTTATAATGTTATTCCGTTAGTAGTGGAACCATTGGTAGAATTACAACCTCGTCTACAAAATATTATGATAATTATACCATAAAATATCTTAATAAATTTAATTTAATAATAAAAAGTGAGACCATTAATCATTACAAATAATTAAAATTGAATGATTAAGTAGTTATCCGCTATTACTACAAATTAGAGTATAAGAATCAGTTGGCATTATTGGACAAAAATAAAAAGAAATTAATAAATTCCACCAACCACACTGTTTGCTTGATGCCAATTTACCAAGCATCTTTCAAGTTTCAAGAGAAAGAAAAGGCAAAATTGTCTCCCAAACTTCCGAGTTCCCAACACGCAGCCTCGCCTGCAAATGCTTCCTCTCCAAGAAGCAGCAAAAGGTCAAAACCCAAAAGCAAAAGCCGAAAAGCTTCCCTAGATGGACTTCACTGCAACGCGGGCCCCACTCCTAACGTTACTACAATTCTAATTGGAATCGGAAACGAACGACCCGCACTGTAATTGGTATTCTCTGTCATTTCCAGAAATGAACGGCCGTACGAATCCGCGTGTCAAAAAACTAGCCATTCTGACACCAATGCGTGTCCTTAAGAATTGCCTCGTTTGGACCAGTTACACGTCCCTTTCATGGGACACCGCAGACAGTAAGTCGGCGGCTGCGGCGCGTCGTTGTCGGCTTCCTCCGGCTACCTTCGTCCGTAGGTTTTGCTGTCGGCTAACGCTGGTTACTTTTCCACTCTTCACAGAAACCATAACTAGCCTTTTGGGGCTTTTGGAGTTAAACTTTGATTGGTTTCATCGACTTTTGCGAAGCGAGACGCTGAATATTAACCGTTGATTCTTACGCAAAGCAAGAGATGTGTTCGAGGTTTATGAGGCTTTTGAACATTGGTTAAATGTGGTATCTGTTATCGTCTGATCATGAGCTCTGAACCCGACACTTGTGTTTAGTTTTTACATGCGAATTGTGAAGGGATGTGATCGGAGATTGAAAGTCTATAATGCCCCTATCATTGTCCTGAATCGCTTAGCTATCTATCCCTTCTTTGCATTTCTGCCTAGTTTTCTGATTTTTCTCTGGATAGGCCACAAATACGTATGATTGGCAAGTTAGGTAGCATTTGGATTAGTTGGACGCGGACAAAATTAAATCGGAGTAAATAGAAAATTTTTGAAATTAAAAATCAAAATTCAAGAGAAAATTAAGTTAAATCGATCCCTTTTTAATTTTTTTTGGAAGGAATTGGTTTTTACTTTTTTTTTAAATGATTTTAAGCTTTTTTTTTTTTGTTTCATCGACATATAAAAATCAGATTAACTTTTAGAAAATGTGAAATCAAAATGTCTTTATTGATAATTATATTGTAGAAACTAAAGCAAATCAAATTGATTCTATTGTCGAAGTATGATTAGTCATATTGATAATTATTAAATTTTAATTTTTGGCGAAGAATTATATATCAGTAATATTCTTACTGCTTTATTTAAGAATTGTAATATCATCAAATTATAACTATATAGTTGAACATTAAATATTCATATTTGTGAATTTGACCAATCAAGTATAGCTATGCTAATAAAACAGAATCCTAATTTGTTAATTGAATAAAAATTTACTTAGTATAAGTAAATTTTTTAAAAATAAAAATAATATTAGTTAAATATCATTAATCATTGAAAAATTTTAAAATTTTATAAAATAAATTATTATTGGAATCAAATTAGAAATATAAATAGCTCTTTACAAGCCCCACAACACTGACTGCTAACTAGAATAATATGATTAAAAAAATGATGAAATGAAACGACAATAAAGAAAACAAAGGAGGAGGCAGTATCAAGACCATCATTTCTACTTCTGAAAACTGATAAAGTTGATTAGATTAATCATATAATAGCTTTATGGTCCATGGGTATTTTCCACTCCAAAACGAGTCTCCCAGAAAAGAAAAGGCTACTTTAGTAATTACACACTCTCTGCAACAAAACCATATAGCAAGCAACAGACTGATGTGTAGTACAATGACCTCCAACCAACTACCCACCAGTACCACTCTCTATACTCAATATCCTTCTCTCTCGCACATACCCATTTGCCTCTTACCTTCAATGGCTAAATTATCTTCTTTCTCCACTTTCCTTTTCTTTATAACTCTTGTTTATTTTCTTGCCGTTTCGCACCAGCAACCTCTTCTCAACTCGGCCGAACAAGAATCAGTGTATGAAGTTCTCTCCTCCATCAACTCCGCCATTCCTTGGCGTACTCTCTTTCCAGATGACCTCTGCCTCTCGGCTCCACATGGTGTCGTTTGTGACTACTTTGTTGAACAACAAAACTCTAGAAACGTTTCTTCTTCTACCGATCCTGTTGAAACTGCTCATATCACAGAGCTTAGTTTTGGATATGTCTCTGATTATACACCAAACCCACCTTGTTCTCCTAACTCTACTCTTAACCCTCTTCTTTTCACCTCCTTTAAGTTTCTTCGCAAGCTGTTTTTCTACAAGTGCTTCACAGAAACTCCGGTTTCGGTACCGAACGTTTCTTTGTCGAGTTTTGGGGCTACTCTTGAGGAGCTTGTGTTTATTGAAAACCCCGCATTCATTGGGTCTCTTAGTGGCATTATTGGTAATTTTACTAATTTAAGGAGACTGGTTTTGACTGGAAATGGGGTTTATGGTAATATTCCTGACGTGATTGGTGATTTGTTGAGTATGGAAGAGATTACACTTTCAAGAAACCAGTTGGCTGGTGGAGTTCCATCTAGTTTAGCAAAGTTGAAGAAACTGAGAGTTTTAGATTTGAGTCAAAACCATTTTGACGGAACTGTCCCTGAGTCCATAGGCAATTTGTCTCAGATTTTGAAGCTTGATTTGAGCTCTAATGGGTTTTTTGGTAAAATTCCACACAGTTTGGTTAACTTACAGAGCTTGGAGTTTTTAGACTTGAGTTTTAACCACTTTGGTAATGTTGGAGTTCCTCTGTTCTTAGGTGAGATGCCAAGATTGAGAGAAATTTATCTGAGTGGGAATTTACTAGGAGGGCATATACCAGAAATATGGGAAAAGCTTGGGGGTATTTCTGGAATAGGGTTTTCCAACATGGGTCTGGTTGGGAAAATCCCATCTTCTATGGGGGTACATTTGAGGAATTTGTGCTATCTAAGGCTTGATAACAACAATCTTGAAGGGAAAGTGCCAGAGGAATTAGGGTTTTTGGAGTTTGTGAATGAAATCAATTTGGAGAACAACAATTTGAGTGGTAAAATTCCATTTACTGCTAATTTTACCGCTAAGATAGGTGAAAAGCTGAAATTAAAGGGTAATTCAAGACTTTGTGTTGATCAAGATCTTGGCAACTTGGGCCAATTACACTTTTGCAACAAATCAAAAATTGCCAATTCTGCCCTTTTCAAACAAAGTAATACCAATTCTGCCTCTTCTTTGTCACCAGTATTGCAGGTGCTATCATCTTTTTCATATGGGTTGCTTATTTTAGGTTCTTACTTTTGTTTGCTTTGGTGATTTGATAAAAAAAAAAACGTTGAACAGTGGCTAACAGAAACAACAGGTTTTATATACTCTTTTGTAACTCTGGATAGGAATTTTTTGGGGTTTAGATCGGAAAATGGTGGGATTGGGTTGAATATGTAATTATTTAGGGCTTTTCCGGATGAAATTGAAAAATCATACATTGTGAACTTTATTGCTGCTTTTTGATTTTTAATCTAAATTGGATTTCTGAAGTTAAATTGAGAGGAGGTAATGGTGGTTTCTTGATATTCTTTTTCATTTTTTTTTTAATTCTGTATTCCAAGTCTACTGGCTTTAACTTATCCGAATTTGGCGCCAGGTAGACCCACAGGTAAAAACATTGCCTTCCCGAGTGCTCTTTTTTTTTTTTTTTTTTTTTTTAGTTCTACCTGGTCTTATTAAAACTTATCCGAAATTTGGCGCCAGGGATTAGATTAGGACCCAAGTTAAAAACATTTTGCCTTTCGCCGAGTTGCTCTTTTTTTTTTTTTTTTTTTTTTTTTTTTTGAGGGTGCAATTCTCTTGTTCTTCCACTCTATTCACATGATGCAAACACAGGTAAGATATTTTCATATACAATTTTTTCTATTGCATAATGAAAAGCATCATTTTTTTTTTTTTTTTTTTTTTGAGTGCAAATTCTTTGTTCTTCACACTTATTCACATGATGCAAACACAGGTAAAGATATTTATAATACATTTTTCTATGATAATGAAAAGATCACATTTACATGTTAATAGAATGACTTTCAATACTTCTAAGCTGAAATATGGTAAGATTATACCATATAAGACTCTTCTTTACAAGGGAAAAAAAAGGGAAAAAAAAAAGATTTGGTACCAACAGGTTTGTGTACCATAAGACAGTTTTCCATGAAGAGGAAAAAATAATGAAAAATACAAAAAAAAAAAAAAAATTGAACTCTCATTGGTTCAACTAAAAAAAGTTCTAGCTACTGGTATAACAAATTTTTAAAAATTACACGCATAGGTCTCTGTCTCTGTCTGTCTGTCTGTCTTTCTCTCTCTCTCTCTCTCTCTCTCTAAGATACTTCAGTAAATCCATTTTCTGCCTCATCTTCTTCTAAAGCACTTAAAGTGGAAGCAGTTTCACAGTTATCAATGCTAAGAGATTGGGATACAGCTTCAGATCCACAATCCACTTCTTGAGCTTGTGCTTTTGATCGAGACGATTTTCCAGATGCGTCTTTGGATTTCTTTCTCCTAGCTTTTTTGGGCAAGTCAGATGGGTTAGACGACGAGTCGCCGCCGAGACTTCCATCCTTTTGCCGGGATGACGTTTTGCCGTCGGCCAAGTCCTTTGCTCCACTTCTTGAAGATTTCCTTGATTTCTTTTCTGATTTTTCCGATTTTTCCTTGGTCGGAGAGTCACCTATTCCTCCGGTTGATGAATGCCGTCTAGCTGACTTTGGCAAGTCCGGCAAATCCCTATCCCGACCTGTTTGTGATCCCCTTGAACCTCTTTGACTACTTGCATCTACCACACATTACTCATATAAATCAAATGATTTTATTCAGGCCGAATGGTTTCATTTATAATAGAAATTAGATTATTAGAATGCAAGAAAATGGATCATCATACCTTCAGAGGACCATTTTGCTGCATCATCTCCATTGGGTTTGGCTTCCCCATTGCCTTCACCTTTAAACTCATTCATCTAAATAGAATCTCTTTCAGACTTAAATCCCGAAAAAATGAAACCATTCACAACAATTTAAAATAAAATATGAACAATTACCCAGCTTGGCGAATTCACCGAAGGCCCATCCCATCCTATGTGAGCAACATGCTTTACATCTGTAGGATATCCAATCTGCATTTCGGGCTCTTTTTCATTATCTGCAAACAAGAAATGAAATAATTCAAGAAATCTAACAGTAAGTGTATATTCCATTTTAGAAAAAAAAAAAAAAAAAAAAAAAAAATTACTAACAGTTAAGTGTATATTCCATTTAGGAAAAAAAAAAAAAAAAAAAAAAAAAAAAAATTCCAGGTTTTGAATCATCGTCTCTTTGATATGAAGAACAACAATTAAGCTCCTTAGTTGCAAACTAATATGGATTGGCTTAGACAAAATCATTTGTCGGATATGTGCTTTTGATGAAATTATATTTGGCTATATTGAATCCAGTCCTTAATACCCAAAAAAAAAACATTAATATTAAAAAAAAAAAAAAAAAAAAAAAAAAAAATCCAGGTTTGAATCATCGTCTCTTGATATAAGAACAACAATTAAGCCCTAGTTGCAAACTAATTGGATTGGCTAGACAAATCATTTGTTTCGGATATGTGCTTTTGATGAAATTAATATTGGCTATATGAATCTCAGTCTCTTAATACCCAAAAAACATTAATAAATAAAGGAAGCTGAATTTCATACCAAAAATTTGAGAAATGTATCTTAGACCTTTTAAAAGGCCCTTCATCTTGTTGTTTGAGGCCATTATAGAAGTGCAAAATATTATGTGCTTGGCTTTATGAATTAAGTATTTCCTGAGAAGGATTTTGTGTGAATGGAATTGATAAATTCAAGTACTTCAATTCTGAAACAGAAGAAAACAATGTTGACAGTCAGAAACATTGTTTGCAAATTCTATTTAATGATGAAAATTTTTTTAAAAGTTACAAAAGAAAACCTGCTTTGATAATGCAGAGCATGAAAATCAAACTACATTTCTTGATAATAAACGGAGCTAATTATTGTTTTTTCCCTAAAGAAAAATTGCTTTTTGGGTATTTTTTTGAAAGTGTAAAGATCAAAAACACGAAAACTGTTTTTGACAAATGTGTAAAAAGTTGGATGGTGAAGAGAAAAGGGAAGCATTAAGAGGGAAATTGCTGTTTAAAGCAAAACTAACGTCCATTAATAATTGGAAGCCAAAAATGGTTGGAAGTTTTGGGTCTGAGAATGAAAAGAGGGAATGTATAGTCTTCAATGCCTAAATTTAGGAAGCTAAGTCTTCTAATTATGAACCAAAAGGGTTTGGGTTGTTTTTGATGGCTCTGCATGCTTATGGACTCGATGGTTATTGCTTACTACTCGGATCAAAATAATGAATTTCCTATTTCAATTTCTTGGTTTTACATCTCACAATGAAGGATAAGTATGAAATGTGAAATCAGAGCATTAGAGCAATCCTCCTTGTAACCTTTTGGTGCAAGCCTCCCAGTGTGAAAACAATGGGGTTTTGTAACTGAATTTCAAATTGAGAATTCCCATATATGGGTATAGAAGGATGAGAACATACTATTTTCTTGCATTTATTATTTTATTTTTTGGTTATATATTGGGCAAAAGTACTTGGTTATATTAGCATAATGTAATTAAAATTCCACTCCAGAAATCAATTTGAAGGGTGAGCATGATACTGTAAAACTGATCGAATCGATTTTTTCAAATGTTTAGTTCGGTTCCATTTTTAATAAAAAAAAAAAAAATCATAACCTTTTCAATTCAATTTAGTTTTTAGTATATGAAATTGAAAATATTTAAACATCAAACTCATTTAATTTTAAAATTAAATCAAAATCAAATTACCAAACTGGTTTATTTTGATTTAGTTTTTATTTTTTATAAAAATATAGTAATTTATTTGGTTTTTTAGTAGCTTGCTTAATTCAATTTAAATAGAATCAATTAAATGATTACCCTTAAATATTATAGTTTCAACTTTTGTCGATAAAGAGTGTTATGTTGAAATTTTTATTAAATTTTAATATTAGAAAATGTAAAAAAAAAAAACAACTATGGAAACAAATAATAAAACAACCTTTAAAATGTTTATTTCGATATGATCGAAAGGGGAAAAATATCGATTCACCCGTCCCAATACTTTCATTTTTAACGGTAAATAGTTTTGATACCACATAATTTTTTTTTAAAAAGAATTCTGACACCGCATAATTAAATAGGGTAATGTTAAAAAACTAGCCAAACACCACATAACTTATACACATGCTATTAATCTTTTTTTTTTTAAAAAAAAAAGTTTTGTGTCAATTTATGTATTGAATGTATATTAAATTTGTTTAACATATTCATAAACGACGGTTTGAAAGTTGAAAGCTAACATACAAGACATAAATCGGTTCATTTGTGAAAAGAACATTAAAATAATACCAAGAAATTGAAATTTCATTAGTGAAATACAATTTCTTTTGACAGTCAAAGATATATGTTTGTGATATATTAATTTGGATGTAGATAAGTTTATACAATCAAAGCAAACAAATAGATGGAAGTAGAGAAGACAAAAGAAAAAGAAAGAAAAGAAAAATGAAAAAAAAAAAATTCATTCGAGCAGCACAGCAGCTTTCAAGCTTTCATTTCGTCCAGCCCAACACTAGCCTGCAATAAAAATGTAATGTACTTAATTAGATTGTTTGACAATGTAAACTGATGCTCCGTTTGTTTTCACAAAATAATTTGAAGAAAAATATTTTTTATTGTTTAGGGCGTTTAGGAAAATAAGTCAATAGAAAATATTTTCCTGTTTAAAGACAAATTAAGTTATTTTTTAAGGAAAATAACTTTTCATTATCGAGAGAGTAAAACATTTTCTGAACATTGGCAAACATTATAAATCAAACATTTTCCTGCAAATTATTTTACGGAAACAAACGGAACCCACATATAGAATAATTGTAAAATTTTTAATGTCTAAATTTTTAAAATTTTATATTTTGGTATCTGATCAGAAGATTTTACATTCAAATATCTTAACAATAAATTTTTTTTTTATCTACATATAGATTGCCGGAAAACTAAGTAGGATGCCAGGTCCACTTATGCTTTGTTAAATTGCTAAGATGCTTTGATTAATAATATATAAACTCTACAACTAGTGTCTAATTGATCTTACCAAGAACTTGTGATTCTCTTCTAGAATAGGAGAGAAGTTGATGCAGAAATTTTCCATGTCAGAACTAATATCACCTTGACTACATATTACATCCATAAATTTTTTCCTATCAGGAGCAAGCTTCATGGCAACCTGCATTTTCACATTGCAAAGAATATGTTATATGTAGCAGGACAAGACAAAGCCGAAGACATATAAAGTCAATTAGATGTGATCTGGTTGGTCTTCTTATTAGTACGAGGAGTGAGAGATCCTCTCAATCACAAAAATGTTCATCAACAGTGTTATTTCGGCCAGTGGCCTCTTAATGAATCGAAAAAAAGCCAAAAATATAGAGATGAGAAGCAATTTACTGAGAAACCTGAACTAGCAAGCCAATTATGCCATTTCTTGAGTGTTTTGTTGTATGAATCAGTGCAAACTTGTGTCATATCCCAGTCTGGATGTGCTGATAAATTCCGAAACAATTCCACCAAGAAATCCATAGCCCTAAACAAAATCCCATTAATCACCAAAATCTCCCATTCCTTTTTAATTAATTAAGCTTAAAGTGGTTAATTATTTAATTACCTTGTTAGCCAAAGCAGACCATTTGTGCAGCTTGATGAACCTTTTGCTGTTTTAGAAGCAATCTCTAACTTAACTATACTGTACAAGAGATTGAATTGTGATGGGTTTGATGAATATTTGTTCTCCAATCTCTGCACAAGCAACAAAAGGGAGATTTTAAATTCAAATTCTAATTTCCAAAATTCATAAAAATTGATGCTTTCCCTTTTCATTATCATCCAGATTTGATTCAGGATTTGAAAATTATTTAGAATTTCAACTAAAATTTTAGATTATAAATTTGCTATATCGTAAATAATTAATTTACATCTGAATGACGATTAAAATTAGAAAATATTTATTCTTTATTTCATATTATTCAATGAATGAGAGAAATCCTAGGTTTGAATCCAGATTCTATCGATCAAGCTAACCTTCGAAATTAATGTATACATAATTTTTTTTTTTTTTTAAATAGGAAGTAAGAATGATCGTACCGATATATTACCACCAATATCAGATTTTACTATTGCCATAGAGGAGCCAAAGTTATCTGAAAACATTTAAATAAATTAACAATATTATACAAGTATCACTGTAAACAAAAATCAGAAATGAAATAGTTTTTTTTATTATTTTTTACCTAAAACAGGTAATATTGTTTTGCATAAATCCAAGAAAGGCTTCGTTAGAATTTCTCCATCTTGAGACTTAACCTTTTGCATCCCTTCAAGAGAGGCAGTGAAAACTGTTCTTCTTTCCATTCTTGCACTGTATTGCATATAATACAAAAGAAATGTAAAGTAATTTTATGAAAGTAAAAATATTAATTTTTGAGGAGATTTAGTTTGAAATAATAAATAATTAATTAAAAATAAAATTGCAGATGGAAAATATATAAAAATAATGTGAAAATGGGAGATATATTTTAAAGGAGAAAATCTATAAAATGATAGAGGTGGGATTAACAAGAACCTGTATGTGAGATTGGAATTGCTCTCTCAGGCAGCCTTAAGAAAAGGAAAACCTTGATATGAATTGATGATAATCTTGTTCTTTTCGGATAATTGCTGATGCGGAAAGTATCGGAACGACAGCGTTTACTGTATTAATTATGTTAACTAATTAGCCAGGATTCCTCTTTGGAAGGGAGATTTAACCAAAAAAAAAAAAAAAAAAAAAAAAAAAAAAAATGTACAATACCATTCTATCCATCTTTGAGGTTCTTTTTATAATTATTTGACTCAGCTTCCATAAATTACAAAAAAATATAAAAAAAAAAAAAAAAAATGTAATTACCTATTCTATCCGACTCTTTGAGGGTTTCTTTCTTATAATTATTTGACTCAGCTTCCATAAATTAAAAAAAAATATTTAATGTGTTCTTAATTATAATAAACTAGCTAACTATTAAATTTCTTTCTAATTATTAATTATCATGTTGAAGACCTTTTTCTAATTATTAACAAAATTTCTTATTATCTTAAATTTTATTGGATTTTATTTTTCATTTGTATGCTTTTAGTATTTTGAAATAAAAATAGAAAATATATATTGAAAATTTTTCATCTGAACATCAAAATTAAAACAAACATAGAATAAGGGATGTCTCAATAAATTTTCTCACTTCAGTAGAATGTGTGATTGGGAACAAAAGTGATGTTTAAACAAGTAAAGATTAACCCTTTAGAGTAACTGCAATTTTCTTTTCATGTGAAATAAAATTCTCATATTCATCGATAAAGTTATATTTAAATTTTAAAAATTACAAAAATGTCTTTTGAAATTTCAATAATTGAAGGTCATATTATAAATTCATCTTTTATTTTTTTTTTTTGAAGAAAAAAAAAAAGAAAGTCCACAATCTTTAAGGCTAACCACGAGTCTAGTTCAAATTGAATTGAATCAAATCAATTTTAAATTAGATTAAAACCGAGGATTGAGTCTAGTTAGAATTGAAAGCAATTCAATTGAAAGCGATCCGAAATGGCCGATTTACTGAACTAAATCTTCAATTCAATGAACCAATTAGTGGCGTGTTCAACAGTAGCATTTAATGTTTTGAACTAGTCAAAAAACTATTTCTCTAAATTATTGTGTTTGGTAACTTGATATATAAAATATGTTCGGCAATTTTAGCTGTTTTAGTAGCTGTTAGTTGTTTTACTAGTGATTAACTCTGAAATATTAGCTGTTAGTAGTTAACGGATTATATAGTGGTTTAGAATAAAAGTGTTCAGTACAAATAATTGTTTAATTGGCTATTTAATATAAAACGACAAAAAAAAACGGTATGAAAGCAAGGGACAAGGTAAAAATAAGTGATGAAACGAAACTGTGCTATGGTAAATATTGTATTACAAAACACTATAATTAATGAAGACAATGTTTCAACCTTATCAAAACACTAAACATTACTTTAAACGCACTTGCTGGACAAGACCATAGTATGAAGTGTTTCTAACATTATCTTATTTAACGTTTAGCCATTTCACTTTTTTTACTAATTTTTTTTACAATTTATCCTTATACTTAATTAATATAAAATTCTTTTGTTATCACATTATTTATTTTATTATCTTTATATTTGTCTTATTTATATTTGGTAGTAAAAGAAAAAAAAAATGTTATTTATATATTTGTATTTAAACTTAAACAAATATTAAAATTAATAATGTTGAAAATATCGAAAATTTCCCATTTTATTAATAAAATAGTGATCATTTCAATATCATTTTTTGTCATTTTAAATTTATTGTCAATTAAATAGCTATTTTTATCAAATACTTTCGTTTTAAACCACTGTTTAAACAGCTAATAGCTAGCCGTTAACATCTACTAGCTAACAGCTATTAAAACAGCTAATATTACCGAACAGGTCCTAGATCTATATTGCTCTTAAATTAAAGCTGGTCCAGCAGTAGAATATTTACCTAACTCTCCTTTCGAAGTTTGCAATATGCCAAATATATGCACAACCATGTCATATCAGAAATCTTACACACATTGTATCAGCTTCAAATTTTTTACAACGAAAGAATTTGAAAAATAAATGAATAAATAATTAGAAGAGGAAAAATGAGAGACAAAGGAAGAGGTGGTACTACAACAAGGAGTATAAAAATATCATTTGGAACCTAAGACGGCCAATTTGTATGCATTGCAAACATTGGAAAATTTTTCGGTTTATTATTGTTGTTCGGTCGGCTTTTTGGCCTGCAAGCAAGAAGCAATAGTTTAACATTCTGAGTGTAATATCATAAAAAGCCAAGATATGCAAGAATGATAGAACATAGCTTTACCTTGCTCAGGTACTTTTTATGAATCTTCAGTGCCTCATCACAAACCTTTTTAGCATCCAAGTTTCCGGTAGTATCGCCCAATATCTGCAGAAAAAGTCCATCGAAGATGAATGCGACAGGATGTGCAATTATTTTTCTCTCTCCTTTTTCTTTAAAGTAATGCATATTCAAGATATATATATATAGAGAGAGAGAGAGAGATAGAGAGAGAGAGAGAGAGAGATTACCTGGACAACATCATCTAGGCCCTTAGCTTCCTTCAAAATTTTCTTGTTTTTCGTCTCAAGAACGCTTGCAACGAGAAAAACAGCAAGTGCACTATGTTGTTCTGCACCTGCAGTCTCCACATTTTTCCTCTCAAATTTGCCACATTGCTTTAGCAGCTTCTCATCTAACTCAGGTGCGTTGGTATTATCTGTAGCATCAGTACTAGGCTCCTCATATAAGGAGAAGATATTTGGATTGTACTCCATGGCCCACATCAACTGAAACCAATCTATATTACTGTCTTAAAATAAGATCAACTATAAAGGGTTGCAAGTTAGACTTAAACAAACCAATTATAGTAGATTAAACCATAAATTTTTATCACAATGATTCCTGCATAAAGTGGCTTTCCATGGAGTCTTTTCTTTTGTCAAGATTTTGAACTCCTAATCCTTATGAATCTTAACACTATAAATCTTAGGCTTTTTATTAATGTCTAAGGACTTTAAAGTTCATCATTCTTTATTGTTTAAGAATTCAAATTCTTACTTTCTAGATTTGGAATTTCATAGTTCTTTGTATATTTGGAGTTACCTAAGAATTGGATGAGAATTAGGGATGATTAATTTACAAATTTTATAAAACAATGAGACTTTATAGGACAAACTTATTTTTTGTATAATTACAGTATACTTTATAGAAAGCAGCATTTCAAGTAAAAAGCAGCATTTAACTTAAAATTATAAGGGAAGGCATAAAAAAATCCATAAAAAACAATCAATTCCCATATTCATGCTATCTTGCCTTTCCCGATTTTTAGATTTTTATTAGATCTTCAATATTAGCATAACTCATCTAAAGAGCAACATAAATTTTACAAGTCTTGAGACTCATTAGTTCTAATCTCTAAATCCCTAGCAAAAGAGCATGCTCTTATGAATTTATGAGAGAATTTTGAATATATACAATAAAATCCTTTCTTACCTCCCAAAGGTACAATGCATCCACAAAGGTGAACTCTCTTCGAAAAAGTACCATCAACATGCGAAATGCAAACAAATATTCGCCACCATCAAGCTCCTCTGCCAAATATAAAGAGAGGTTTTGGTTTATCAAGAAGGGCCTCTTTTTAATTTGGTGCATGTGAAAACCCAAGAAACTGTGAATTTAACTCGAATTATCTCTCATCTCTATTGTGCCCTGGGCTTGTTGTTGCCACCCACTTTGATAAGTTGGTGACAATACTCTAATTGTAATTTCAGCATACTTTTCTTTATTAGAAACTCAAACACAAACTTAGAACCTAGGTGACAAAGCTACAGGAGCTAATGGGTTATGAGAAGATACAGGGTCTGTAAAGGCAATGTAGGATAGAGAGATTGAATGAGCCTTAAAGAAGAATATATTTAACAGTCTATCTCCACAGAAGCCAATGAGAGAAAAAAAAGAATAAGCTTCGATATCGTAATAGAAACCCAAGCCCAACTTTAAAATTTATAAGTCAAAATTAGAGAGGTTTATAGGTTAAAAGAAGGTCTTGAGAGTTTCACACAAGTAACATTAGATAGAGAGATTGGATAGACTTTTTAGAAGAATATTTTTAAATTCTTCAACTCAAGCTTCCAATTTTACCAAATAGATATTTTGGCTAGCTCCTTCAGATGATATATCAAAATGGTATCAGATATAACAACCAAGTCCATAACACCTTAAGTAAAACATATAGCCTCAATCCATTTAAAATTTAGGAATTAGAACAAATACCAAGGTGCTGATGAAGCTTTGGATCGACAGTTTTAATTACTTGTGAGAGTGTAGTTAGCTGAGTTTGCACCCCGATTGAAGTTGCACTGCACCTGAAGTTTTCTCTCTGTTACAAGAGTAATAAAACATAAAAAGCAAGAAGTGAAACAAATTTTGCAGATGCAACCACGAGGATTAATCATGTACTTAGCATCACTAATTTGAATTAATTTTTTTAAACATGGAAAGCAGAATTATTGTTATGAAAAAAAAAAAAGGCAACATGACGACTGAAATCTAGGTACTAACTACAAGAACTCAAAACAGTCACACAATTATAGATCCAAAATGGTGATCCATATTTCAGTATCTTCCTTACTTGAAAAGCAAACGAGTAATCCTCAACGCCTCAATATAAAATAATAATAATAATATAAAAACTAATTTAATAGAAAATATATTTAATAATAATAATATATAAATAATAATAATAATATAAAAAACTAATTATAGAAAATATATTTAAAATAATAATACATTTAAATAAAAATTATAAATTAATATAATATATAATATAAAAATATATATTAATTTAAATAATAAATACATAATTAATATAAATATTTAAATATAAGTAGATTAACTTATTATATATTTTTAATATAAGTAGATTACTTATTTATTATATTTCTTTAATCTTTATTATATTTATTTCTTTAATATATTATTATATAGTTGGTTTCTTGATTATCTAGGAACATAAGTAAATAATGCATCTGATTACGAGGAGAAGAACCATGTAAAGCATTTGCATTAAAATCCATATCAATCGCTAACATAAGCTAATTCCATGGAGAAGAACAAAGAGCCACTGGTTTACTTTCATGTCTATAATCGCTTCAACTATGTCATGATAAATTACCTACCAGTCTCCGCATCGCACGATGAAAACACCAAAAGGCATCTGCTTCATTTTCGAGAAGAATCACCATTGGAGAACAAATATCATTCATTCCTGGCAGGAAATATACATGTCTGAGCATAAATATTACTTCCGATTGACAGCAATATCATGCAATTCACTGTAATTCACCTTGGACGTAACCGATATCATTATCCAACCATGCATAAACCGCAAGAATGTCCCAAAGTTTTGCCTGGTTAGTCTCACTCTCATAAAAGATAAGTGTTCGGTCTGTGCGAACAACATCCAGACCTACAAGAAAAAAAATTCACCTAGCTACATCAAGCTCTGCCATAAATAACAAATGAATAAATAAATATTTGAGGGAGGTAAACAGAGTTCAATCCTATGTCACAAGTACACTTTCAATTTAGCAGATTTTTCATGATAGGCATTATTTTAGGCAGCAAATTTTGGCACCCTTGTTACAGCTCTGTACTTATCAGAAATGCAAGTTGTGAAGTCTCATGGTAAAAAGAATATGCCAAATTGATTTGCTCTACAAACAGTAAGTCATTATCAAGAACCAGCTTCACAAGTAGTCTACTAGCTTCCAAATTGTGGATCAAAAGGAAATTTACTCATCATAGTGGAGTGTGGTCACAATAAGGAACATGTAGCACATTACTTTCCACAAAGCCAACTAAAAGGAAACAGAAAATCAACTAAGTTATAAATCAGAGATTTTCTGCTATATACATACCAATTTGATGTAAGAAAAGCATCCATTGAATCACTTTCTTGTCTGAAACAGCATTATTTACATGCCCTCCTTGATCATTGTTTGTCGAAGGATCAATTATTGGTTGGCCATCATCAGTAATGATGGGCGTTGTAATAAACTTTCCACTACCAATAACTGGAACCATATTTTGACATTCGGTTTTCCATGAGCTGTACTGCTCCCTAAGAAGTAACGTCAATGTGATAAACTAAATCGCCTGTTCAAATTAAGAAAGAGAGGGAAAAAAATAGAGGAAAATAATTCTTTTTCACAAATGCAATTAAGATGTTTATACTTTGAACAATAGAAGTATGAATAAGGAGTAACCAGGTGACAGTGAGATTAACAAAACCCACCTGAGGCCCATGAATGGGGGAACACACAAGACAATTTAACGTTGTCTAGGAAGATATTGATCTCATAGTTAAAAAAACCATGGGCATAACTTAGAAAGAAACAGTTTCATGATTAAATTGGCCCTGAAAATTGATTTCTAGGAGACATAACAAGTGGTTTTTTGTGAGTTTGTATCGAGAAAGATAGGTTCATCATGATTTATATAAAAAAAAAAATATTGGAAGTAATAGTAATAGCAGGGATTTGACACAAAGGAAGCCAGAAGTCATGTAATGTAATTTAATTTTAGTTGAGTTTACATTTTGTTACAATAAGGTATTCATACATAATATACTTAGCTATGATGAACACATTATCATTAGGAGGATAAAAAAATTCTTAGGTAATTACATTTAATATTTGTGTAGGTTAAATTATTATGTGAATGAAAACATTACCTCCTCTTCTGTCTAAGCTGATTTCGTTCTTCAAATGTGCTATTAGGATCATAGCACCCTAACAAGAACTCCCAGACTAACCCTTTAATTGCAGGATGAACACCCTAACATGAAAAACCAATTACCAATTGAACACTCCACCTTCCATATATCAGTTCTGACTTAGAACACATAGAGAAGCAAAAAGCATTCAAAAGATGAATCACTTCAATACAGAAGTGAAGAAATGGCAGTAAGCTTAAAAATAGAAAAACAGAAAAAAGAAAGAGACATTTAAGTAATAACTGGAAAAATAGAAAATTATAACAAGAGATGTGTAGGCTAGTCACAAAAGCAGCTTTTCTATACAAATCAAAACAAGGCAATAATAAACATGAAACAGCATACCCCTCTTTGAATCCGTCTAAGCACTTTTGCAATATCCAAATGACCATCTTCGGAGAATGCAGCATGCCACCTTCTAGCACTTAGAGTTTTCCCAGCCTGTGAAAATAGATTATTTTAAATACAGAAACCGTAATTCATAAGACCACTTATCCAATCAAAGCATCTACAATGACAAAGCTATGAAAAAAGTATTAAATGCACGTGTTAACTAAAACCCAGCTGTTTAACCACAAAACGTGGTAGAACAAGACCTTATAACTTTCAAAATGATAAGTCCCAACAATTCCTCATTCAATTGATTTCTACCAGATAAGAATGCAAATAAGAGGATATTCCATCATTTTAACATAAAAGAAATGTTTTTCTCCATTCCTTTTTCTAGTTTCACGAATCAAAATTCATAAGAGTAAGTTTCAAACTTTCAATCAACATATAATCTCCAGTCAGTCGAATAAAATACAGCAAAACGTCATATGAGCAAAGTGAGCAAAAATCGTAACATAAGCAACCATAAGCAATCGGCATTGAAAAAGGAGAAGACATTAATTTGATGCATGCAGATAAATGCGTACTCTAGGCTTGAAACGGGTCTTGGGAGCTTCTTCTTGACATTCTGTTCGGATCGGATAAAATGCCCCAACCTCCTCCCCACCTTCAGGTTTTTTCATAAATACTCCGCAGCCAACCATCCAAACTAATCACTTTACTCGCTGCCAAAGCTAACAAAAACCAAAACCCATAAAGAATTCTATTAAATGGGCATTTTCCAAAAAGCAAGACGAAACAGATTCCTATCAGCTAACAAAAATCAAAAGCCATAAATAATTCCATTAAATGGGCATTTTACAAAAAGAAAAACGAAAAAATTCCTATCACCATCAACGAATAACATTCGTTTTTTTTTTTTTTCTTCTCCAATTGGAAAGGTTTTTGCAATTCTATTATCGAATAATATATAAATTACTAACAACCCAGAAATATTTTCAAACAGAAACCTTTAATCGTGAATCCAAAACGAAGGAAAAAAATTGAACAAAGATCTATCATTTCCTACAATGTGTGTCATCAAAAAACCAAAACACATGCGCGTGATTTTGTGTTTACCTTATTGAAGAAAATGATATGAGCTAATAAAAATTGCGTAAAGTTCCTTAATTCAAAAAAAGCATCAACCGATTCTATAACAAAGTTTTTCAATGGAGATTTCTTCAGAATGAGGGGAAGAATTGCAGAGATGGAGAGAAAAGCATGAGCGAGTGAAACGCGTTCGAGCTTTAATAATTATTTGATTAGATTAGACTATGGTCATGAAATGACAACGGTGAATTGTTTTTTTTGGACAGAGTTTGAAAAATTATTGAAATTTCATAATAGTATTTCTTTGTTTTCCATTCGAGACTCATACTTTGGTGTCTGAGGCGGCAATGTCCATACTTAGTTCCTCGTTCCAAATGATGCTTTTTTTTAATATATAGTATTTCTTTGTTTTCACATTCGAACTCATCACTTTGGTGTCTGCAGGACGGCAATGTCCATACTTAGTACCTTCGTTCCAAAAGTGTGATGCGTTTTTTTTAATATATATATATATATAATAATATATATATATATTATATATGATTAATAATTATCTTTTTAAAATTAAATGAAATAATAACGTTGATTGAAAAATTAAATTGTAAAAAATATTATCTTTTTAAAATTAAATGAAATAATAGTTGATGAAAATAAATGTAAAAGAATATTTAATTTATTTTTCAACAAATTATTAATTCATTCAAAATTCAAGAATAAAATGATAAATTATTTTGAATTGGATTACATTTACAAATTAAATTTTATAATAAATTTATTTATGATATTTATTTCAATGGTTTGGTGATGGCAAAAAGAATTAATAATGATTAAATAAACTTAGAATAATTTGAATACCGTACTACAGATAACTAGAGCCTTAAAAAATTATTATATAAGGAAAAAGTATAAATTGATTTCTAAATTATTTTTAAATTAATATATAAAGATCTTTAATCTCAAAAAATATTTATGAGATTTAAATTATAATTTATTAAATATTTTGGTATTTTCCTTTAAAACACCTTCTCATTATTAATTAATTGAGAAAAAATAAAACATGATATAAGACATTAAGGTACAATTAATTTTTAAATTATAGTCAAATTAATATTTGAGATATTTTTATTTTAAAAAATCAAATATAAAGTCATTAATTTATAATAATATTATTATTATTGGTCTTTTACAAATTCCAAAATAAAATATTAATCTTATTATAATTTAAAAAAGAATTCAAATTAGTCCGACAAACGAATTTCGGACGTGTACAGGAGATGACTACCTAAGGAGAAAACCCTAGCTACTAACATTAGTTTTTCTAATCCCTTGTTGTGCTTATACCAAGCGTCGCCTTTCTGCTGCGATCGATCCTCACTAAATCGACCAAAAATGGTGAGACTCCATCTAACTAATCTTTGTTTGGTTTACTAGAAAATGTCTTTGTTATATTACCTAGATTCTCTCATTTTATTTTCTCGCGCTTTCTCGGCAACCTAAATCTTCTGACGGACATGCCAATCAGCTCATTCTCTTTCACTGTCAATTCGTCGCCATTTTACTAGATAATTCTTTTTGAGTAACTTATTAGTTAGCTCTTTAAGTGCAATTTTGGTGTTTGCGTATATGTGTATAGCCGTTCAAGAGGTACGTGGAGATTGGGAGAGTGGCGCTGGTTAACTACGGCAAGGAATATGGAAAGCTAGTCGTCATTGTTGATGTTATCGATCAAAACAGGGTAATTTTTATTTGTCTAGCTTGTTTTATTAATTTATTCTCTGTCAATTATTTGTTTTATTGATTTATCATCTATCCAGTATTTGTTTTGAAGTTCATTTTTTTAAATTTAAGTTCTAATTATTTGAATCCTTGATGAATGACAATAGCTATCACTATTGGCTCTTGAACGTACATCTTCATGGAAGTGTAGAGTACACTGTTTTTAGTGTGTAAGTTCAAAGTAGTATACTTGTCCTTTTCTTTTCGTGTTCCAGTTTTCAAATTGAAATAAAAATCAAGTTTGCGTAGATTTATTGTCAGGATTAAGTTGTGCATCATTCCAAGCGGTAACCTTTAAGCATACTTGATATGTAGCTATTGAGTCTTTTTGTGAAGGAATGGTTAGGTGGATAGGTTGTTCTATAATATTGTTTGCGCTTTAGAGTGCAATACATTATATACATAGCATTCTGACACTCATAACTGCCCCTTGAAAAAATGGTAAAAAAAGTCAATGTTATATATATGTTTTTCCTGATCATGTTCAGTTGTGTCGAACTTACTTTACACAATTTGGAAGTTTAGATAATTACATAGGGAAAGGCTTGATCCGCGAGACAGGAAAAGAAATGAGAGGGATAATGATTACTTTCTGTTTGGATTTCTAAAGACTAAATGATAAGAGAAGATATCAAGTTTTAAGGTTAAGATTATCTTATTAAAACATTATCATTAGTGATAAGGAATATATCTTCTTCTCTACAATTGGGAGGGAAGTAACCTGGGGTTCAATGGATAACTAATCTCTCCTTGTCTTTTCTTTTCCAAGCTTCTTAAACTCCCAAACCAGGAATAAGTCTTATACTATCTGATTTTCCTTAACTTTTTTTTTTTTTTTTCTGGTTTTTTTCTCAGCCAAAGCCTTAAACTATGATATTTGTCCTTTTACTCTTGCTTTTCCTGTATAAGATGTAATTGCAATTAGTACTCTTCCTTCTTTGGGCTGATGCATAGAGTTTCATCTGAATAGAAATTTATATTTCTTTCTCACTATGCTGTAGGCTCTAGTTGATGCTCCTGATATGGTTAGGAGCCAAATGAACTTCAAGAGACTTTCACTCACTGATATCAAGATTGACATAAAAAGAGTTCCTAAGAAGAAAACTCTAATTGACGCCATGGAGAAAGCCGGTTGGTGTTAACAAGTTAAAAACATGTCTTCTACCTTCTTTTATTAGTTCCTAGAAATCAAAATTTTAATTATTTGATGGCAGATGTGAAGAACAGGTGGGAGAACAGTTCCTGGGGCAGGAAGTTGATTGTGCAGAAGCGAAGGGCTTCACTTAATGATTTTGATAGGTTCAAGATCATGTTGGCAAAGATTAAGGTTTGCAATAATTTGAATGCTGTCACTCTTGTGCATTTCAGTTTCAAGAATCCTAATCTTTAGTACATTGCAATTAATGCTAGCTCAAGATCTTTTTGCATAAAATGCAATGCTTTTAAAGTTAAGACATTCCTCCTATTGCATCAAACAAAGCCAACTTCGCACTCATTATACAATAACCTATTGGTGACTTCAATGGGTTTTTGGGCTCAGTCAGGACTTGACTCCATTTCTGGCAGGGCAGGTTGAAGTTTTCACAGTCGTGAATAAGATCTAACTAGACTTATGGAATAAATAATATCATCTTTTCACCCACCCTTTTGGCTAAACTTACATATGAAGGCTTAACTTGAGCTAGGTGTCAGCTCTAAGTTTTTGCATTGACGTTGTGGCAAGGGTATTAAAAGCAATGGTGAACAATAAATTTGCGAATCATGCTTGCATAAGCATACGATTTTTTTTTTTTTTTTTTTTTTTTTTTTTGCATAAGGCATACGATTTTTTTTTTTTTTTTTTTTTTTTATTTTTTTTTTTTTTTTTTTTTTTTTTTTGAGTATCTGCATTATCTATTTGTCAATTTTAATGTGTTAATAACTGTTTGTGCAGAGAGGAGGAATCATCAGGCAGGAGCTTGCAAAACTTAAAAAGGAGGCAGCTTAAACCTTTGCTTATTTGTGAACTTGCCAATTCTTTTCATAAGCTCAAAATCTGCCTTAAGAATTTAGATCCTTTGTATTTTTCATTTTAGCTAGCTGTGGAAACCAATTATCATTGATTTTGTTGGAGGGAGTTGATATTTAATAGACCATTTTTTTTACTGTTAGTGATACTTGAAAGTTTTAAGTATGACCATAGTCTAAAGCGTATCGAGCTTATGAGCATGATTTACTACGTATCACTAACAGGATTATAAGGTCTTATTCGGGAATCAGATGGTTGCTGCTAGGAGTTGCCATTTCACGGTTTCGGAACCGGAATCCCTAGTTCGGAACTGATGGTCCGGAACTGGAACCGAAGGTCTACGGTCCAATTTTGGTTCCAACTGTTGAGGAACTGTGAATCAGCAATTTCAAGAATTGGTTAGAATCGCCAATCGGTTAGAATTGGCGGTTCCAACAGTTTGAACAGGCGGTTCCATCCACTGCCAGCAATCTTTTTTATTTTTTCAAATGCTTTTGTAAAATTTTCAAATTAACCCTCCTAACAATTATAGTATGGCTAGCTTTAAGGGTATTTATGGAAAATTGATTTTTTTTATATTTATTATATATACCCTTTTTCATTTAAAAAAAATAAGTTCAAGCCTTGTTTAAAACAAATAAATTAAATTCAAGCTTTTTTTATTTTTTCTAATAATTATTTCACAAATATTTAAAATTTAAATTTTCAACAAAAAAATATAGTTTTCCAATTTTTTATTTTATAATTATGTAAGTTGCCATAAAACTAGACAAAAAACCGGCTATAATTGTCAGTTTTGAAATCATTAAGAAATCGGAATTAAAATTAGAATTAAAACCGGCTATAATTGTCAATTTTTGATTCGGTTTTAAATGGAACCGGAAGCGTGGCGACCCCTAGTTAATGCTCTTTACTTCGTTTGCCATCCCCTATATAGTGGAAGATTTCTTACTTCATGTTTAACAAATTTGTATGGCCAGCTTAGGAATGTTTAATATCATTTTTATTTTTGATTTTGGTTTTCTATTTTAATTTTCTAAACTAAAAGTTTGTTTTCCAAAGAAATAGTGTTTTATTTTAACAAATAATAGAATTAATAAATTTAAATGACGAATTTTTCATCAAATTTAAAAACAAAAAGAAAAAATCAAAAGTAACAATAATAATAATACTACTCCTGTCCTTACTACAAGATTTACGTATTACTAGTAACTATTTAATGCATGATATCAAAGCGTAGCATAATATTTTAATAAATATAGATATATTAATTAAAATGCAAAAATTAAATAATTTCAGAAAATGCAAAAAAAATTAAAAATAACTTGTCAAATTATGTTATACACTCGAATATTCGTTCGACTATTAAAAATATTCTATTACTAGATGATAAAATATTTTGATTAAAATATGTAATATAACTTTTTATTAAAATAATAATTATTATTACAAATAATAAATAGTATTAAATTATTAGTATAACTTTATTGCATTGATTGTTGACTTGTCTCGTTAATTGCATTTTCAAACATTAGATTAAACCCGACAAGACATTTGTCCAGTCAGTCATCTTATCATCCTCAGTCTGCAACGAATCGCAGCCTTAGTGAATAAAAAATGCAGTCTGCAGTTTGTTTTTTGCACTGCACTTGTACTTTTTCCAAATACAACCTCCTCTCAGTTAAGAAAACCAACAATAACGTACATAAAACATTAAAAAGAGCGCATAAATACCAGAAGAAAGAATGAGGAAGAAGTGTCTCTATTTGAACACCAAGCTTACAGGATCAGAACATAAAAGAAAAGTTCACAGTGAGGATTGAAGTGTCTCTTTTTATTTTACCATAAAAGAAGCACAAGAAAAAGAAAACCAGCCACAAATGTAGCTAACCCAAAGAAACACTGTACTGACTTCTGTATCTGCTGATGATTAATCTCTTATAGAAACCAGCCATCTCCCATTTCAAAGGATTCTCCTAGCATCCCTGAAATTTACACCATAGAATTTTGGAATGCAGCTTAATTTGATTGCGAAAGGTCAAGCTTGTTCCCTGATGGACCAATATCACATGTCAAAAGTCATGCCCAACCTCAGACGTAAAGCTGATATTGCATATTTTGATCAGCTTCTCTGTGTAAATCTTTTCATTCCATGCCATTTGGTCAGGCGACAAGATATTTTCGTAGGGAGCTGCACAGACACAATGATCACCGGTTCACTGAAATTGTATGTGAAATACGAATGACAAGCAAGTAGAACATTGTATTCTATTCATTTTTTAATCCAATAACAATAAATTCCTGCAAAAGCTTTCAATATCAATGAAATGGAAGTCTAAATCTCCCAATTTAAAATTTTCAAACCTAAAAATTGGAAAATGGAAATCATAGTTTGGGTATCTCTCAGAGCAAGTCCACATTCATTTCTGGAACTCCAAATGAAATTTACCTCATTGACTCAAAAAGGAGCCTCAAGTGATTCTTCCCAAACATCTGCACTTCCATTTGAGACATCCTCAACATCTTCTTCCATTGAAAGTCTGATGTACTCCCTATGTGCAAATCTATCCCACTCTGTTAAGGTTGGATCCTCTCGCTCCTGCTCACACCAGAAAGATGCAAATCAGTTAAATTATAATTCCAGAGAAGAAAAACTAGCACCATTCAACCTTCAACAGGTAATTATGCCAAGAAACAAAATGCCAGCAAAACGCTCATTCTACCTGGCGAATTAGAAATGGATCGCGGCTTTCAAAAGCAATGAATTTATTGAGATTAAATAGAATATTGAAAACATTTCCTGAAAGCTTGCTTGCTTTCAGGTCCTGCAGTGTGATATAATCTTCTCTCTGCAAATAAAACCACGACACTACACATAAATATAGGACCTTTACAAGATTCCAAAGCATCAAAAGAAACAGGATTTTACTTCTGGTGCAATCATGTCAACTATTTGACACAAGATATCCTCAAATAGCACAGGCTCCTGGGCCATGCACTCCATTCGGTGCAGCTGCTCCTCATAGAAGAATTGCATTTCATTGGCTGTTAATACACCATTTCCATCCAAATCTATGCACTTGAACCTACATATAGGTAAAACACATACAGCTGAAACAATCAGAAATAACTTCAAAGACAGTATGGCATCACAAAACTTGGGTGTAGACCTCCAACCTAGATATGGTGGAATCATTTCAAACAAGTAGCTTTACTAACTTGAACCTTTGTTAAGTTTATAATTCATTTCAAATTCTAACAATTTTGGTAGATCTTGATTTGAGCAAAACAAATTCCATAAAATGAAAAATGTAGAATTCCAAATAAAATTTCGTTTATATCAAACATAAAATAAATTTCACAAAATTTCATAGAGTTGGAATTCTGACACTAAATGAAGGAGTTGACCAAGGGGAACAGCAATTCTGCTGTTGATACTTCTAAAATTGGCCGGGACTCCTAAAGGTTGAGATGGCAAAAAATGTTATGATGCTTATTCTTTCTTTATGGGTAGAACCACATCGATTCTGAGGAACCGTATCTTAACCGATCAATTGAAAGAAGTTTATCCGGGAGGAGTTGTGACTCGGCATCTTGAAATTCAAGCAATAAGCAAGAATCAAGTCAGGGTAAAACCACCTAAGTATTACTAGCCATACTGATGCAGTTTCCAAGGATCATGCGCTACATGAACATGTATATAACATCAATTAATATTTCCAGCTTATTACAAAGAAAAAGTATTGTGCTGAAACAATTTGTGAATATTTATACATGCATGGGTATAAGATGCTGTGGACTCAGGAAATGTAGTGCAGAAATCACAATACATTTTTCTAATTTCTTCTGTATTGCAAAAAGCACAAAAACACCTGTCAAATGGACTATTTCCATGAAACAAATGAATAAAATAGCTAACTAAACCCAACTCTTATAGAACTCTTATGAACTAAACATCGGTTTTCAACATATGGTCACAGATATAACAAAATGTACTCTAAAGAAATAGGCTTAGCTAATGCAGAAAGAATGATTTTATTGTAAATTATATAAAATTTCATTATCTAGTTAACCCTTACTAATTTCCAGTAAGATAAAAAATGTTAATAATGAAGATGAAAATATAGTTTACCAATATTCAAGACTAGGCTCTGAAGATTTGTCCTCTTCTGAGAGCATAAAGTACACAAAATCTTCATAGCCCATCTTCCCTTCAATATTGCTGGTGAACTTCTTTGGCACCTGAGATAAAATTACAACACAAAAACAACAGAAGTTGTGTAACTCATTTAGTAAATTGTTTCTCAAACTCTGAAAATTGAACTCAAGTTTATTCAAACTTTAAAAAGGGAGAAAATATGTGAAGTCAACAAACCTGTGAAAATATTCTATCAACAATCCTGTAGGTAAGGGCATGATTGCCATATCTAATGAGATTTTCTTTGTCAATCAAGAAATCATGGTCTGTATCCAGCTCCCAGAATTTGCAGTATACAACATAGAAATGTTCATAAGAAAAGTATCTGAAACAAAGGAAAAAGCACAAAAACTAATCCATATCAGCCATTGATAGTTGAATGAATATGTTAAACAATAAATATAAAAATATTACATCTGGAATGTAATAGAATACTTTTCGAATGCAATTATCACATTAGCATGTCCCATAATAAGTTGAGTAGTCTCAAATCAAATTACAACCAAATTATTTGTTCAGCATTCTCAAATTATTACTCTGGCAAGGATAAAAATTGGTTTCTCCTTCTTATTTAATTAGATTGAAATCAAAACGTGGTCCCCTCAACTAAATTCACATAAAATCTCAATGGTTAACATTCCTAATATAGCAATTCATGTAACGAGTTTATTGGCACACCAACCTTAGGACTTTGTTAATATCCTCTTCCTCATCTGCATGTTGCATGGCGCCAATGAGATCACTACGTTTCAGCTCTCTAAGTGTAAGTCGACCATTTCCTGATCTATTGATGTAGTAGAATATTCTGTATATGACTGTTTCAGCTGGCCATAGAAAATATTTGAGGGAAAATTAATTTATGAACAAATAAAATGACAAGAAGAGAAAATATATTTTAAAAAAAAAAAAAACTTGCAAAGCCATCTAAAAATTGATTGATTATACAATGCAAAATTCTATTATATTTAATAATTATTCTTTAATTTACACCTGAAAAGGTTTCAAAAAACCATTCACATGGAATTCCCTTTCAGTTAACCAAAATTATAATTGTCAATTAGGGTCAATAAAAGCCTTATAGTGTACTACTAGGGACCTTTTTGATTCTGAATTGGCAATTAACCATCTTAAATCATAACCTCTGTTTCAGAAATCATTCCTCAAATCAGCTTTCCTTTGTTCTTGCACAATGTACGTAATGAGTGCATGGAGAGGAAGGGAAAGTGTATGAATTAATAAACTTTGTCTTACACCTTTGTGGATGAGGCAACCATAGAGATTGGGGCAAAACAATTTTATAATTGAAATGTTAAGTATCAAACCATAGTTTGGCTGATGATAAGATAGAGCACCTATTAATTATGTGCATACCATATCTTTCTTGAAATTCAGGTGTGTTCTGTAAGAATTCCAAACCCGGATGGGTTGCCAGAAGTTCCCGAAGAACTGGTTTGAAGTCAGCCTATACAAAAAGCATGAAATAGATAGGCATAAGTCTATCTGCTGGCAAATAACCAGCAATCCAGTAATCTTGGCATCACAACCACCTGGAAGGAAAACATATAATGCCAACAAGTGTAATCACAAAGACCAGAGATTGCAAGACAGACCTGTGTAAGGTATTTGTTTTCTGACTGCTTTAGAATATGAAACATGCAAGTTGCTCTATCCATTGCAAGCATATTGATATCCACCCAATATTTAATGAATGCATCCCTGCAAATAAATGACATAACTGAGGATGTGGCACATATTAATAAAATTAGCAGATAAAACTCAGCATCATTCAGAAAAAATGGATAGCAATAAGTGAGTAATCGTTCATTCCCAAAATGTATGCAGCCTACAAGCAAGTGATATTTCCCATCCACAATCAAATAATATGCTAAGCAGTTAAAATAATTCCTAAATTATGAAGGAATAACAGTCAGTGAAACCTAAGTGACATGCCTGCTTGCTTTCAGAAAGTTCTAAAAAAGAAAATGTTTTCACTTGGCGATTTAATTCAATAAAGCTGCAGCATTGCTTTGATCAGGTCCAATCTTTGCATACTCCTAGGCTTATGCCATCTTTGGAAGGAGGAGGCTGACACTGTTTTTTTTTTTTTTTTTTCTGACTACGTTTTTTTTTTTTTTTTTTTTTTTTTGGGGGGGGGGGGGGGGGGGGGAGGGAGGGTGCTGGAGGAGGGGGATTGGAGTTTTCAATGTTATGTTCTAATTCCTCTTTGTTTGCTGGAAGAATAAGGAAGCAGAGTAAAGATAACCAATAAAGTATAGGACCCACTCTCTCATTTTTTCCTCTCCGCATTGTTTGAAAGAAAAGTGAGAAAAATCCATTGAAAAACATGTTAATCCTCAAATAACAAATTTTTTATTTTAACAATAAATACTTACACATCATAGTTACAATTCATCAAACATTGCTCGCCACACCTTTCCATTTTTATCTCCCTAATCCAAACTGTTATATAGGAAAAGTATGAAAAATTACTAATGGTCCAGTCAATCTTTCTATCCTTCCCTTTATATTCCATTCTCATTGTTTCTTATCGTCTCTTTATCTTGTATCATTGGCCATATAAGGTATGAAATCCTCAAAGTAAGGTATAATTCAAAATTAACCAAGAAGAAGGTGCTGTGAAAGATAATAAGGAAAGCTAAAATATTTGCTTACATAAATGGAGCAAAAACACATCCAAGGTAACCTTGGATAATAGCAATTGGCCAAGCCTGCAAGGTACATGGGGGAGGGGAGGGGAGGGGAGGGGGATTGGAGTTCAATTTATGTTCTAATCCTCTTGTTTGGGAAGAATAAAAAGCAGAGTAAAGAAAAAATAAGTATAGGACCCACTTCTCATTTTCTCTCCGCATTGAAAGAAAAGTGAGAAAAATCCATTGAAAACAATGTTATCCTCAATACAATTTTTTTTATTTTAAACAATAAATATTAACATCATAAGTTACTATTCATAAAACATTTCCCCCTCCATTTTTATCTCCCCCTATCCAAACATGATAAGGAAAAGTATGAAATTACTATTCATAATTTTCTCTTCCCTATTATTTTCCTTCCATTGTTTCTTTCCTCCCTTATCTTTCATGGCCATTAAGGTATGAAATCCCTCAAAGTAAGGTATAATTCAAAATTAACCAAGAAGAAGTGCGTGAAAGATAAAATGGAAGCTAAATATTTGCAGCATAAAATGGACAAAAAAATCCAAGGTAACTTGATATAGCAATTGCCAAGCCTGCAAGTACATGTCATAGTTGCAATATACTCAATAGCAGAAAAGCTGAGTGATAATTGCTAAATGTTGAAAAACAAAAAAGAAGGACAAATAAAATATGGAGGCTTTAACTCCTACCATGAACTACACAGGAACAAACCACTGCCTACCTTGTCACTATCCCACTGCAGTCAGTATCTATTTTTCTGAAGAGAGCAGAAGAGAGGAAAGATGGAAGATTGCAAACTTCCTTCACTATAGATTTAAATTCTGCATAACGAGAAAAGAAATGTCAGTCCCTCGTAGGGTTCTGTCGCATCTTTTGCCCTCTATCTAGGCATCCGAAGAGACATAAAGCAAATCAAAAAATTGAAAGCATACAACCACAGGTAAACAAGTGAATTAGATATATAGATTGATTATGGCTACCATGTTTTTGCAACCCATCCAGATGATTACTGAAAAAGTGATTAATTCTAGACAGACATTGGTCTTTCAGTTCATTTGCTGGTGGACGACCATTTTGAAAATAGAACTGCAAGTATATGAATATGTAAACATTGTGAGAATTTAATAATTAGCCTTGAGCAGAGATAAAAATTTTAAATTTTCAATTCAATAATGGAATCTCAATTATGACAGTATCTTACAACAGAAGCTGTCAGGAGTAGGTGAAACCTGAGGTATGACTTCTCGTACTGGTTCACTAACAAATTTTAATGGAGAACCCAAAGAAGACGGGCTTGTCTTCTGCTTGGACATGCGTGGAGAACCAGATGAACTTCTTGGTGAAAGTGGAGGTGTACTGCCAGCAGGAAACATGGAAGGCAATGAAGTCCCTCCACCAGAACTTGCACTGGCGAAGTTCCCAAATACATTAATAGGATTTCCAACTTTTGCATCATCAATTAAAGATTTCACCTACAGCCAAAGTGTAAACAACTTAGAACACTATCAGATAGAGCAGACCAACACATTTGCAAAGCAGAGGTGAAATTAAGTGGATGCCAAAAAAGGGTGTGAAAATTTGCAATTTAATACAATGAATAGTAATAGCTAGAAAATATCTATCAATTTATTCTATACATCAAAGGAAAACTATAATAGGTTAGCAGATAAGTAGTAGAATAGAGGTTAGGAAGGAAAACCAATAGGGATGAGTTAATAAACAATATCATTGCACCACCTGGCATTGCAACTGCAAACCTAGGTAAGAGGTGTGAGGCAGGGATCACAGTAATCAGGGGTTGAATAGAAGTGGGGGCTGGGACAGGGAAACAAACACAACAAAACCACTTAAGAATAATGCTGAAGAAGATCACATTGTAGCAGAAAAAAATAACAGCGGAAGCAAAAAAGAAATGAAAATTTAAAAAAATAGTCCCCATCTCTACTAAATAATTATGTCCTTCACAACAAACTTTACAAGTCAAGAATAGTTTGATACTCTAGACTACCTACCAATACCAAATTAAATTGGTCACAGGTCAGGACATCATAACTTAAATTCAGACCCCATTTCATTACTTAAGCATCAATTGACTACAATTAACAAGTCAATTAAGTTATAAACAATTTCAGAAACAAGAAAATTACCAGTCGATTAGTATCTGGAAGTGAAAGCCACTGAGAGAACAACTCCTCAGCTATCTGAGGACTGGCTTTGAGTACAAATGGAGACACTTCTGAAAGCTGCAACAACTCGGGATCCAAATAGGAAGCATCCCCAACACCACCTACCGTATCAATATCCATAACATACAACTACCCTTAACAACTATTTCCAGAAAAACTGACCCAGCACAGGATTAGTCACCTCCAAAACCCTAGCTCTTCACTTCCTCCAAAATCATCTATCACAAGTGACACCAGTATTCCCAAACACAAACTATTTTCTCCCACTCAAAGAAACACCAGGAGTAAGGCAAGTTCTAGAACAATAACCAGATTCTGCTGCCTAAACCCCAAGTAAACTGTACTAGAGATACTTTCTTGAGTGAAACTTCAACCATAAAACTTGAAAATTATCAAGCACAAGCAAAACGAACACTCCAATCTGAAGTAAACAGCTCAAATATTTCTTGCTCCAAAACCCTAGAAATTCTTACAAAATTTATCCTCAGAAGATACTGTAACTTCGCAAAAAACCACAGAATCGGAAAGGAAAAAAAGAAAAAACACTTCGTTGAGAGGACTTTTTGGCTAAGTTGTTGTCTCAGAAACCGGAAAATCAAGAAAAAGAGTGTAGAATTCGAGACGTTAAACGCAGAGGAGCAGAGAAGCGGTTAGTAGTTTCTTGTTGCTACAGTGAATTGGGAAAAAGAGAGACAAGTAGCCGTGAAAGGGGAAGCAGAACATCAAAAAAGGAGACGACGCGGTTTTGGTTAAACAGAAACCGCCCTCGGACAATGCAGAGACACTTCACAGTCGAAACATGAAACTCTGAGATTTCTCCGTATCTTGTACGAATTTTATACGTGGGTTATATACGCTGCCAGCAGGAAATAGGGCTTAAGCTTATGGCTCAGATTTTTTTTGTAATTCTCTCTCTTTTTTATTTTAAAATGTGTATTTAAATTTAAGTTTTAAAGATTGAAACTGTATTAATTTAAATAAATATATATATATATATATTAATGTTATACTAGCTCGAGAATTTGCAATCAGAAGAACAACATGAAAAAGAAAGCGGAAATGTGAAATTTATATATATAATTGAAAATTTATGTATTTCAATTTTCAACGGCATTGAGTGGAAATATAATATATATTTTATTTCTATTGTTACAGAAAGAAGTTATGACTATTTATCAATTATTTTATTATTATCTGTTCTTACATCTAAATAGACAATAAATATTAAATAAATTAATTTATTTTATTTCTCTTATTCTTCCATATATTTTTAAATCAAAGTTTGCATAAAGTCTTCGAGAAGCAATTTTTAGAATATGGCTTCTTTTATTTCTAAATAATAATTTATTGTTAAAAAATATTTTCCAAACTATCTATAAGTTTAAAATATCAAAGATATAATTTATACGACTATAACCATGTTTAAAATGTAACCACACATGTATATAAATAGTTTGCAGAAGTGGAAAATCTCTGGTTCATTTAGCTAATAAAGGAAAATGTTACATTTAATGTATAGTTCAAAATATTGTTTTTAGCCTATTGAGCTTTTTCTTTTTTTAATTCATTGAGGCTTTTATGGGCTGAAATAATATTACAGGCTACACAACATGGGTAATCCTCCCTTTGACTCATCAAATTGATGAAAACACCTATACTCGAAATAACTCAAACTCGAGACTTTTCACTATTTACATAAGTGAGAAAATCAATCAGATCATCACTTGATTGGCACCTATTGAGCTTTAACGGAGGAATATATATTGAAAATTAATCATTAGTTACCAGTAATTAGTTGGTTTCTACATTTCTTTCAAAAGATCAAAGATTTCATAACGTTAAATACGCATTTACACTGGTCCTTGATTAGTAATTAATTACCTAATATATACAATATATAAAAGCAGATAAGTCTGTCATAAATAACAGTCAAGTGTAAATATTTGAGATTGTCACGTCTAATGAGAGTTAGCACAATTGTAAGAAGATAAGACACAATTGTAAGAAGATATATTGTTTTATATTTTCAGATGATATTTTATTAAAATAATATATATAAAAAATATTATCTCTAGCATTAATATATCAATATAAATTTATTTTTTATTACAAAACAAATATTATCTCTAAGCATTAATATATCAATATAATTTAATTTTTTATTAGCAAACCAATTAATGAGTATCCTACACACTTAAAAATATGAATAAATAATTATATTACTATTAAATAATATATATAAATAATTTTAAAAATATAAATTATTACCGCACGGATAACGAAATTTTTTAAAAAAGTATGATATCTCACGCGCGCTTAAAACACACTACTAAATAAGTGATATATTAATATTTCAAATCAATATACAATCATTTATAATAAATTATAAACATAAAATAAAAAAATTAATTTCTTATTTCAAGGATAAAATAAATTTAAAAAAAAAACACTTCATTTTTTATTAGTAAAACCTTCATTGATTAGCTTAATGTATGGAGTAGTCTCATATGCCAGAGTTAGGTTGCACGGATAAGGCATACGAGATACGAAAACGTATAGGATATAACAATTTTTTAAAAAATAGGACATTCACACACTACACCGAATAAGTAATATATTAATATTTCAAATAAATAAACAATCATTTTTAATATATTAGAAACATAAAATATAAAAAAAAAATTAATTTTTTATTTTAATGACATAAAGATAAATTTGCGAAATAATGCTTTATTTTTTATTGATAATTAAAAAAAAAACATTGGTTGATTAACTTGGTGTATGAAGTAGTCTCATATACCAGGAACTATGTTGCACGGACACAGGACATGGAATATAAGAATATATATGATACAATAATTTTTAAATAGGTATGACATCCACATGCTACATACTATACTAAATAAGTAATACATTAATATTTCAAATAAATAAACAATTATTTATAATAAATCATAACATAAAAATAAAAATAAAAACTTAATTTCTTATTTCAATATAATTAGTTAAAATTTCAAAATTATTATTACTATTGAAAAATACATTAATGGTGTGTGTGAATTTTTTGATATAGGTCATATGAATTTTTTGATATAGGTCATATGTACACGACTTTTACTATTATTAGTAAAACGCTTCGCAGAATACTTGAGAAAACATATCTTAGTTAGGGATGGCAATTTTACTTGATCTGATGGGTAACCAATTAGATCCGATCTGATTTTAGTGGGTTTGGATAGTGAATAAACAGGTTTAGAACGGGTTTGGATTACTACCCGTATCAAATTCGGGTTGGGTTCAAGGACTCGGGTCCCCACTACCTGTTTAATTAATATTTCAAAAATATTTAAAATAATTATTTTTCTAAAGAAAATTATATTTATATATAGATACACACACCTTTTTAATTATAGCTAATGCTATAATTATATTTAATATTTATATATTTAATATTTTATATTAAAATTTTTTTAATTAATTCAAAATATATTTATAATTTTTACTTTTATTTTTTATTTTTGAAAAATAAAAAAATATTTTTAATATAAAAGGGTATTTAAACTGGTTCGGGTATTTAAACAGGTAATTATAATCGGGTTCGAAACGGATTCGGATATTAAAAGTGAATTTCTAAATGGGTTCGAATATCTAATTTCTAATCGGATATTTAAACGGGTTCAGGTATTTATAATGCCTTTCACGATCATTTTGTTATATAATTTTTTTGAATGATGTTATAAAATATTATTTCATCTTTTAATACTGTTCCGCGCATCGCGCGCCGGTACTAACACTAGTTAATATTAAAACTAAAGTTGCACAAATTATTTTTAATTATATATGTGTCAATTATTTTAAAAATGTGTTATTTTATCAAATTTAGACATTCAATTATAATTCTAGAATAATTATATTTTAGACATTTATTGTCACGCGTATATATACTGAGTAGTAGCCATGAGCTGCATTAGTTTTCATGTTGTTGTAAATTAGTTTAGGGTTTTGATTAAAATTAGAGTAATATAAATCTAGAATTGGGATGTCCGAAATATGGATACACTAGCAATATATCCGTGCTATATACGCGGTTAAAAAAAAGTAAAATAAAGTAAAATTGAGGGAATATATATATAATTTTTAGATTTTTGAATGAAATTTATTTTATTATGCTATTAAAAAATATTATAAAGACATATCAATAGTAAAAAAATAATATAGCGTGATTTCATATTATTAAATTTTTTATTATTAAAGTAAAAATTAGTAGATAGGCATGTGTTTAGAAATATAGATTAAAAATATTGAAATTTACAAAGACAAATAAGAAAAAGCAAAATGAAAAGTGGTAAAATGATTTAATTTATTTTAAAATTAATGTAAAAAATAATTAACTCGTTATTTCTTTAAAATCTATGAATAAATAATTTATTTTAAATAATTATTTATTTTAAAATAATTAAGAGGTTGTATAATCTTTCAACTTATCAACTTATCATATTATTAATACTATAATTTATTATTTATATTTAACATAATTTAATTTAATACAAAAATTTTTAATTTTTTAATATAAAAATAGTAACCGTGGTCTCATTAAAATTTATAAATTATGTAATTTATTTATATCATTAAAAGTTATATAAATGGTAACTTAAAACACTATTAATTCTCTAACATTATATAATCAATTATATTTAAGGCGGTTTAATTCAATCATAAATTAATTTATTTTCAAATAAATATAAAAACAAACGATTAAGTCATATACATTTTAAAATTATATATATATATATAGTTTACGGCTAAAAAATATGTTAAATAATTTTTAAAAAGGAAACAAAAAAAAAAGTTTGAGTAAAAATTACTAACCCCATTAGCGAAAATAGTTAAAATGTAGAAAATTTTAAACTTAAAAAAATAATAATATATTTAAAAGCAAGAACCAATACACATTTGCTAAGAATACAGAATAATACATCGATACAACTTATATATAGCATTTCTAAAAAAGTTAAAGTGTTTCTTAAGGGTAAATAATTTAAAAAAAATGCATTATTTTAAAAAAATAAATGAAAAACATTTAGATAGAAAACGTTAAAGTACGTTAAAAGTTGTTAGAGAAAATATTTGTTACTTCACAAATTTGAGAGTAAACATTTGTTACAAAGCAATTCAATAATACATTAATACATTAATTGAATAATTCATTATTATTAAACTTTATCATTTTTTAAAACTAATAATTAATAATAATTACTTAAATAATAATCTACTTAAGTCATTATATATTAAATAATTCAAAATTCAACCAAATCAAACCAAACCAAAAATACTAATTCAAAATAAATCCAAACTAAACCAATATATTAATACATTAAATAATCAAATCAAACCAAATCAAAATAACTCAAAATAAATCCAATATTAATATATTGAATAATCAAATCAATTCAAATCAATTAAAATCAAATTAAAAACATTAATTCAAAATAAACCCAAACCAAACCAAACCAAACAAAGTCAATAAATTAATACATTAAATAATCAAATCAAATCTTGTCAAGTGGAAGTCTAATTGGAGAAATATGCCACGTGTTAAATTAAAATGCCAAATAGATAAGTCACATGTCAATTTTCTAAGGAAAAAATGCTTGCATATATATATATATATATATATTATATTATATATATATATGCTGTGTATATATATATCATATTGACATTGATTGATTTAAGGTGTAATATATATATATATATATGTGTGTATATATATATATATTGACATTGATTGATTTAAGGTGTAATTATTTATTTTTGAATTGTTATATGATTATTTTTTTCTCAATTGTATTTTTTATTGCAGGGTGGACTAATCTTGTGTCCCGTAGCCGGTAGCCGTGCAACCTAGATTACTACACCAAGTAAAACAAAAACAAAAAAACCGCAAAAAATTCTTGGCAATTTCTTCTCATTTTCGAGCCAAAAGAAACAATCTTTTCCTATCTCCGCCTCTCTTCGTCTCCGTTAAGGCCTCTGGATTTCAACTGTGTATCGTACAAAACATAATTCGAGCTAAACAAAAATGAACCTCTTCAACAAGAAACCGAATCCCAAAGGTTTGATTATCCAAAGTTCGATTCTAAATCACATTATATAAATTTGTTCATGATGGCTGCTCGAATATTTATCATTTTAGCGTTCATTCGAGCAATTGGGTTTATAGATCTCTTTGATTTACTTGGAGATTTTCTTTTTGTTAATTTTGATTTCAGAGGTTCTTCGAGAGAGCAAAAGAGAAATGCAAAATGCTACTAGAGGTACCCTTTTTTTTGAATTGAAAATTTTTTTTGGATAATTTGCGCTTCAGTTCAGTATTAGACTTACGAAACTCTTGATCATTATATTTAACTCTCCGGGTTGTGCAGTTTTAAATTCTGTTATTGTTGTCTTCTTACTTGTTATGTTTGAACATTATCATCTACAAATTTTAAAATTTTATCAAACGTATATACCATATATATAGAAGTATATTTAATTCAATGATTTGTGGTGATATACAATTTATGGAAATGATTTTATGATATGAGGAAAATTCAAATGCTTTTCCACGGGGAAAAGTATCAGCTGGAGTGGTTAGATTTGAGGACCAGTTATTACATTGGCTCTTATTCTGAAATATGTAAACTGGGTTTGAACCTAAAGGAACAGAATTGGAAGAGGTGCATGAGTTAAGTAATACTGCTGCCTTGAGGAATTACTAATTCCAAGTAAGGTTATGTCGGTGCCTCATACACATGAAGAAACCCTTGCGGGGGCAGGGATGTGATCACTTCAAGATGGAGCTATCTATTTCGTAGAACAACTATGTATTCAGTCACAATTACATATGTAAAACCCAGTTCATTTTTTATTATTCCTTTTTTCTAATGTATTAGTATGTGCGAAGAAGATAGTCTTTGTTCCCATCTAAGAAATTTGGACTCTTTTAAGGTTGAACCATGTCCTTGCTTTCTCTCACTCCCTAGTGAGTCATGTTAGACTTGTCAAACTTACACAATAATATGGACAAGGTAACACTTGTCAGGTCAGGATCCAAATTTTAGTATTGCGCATTTTCGAACTCATAGGTTGAGTCTCCTTGGAGCTCTTATCTTGTTAATCTGGATTGTCTTATGTGGAGGGCTCGTTTCTTGATTCTGGACTCTTACTCGACTACTTAGTGATTGTCCAAGTTATATTATGGTCCTTTTTGTCTGTTGGGTTTAAAATCGAAGCAAAAGTTTGATATTCTTATTGATGTTTTTATTGTCTTTTCACACGATTCAGGTATAGAGAAGGAAATTGGAGCCTTGCAATTAGAGGTAAGCCAATAGTTTTAGTGACAACTTATTTTGAACTTTTGCTGTTAGATCTAACAGATTTATCATCTCATCAGGAAAAGAAGCTTGTCGCTGAGATAAAAAGAACTGCTAAGACAGGAAACGAGGTACTTTATAGGTTTTGATTTGAGTCAGATTCTTCAACTCCAGGAAACTTGTTGCTTTGGCTGATAACTGTTCTTGAATTTTCAAGCACTTTTTTCTTTTTACGGTTGAAAAGAACCACAGTTAGTGATTTTGAGGACCATTTGATAGCATTAAGTATATCTAGTCCTAATAGATTCTCATATTTATGTGAATTTGCAGCAAGGTCACTGCTTTCCAATTTTTGGAGTTGAGTATGTTTCATAATTTCTTTATTAATTGGTAACAAGCTTAGTTGCTGACTAGGTTTTTTGTTTATTGAGTAATTGTTTTATTGTTCATGACTATTGAGTTTTTCTCTTTAGCTTGTTTTAAAGTTCAACAAAGTAAACCTTTTCATTCTTTTCTTCTTAATCCTATTTAGGAGTCCAAGCCTAACAAAGATTAGGAGGACCTATAATCCTGTAGTATAGTATTATGCCTTCAATTTTATAGAGATCTATTTTGCCTTAATGTTTCAGAAGCTTTGAAGCTTACATGAGGATTTGATTGTTTTATTATCCTAGGAACCCTAGGTGCAACTGGATAGGCTTCCTTTTGCCCCTTTTCTTTTTCTACATTCAGGTAGAATTCCTGATAGGATTTTGCAGTTTAGTCATCATGCATCCTTCTGAACTAACCATTTTGACGCTGATTTTATTCCTAAATAATAATTCAGCAATTCCTAGTTCCCCAATTAAATGATAAAACTCAAATCCTCTGACTACATTAGATTTCCCGCCCTTGTCTTGCAATGATACCTTCTGATATATCTATTTCTTTCTGTTCTTTCATTGTTTTCTCCTTTTTGTATGCATTTTACAGGCAGCAACTAAAGTCCTAGCCAGGCAACTTATCAGGCTTAGGCAACAAATAGCTAACTTACAAGGTAGTCGTGCTCAAATGAGAGGCATAGCAACTCATACACAGGTAGGGTATCTGATCATGCATGTTTTATAAAGACAGACTATCTCCTCTTCTTTTTCTCTATTGAGGAATGCATGCACAATGTGCTCTTATTAGTGTTTACACCCTTATGCAGGCAATGTATGCCCAATCTTCTGTTGCTAATGGTTTGAAAGGTGCCACGAAGGCGATGTCATCTATGAATAAGGTATGTATATAGTATAGATTGGATATCAGATGAATACTTGTATATTTCACTATGCAAGAGTGATTGCTTGCTTTACTATAAAAGCAGCTTCTTGATGTTAGTGCCTCACCTTTTCTTAAATTAATATTTATTTTGTTACCATATGGAACTAAAATTCAAAATATTTTTATTGCTATTTTGGTGTGGCTGTTATGTTTTATTTGCAGCAAATGGCTCCTGCAAAGCAAGGAAAGGTTATAAGAGAATTTCAGAAACAGTCAGCATTGATGGATATGACTGTAAGATCATAGTTCTAACTTCTAATTTAGAATAATTTAACATGAAAGGAGGTTTGTACCTTGTCTCTTGGTTGATATTTGCGGTGTTTACTGGTCACCTTGTGCATGTAGACGGAAATGATGTCAGAAACCATTGATGATGCCTTGGATGATGACGATGCTGAAGAGGAGACTGAAGAGTTGACAAATCAAGTGAGCTACTTTTGACTGCTTCTTTTCTCCTTTTACTTTGTTATTATTATTATTATTATTATTATATGATGTGAAGCTTTCCACACATGAAATACCATCATCCTCAAACAACAGATTAAATCTGTCTACTATTCAATGGGTTTGCAGTTGTAATGACTTAACTATATCCAGATCTCTTGTTATAGTGTTAAACTTTTTTAAGCTGGTAGCAAAGGGGAACATTGGTAGAAACCATTGCCTGTGCTTCACTTTTGTGAATTTTAGTGCAGAAAGTGATGACATTTTTTTTTTCTCTTTAAACTCTTATGACAGGTACTAGATGAAATTGGTGTTGATGTTGCCTCCCAGGTTGGTGTCAGTAGTAATTTCGTTTCAGAACTTTGTTTTCAATTTATTAGGCTTTTCTTTCTTTCCTTTATTTTTTCGGTTTAATGCTGACTTGAGTTGAAACCTGGCAGTTGTCAACGGCACCAAAAGGTAAAATTGCCGGGAAGAATAAAGAGGATGTGGGCAGGTATTATTCTTTCTTATATTTTTAATTTTCTGATAAGAAGTTAAAAACATATTTTCAACGACAACAAATTCATAACTGGTCTAGAAGCCACAGTCTGTTCCTCTCTCTCTCTCTCTTTATCTGCATCCATGATCTTGGTAGCAAGGGGTATAAGGCTTCATTTGGGATTGAGTTTGGAGCTGCCCTTTTTTTTTTTTGAGAAAAAAAAAATATAATTGTTCCCAAACCATAGTTTGTTAAGCCTTGTATATTGCGGACACAAATTGCCAAATGCGAACCAAGTATAATGGTACAACATTTCCAACTGAGACTAGAATAATTGAAGAATCATATGAAGAACAGGAATCTAATCCTTCTATTGCTCGGTAGCTCATCTTTGGCTCTCTTCTTGCAGTTCCGGCATTGATGAACTTGAGAAGAGGTTGGCTGCTTTGAGGAATCCTTAAAACAATGACAAGAAGTTCCATGTTTTTATCCTATCGATCAGAGCTTCACCACATAAGCTGATTCTTCAAAGTGATTTGTTCTGTATATATCATCTTCTTCGTATCCATGGTTCTCTGGAAGATGTTTAGCTTGTAATTTGGTGCTTGTGAAAATACTATTTCATCAGATCATCTGTTTCACAATGCCCTCTCGGCTCAAATCAAGAATCAGAGTTAACTCAAAATCTAATAATCTTTTTTAGTAGATAAATGTATTTTTGGTGATCGCAAAATATTAACTTCGGCATTGATATAGAACCAGCCAATATGAAAAATTGGGAAATAATGTTTGATTTATTTATTTAGGCCAAATGCATAAATATGCTCAACTCTAACTTTAATCGAGATGGCAACAAAAATATAATGCCTGCATCGAAGTTTGTGGTGCTATCCAATTAAAGTTGTAATTTTGAGAGTGTATTTATGTATTTAGCCTTGTATTTCATCCTGTATTTAGGCTTGTATTTGGTCGGAAATACCGAATAAAAATTGTTAAGTAGGACCGTTTTATATTTATATTTATTTTTGATTCAATTCATGTATACAAACATGAATAGGTTACAAACTTGAATCAGTATAAACGCTTTCGTTGACAAACAAAAATGTTACTATTTGATTACTTTAATAAATTTGTATGACCTGCTTCAATATGGCTGTACAATGCAACATATAACATGAAGGACGCCTTCAAGGATATAAAGTAGAATATGAATAAGCTTAAGTAAACACAATCTGAGTCCTATATGTATATATAAGGGGAAAATTGTTCCATACATAGTTTTCTTCTTGGAAGTTTTTAGAACACATTACAAGAATTGGAAACTTCCGAGGAAAAAAATTAGAAAAGGAAAGGCAGCAGGAACATGACAGGTAATGTTGTTCTTAAGGTGATATTGTCAGTGATGGCAGTGATCAAGTGGAATCCCATATACAATGGCAAGATTATGAATTCCAAGATTGCTCGACATTTAAGAGTATGTATTAGTATGATGCTTAAGCATCTTCTAACATCAAATTCTCTCATCACTTCCGGATTGAGAGGAGCTCAAAGCTCCGAAAAGTGTCCTCACGAGCGCCTTTAGAAGCCACACCACGAGTATGAGATGATTTGGGCTCATATCCAGGTTGGATTCTTTGTGACGAAGTCAGACGGCTACTGCTAGACTGTAATCTGCTAGAACGACATTCACTAGGTTCACATGAGGAACTTGGCCTACTACTTGAGATGACAGCTTTTCTCGAGTTGCTACCATATCGAGAAGAACTGCGCCCTTTCTCCTGCTCGGGTTGCTGCACATAACAGTGGAAAAAGGTCTTTGGTAAGAAATTTTTTTGGGGGAAAGGAAAGGAAGTTAAAGAACAATATTGCTATGACTTGAATATAAAGATTCAAGTAGAGCACATAGATACAAAGAGCAGACCATACTACTGTGCAATAACCAAAAGCAAATGAGACAAGACATAACAGGTGTCAAGTTTGGTTCAAATATCAATTTCATATATCCACTAAATTAAACTTGTCTTGGGTCGGAAAGTCCCCTTTGTTACATTTCCCTTCTTCTGACTTCCACTTGCTCTTTTCAGCAGCAGAAAGAATGGAGTCCTTAAATTCAAAACTAATTTCAGAATCAAAGCCTTGGCTACCCAAAAAATGGAAAACTAATAAAACAACACATAAGGAGGGAATGAGAAAAGCTTTTATGTAGAATCTTCTTGGGTTTAAAACCAATGGAACATTAGAAAAATAGGGTGTCAAGCCTAAACAAATGCAAGCAATACCATAAGATAGGCTATTTACTCCCCTTATTCTCGTGTTATGACTATCATTTCCTGTTTTACTTTCATACTGGAAATAATATCATTTACTATAGACTCCATATGGTGGAATAACTTAATCCTATTAACCAATTACTAATTTTCAAAGTTCCTTAAAAAAGACAAGAATACAAATCAGCTTGCCATGAGAATTTTAATAAGATTGGGCAAAAGTAGTTTCTCTAACAGTTAACTGCATTAAGATGAGCTTACAATGTCTGAAGATCTGTTCCTGGAAATGTCATGTGGACTGGAACCAGAGACCTTTCTTGTAGAAAATGCTTCAACTGCACCTGACAATCTATCTCGAATCTCTTTCCCAACTGGATGGAAGTATCATATGACAGGTATTAATCATTGAGAGAATTTTGAGAAACAAACAAGGCAGGCAAAAGAAGTGACTGTTTGTGCATGATACTATCTAAAAGCATATTCCATAACATGCTGTCCATCTGTGTGATATGCATATTGGGTTTTAAACTAGAAAGAATGCCATCTTGTCCCCCATCCAAGCTTTATAACACAGTTGCATAAACTTGACACCAAATTTGAAATCCAGTTCTGTTTAGAGAAATACCTGAGACCTTTTCTGTGGGTCTTTCTGCAGACGGTCCTGCATGACCAGGTTTCACACCGGAAGTCTGAAAGAGTCAAAGCATAAAGTAAGTAACATATTGTGGAGGTGGAGGGGCAGAAACCTAGGCCTATCTAACAGTTCACAAGCACTTACCCGTCCTCTAGAACTAGAACTAATCTGAGGGTACTTCAAAACCGTCCAGTCAAAAACATAATCAAACTGATAGCCTGCAGAAGCAACCATGCCAAAACCCAAAAAACTAATAAAAAACGTACATAGGGTAAATATTTAATTAACCCAGAAAAAGTTTAAAAAGAAAGAGCAGGAGTATCAGAAATGTTAAATATAAACATACTTTAAAAACTTAAATAAGATAGTCCTGATAGTTCACCTTCTCGAATAAATAAATCACGAAATAGCCTCTTCAAATATGAATAGTCTGGTTTGTCCTCAAACCGCAATGACCGGCAGTAGTGGAAGTATGATACAAACTCAGATGGGTATGATTTACAAAGCACCTGTTGTATATGTGCACTTATGTTAAACAAGAACAATAAGTACAAACTAGGTCCTTGGAAAACAAGAAATGGAACAATGCTGCATTGAATTCCCACAATGTTAGGTCATGATTCAGAGCCAGGATATAATATGCAGACCAATGAAAAAGGAAAAAAGCATTCACATAGTCTACCAAAACTGCATACAAATTTATATAATATAGCAGGTCATTTGCTAAAACCCACTGAGGTTTGCCATAATATACATTTTGCTCCCTGCTGTTTCAGTATTAGCAATTTGAGTCTTTATACTACCATTGGTAAAAAGTGTAAGATTTGAAAGACTAAACTGCTTTATAATATAAAAATATAGGGATTAAAGTGCAATAAATTTTAAAATTGTCCATCTGGATAAACAGGTACATAAGAGCAACAGCATTGAACTTTGGATCTAGTGCACAATCAAGTTTTTGAAGTCCTCCTATTCAATAAAATTGTGTTAATGATCTTACCTCTATGGGAGTTGAAACTTTCTTTTCACTGATCTTGTCATATTTTTGCTTTTTTGTGCCAGCTTTTAGTCCTTGCCAGGGAAGACTGAAGCAAAGAAAGTGTACAAATGAATTAAGTTAAAATGACATGGACTCTCTAACATTAACTAGAAAATACCAACCAAAAAAGAACAAGACAGGGAGAGAAGTGAATTAATTGCATAGCTAATGCATAACCTACCTTCCCCTTAGGAAATACATAAGCACATAGCCCAGAGACTCCAGATCATCTCTTCGGCTTTGTTCTGCCAAAGAGATAAGACCATTAAATGATATATGATAAATCTAAAGTATGAAGTAGCTATTTTCACAGTTGGAAACTCATCATCACATGTAATATCACTCACCAACTCCAAGGTGAGTGTTGACACTTGCATAGCGAGCTGTGCCAGTGAGATTCTTGTTTTCTCTGCAACCAAAAGTCATACCAGTTTCAATAACAAAAAATGAAGGCATCATGCTGGCAGGAAATTTTGGGGAAAAAGGAAAGAAAAGAAAAGACATGAGATGGGAGCAAAAATGCGAAAGTACTTGTGCATACATGAGGGAGAGGAGTAAGGATCAAAAAAAGTGGTAAAAGGAGGATGAACATTATCAGATTAGATCACAGTTCAAAGAGAGAAGAACTTAAAAGGCATGAATATTTTTTGTCAAATAACCTATAAGATTTTATTTTATTTTTTTTTTAAAATGATGCATGAGAAAATAAAAGCAAAACTTAAGTGATAGAGATCTCCATTAGATTCACATGGTCAAATTATATATCACTAAAGAAGGTCTGCATGGTTATAACAAACATAAATTATTGGGAAAGATGAAATGTATTCCAAGAAAGGAAGACAAATAATGTACATAGATTCTAAAGTTGGGAGTTTTTCATGTCAATATTTTATATATGTTCCATCATTATTTCTATAAAAGTGTATATGGACATGTATAGCCACATGAATATTATTAATGCACACACCTAATACTTTGTTTCCTCCTTTACTTGTCAGTTATCAAATATAATTTTTTAAAGTGGTGCTAATACGATCTTTCTCAAAGTGGACAAATCTTACACTTAAATCAAGCCTTTGGCCTCCCCTAGTGAAGGCAATTGTTATTTCATAAGAAGAAAGAATAATAAAGATCATAAAATTATATACCATATTGCATTTACTGTACTGTTTATGCATAGTGAATTACCTGTATGGAATATGTTTGTGAGTCTGAAGATCCCTGTACTTCTTTGCAAGTCCAAAATCAATGACATATACCTGTGACAGAATGTTTCAAACATATGTAAAGTGGGAACAAATTAGACACACATCAAATTCTCTGAATGGGTCATTCATCATACAGAGATTGACTGGGGAGAGTGCCAAATCAATACTGTGATGCACTAACTGATTTCATGTACCAACACCACATACCACAAAACAAATTGAATAGCTATGATGTATTCACAATCGATTTTAATACAAAGATAAATATAATTTATGTACATCATTTCTATTTAAAGTGTACAATACCTTTCCTATGAAGAATATTTGCCAGATTTCAGCTGAATATTGGATCACTAAAATGATAAAATAAAACTTGTCATAACAACAAGCATGATACACTCTAGTTTACTGAGATAATAGCATGGGAACAAGTACCTGATTTGCTTTGCGTCCTAAGCCCATTAAAAAGTTGTCAGGCTTTATGTCACGATGAAGAAAGCCCCTTGAATGCATGTATTCTATTCTATTAATCTGAAGAGATTAAAAAGAGAGCAAAGTTACTTTTACAGTTTAAGGAATACTCTTTAACATGGATTTATCATGTGCACTTACAAGTTGATCTGCAAGCATCAAAACTGTTTTCAACGTAAATTTCCTGTTGCAATAGTTGAATAAATCTTCCAAGCTTGGTCCAAGAAGGTCGATAACCATGACATTGTAGTCAGCCTCAACTCCAAACCATTTGAGATGTGGAATTCCAGCTACATCAGAGGAAAAACAGATGGAATTATTTTTGAGAAAAGGAACCTTAACTTTTTCAACTTAAAAGTGGCAGTTAAACCAAAACATGATGTTCTGTCATAAATGTCATAAAATTTCATCCAGGAGGTCCAAAACATTTTAAGAGAGAGATAAAGATGTGGGCTTACTGCCTCCTTGAAGGAGCATATATAACTTCGACTCATAGTGAAGCTGTGGATGCTTGGTCTTCACAGGTTCCTGAAAATTGGAACAAAAGGTCAATAGTTGGTAAAGAGAAAAATCATAAGATACATGTAAGCCTCTATATAAATGGATGAAGAAGAAAGACTACATACTCTATGAAATACTCTATATAAAGACTTGGTTTCACATTCATTAATTTATTAGCAATATCGTAAATTCGAAGTGTACAACTTAGCATGGCATAAGGCTTAGGTAATTGCTCATATTGATCTCATTCAGGATCTTAAATGTCATCCCTAAGTTCCTCAATAAGACTGGAAGAATAAAAATATTTCCGGTCTTACAAGGTACATGCACACTCGCAAGGATCACAGCATCCACTATCCATATTGGTTCAAATTTTCAAAGAGGAATCAAAAAACCATCCATAACTGAGCTGATGTTATATAAAGTATAAGCATGCTTTAGGAATCATATATAAGAAACTTCAAACAAGATCCAATTCAACATCAAAAAGGGTTGACACTAAACAAAGAGAAATTATTGCATTAACAGAATTTGACAGAGCAGAATAGGAAAGGAACTACAGGAAAATGTTATTACAACAAAGAAATCAACATTGTGAGCACTACCCATCATGTCATATGCATGCAAAATAATAATATTAATAATAAATAACTCGTGACAAATACTCACTCATGTAAATCCAAATCATCAAGAATTAATCATTTCATAGAAAACGTCACATACCAGCTTAACAGCAACCTCTTCTCCAGTTTGCACATTTACACCTGAAAATTCAAGTCAAATAATCATCAGACACTTTTAGACATACAGAAAAACGAAACTAGTATAATGCTGTAGCTGAAATGTTATAATAGAAACGAATGACTTAGTTAAATGGAAAAATAGGAAATTAAATGAAAATTAAACCATACCCAGATATAGCTCTCCAAAAGATCCACTCCCAATCTTCCTTCCCAGCTTAAACTTACCACCAACCGTAAGGTCAATCTTTGATTTCTCCATTGCTAGATAACTCAAACCCCAGGCCAAAAATTGCTATATTTACTGAGATTTGTAACCAATGAGCCTTCTTACGTTCACGCCCTCAAAACCAAAAGATTTAACAAATTCACCGATTCACCCAATCTCTTTTTTTTTCCCTTCTTTTTTTAGAAAGAGTTTAACTTTTCACAATCAACGCATTTAGTTAGTGTTAAATTGGAAAGCAAAGGAAAAAAAATATTGACGATAAGAACCAAATCAATCTTAAATGCAATCAATTTTTGTTAAAAGAATATTGACCTTCTTCCTTTTTATTTAAAAGGGTTAGGGAAAAAAATCTTTACAATCACATGCTTTCAAACAGAATCCCAAAAATCTTCCAATGCATATGAGGGATCAAAACCCTAATCAAAACGGAAATCAAGCTACATTGACCAGAAAAATCAAGTGCAAATGCATGGTGTAAACAATAGAAAACAAAATTGACAAATCCTATAGATCCAAAAAAGAAAACCTAGCTTTGGGATTAAATCGAAAAAAATAAAGATTTAAGGACAGAAATGGTAAGAAAAATTTTTAAAAAAAAATAAAGAGGGGAGAAATGCGTTTGTGTTGATTAGAAAGAGAAGAAATGTGAGAAAGGAGGAAGAGATAGGAGAAAGGAAAAAGAGCAGGTGAGAGAGTTAATTAACTATTTCTTTCTTTCTTTTCTCTTGTTTAATAATTAATAATTAATGTTAATATTTTTGTTTTTTATGTGTTTTAAAATGAATTTAATTTATTTAATGTAATTTATTTATTTTTTATTAATAAAAAATAATATTTGAGGGGTGAAGCGAGACCTTCTCCATCCACCGCCTGACCTAACACGTTTGGGTTGCCAGCTTTCCTTTCAGGTTACAAAACGTGCCTTCTCTTCTCTTTCTTTGATTGCCCTCAATTATTATTTATTCATTTATTTTTAATAAAATAAATACATTGAAGTACCTTTCAAATGGTTAATTTCTTGCATTTTTTAATTAATTTCAAAATAAAAACATTAATTTCATGTCCTCTAAAAAAAAACATTATCTTCATGAAGGAAAAAAAATATTATTTTAAATTTACGCTTAGAGATATTATCTAGGCATGGTCGATCTGAAATTATGATTCATAGAGCAGTTAGTTTTGATTTTTAAAAAAGAAATCAAATCAAAATCATTTAATTAAAATTGGTTGCTATATGATTTCGAATTTGATATGAATTGTGTCAATTTTGATCATTTTTACTTTTTTTTTTTCTTTTCAATATAAATGATTTGAAATCGTGCAACTTTGATTGAAATAATCGAATTTCAATGTAAGTGTAAAACCAACTTACTAAGTATATTTAATATTATGTATTCATTTAATGTATAAAAATAAATATCAAATCAAAATCAAAGTTTATATCAATAAATATGAGAATAAGCTAATTAAACAATTTCTAAAAAAATAAAGTTGATAAAATGTTTTATAAACTATTTTAAAATATTACCAAAAAATGTTGTAAAAGTTTCATTGAAAATGATATTAGAATTTAATACAATGTTTAAAAATATATAAATCAACTTGGACTAAAAGCAAAAAAGAAAAGAAAAGTAAAAAACAAAGAAAAAGAAAGGTCAGTCCATGACATATGGGTTAAAAGAATTAGAGGATAGAAAGGTTGCAGGTTAGGACAGTCTGTGTCAGAGATTTGTCAATTCTGTTTCTGGAAATGTAGTTATTTACATACATAACACTCATATCATATGTGTATCAATTGGAAGAGACATATTTATCTCAATTTGTCTGAATTTGGACAAATAAAAATAATTCCTTAAGATTTTACTTTTTTTTTTTTTTCAATGGACGAAAATAACATTCATCAGAATAATTCAGAATAATTGGGGATAATTTTTATAATGATGAGACTTGAACTCAAGATCCGTTGCTTTCTGCATTTTTTATAAAAAGTGAAAAAATTTTTTATACAGTATTAGAAATTTATTATCGATTAGATTAAATTTTTATTTAAATGAAAGTGTCTTTTTGGATTAATTTCATAGAGTTTTTTCTGTCCTCCATATTATTTGGCATGTTATATATCTATTTTCAGTGAATAAAACATGAAAATCTTTTGTACATGTGGATGTTGTGTTGCACCTATCTTTCCGCTGCATTATTCATGGCAACAGGGCCTACATATATATTTCCATATTCAACTTATTCGATCAGACAATAATTTAGTAAATTTATTTATTAAAATTTAGTCAATAAAATTATACAATTTCATAGATAAAAATAAAAAATAAATTGCTCGATACTGTAATACAGTGTTGTTTCAGATTCAGTAGTATTCAGAACTTTACCCAAATTAACGATGTCAAAGAATCCTGTATAGGACCTAAAATTCAATTTAGGCAATTTCTTAGAAATCCAAGTCAAGAAGGGAAAGATGTGGATATATAATTTGGTTTGAGATAAAAGTTAATCTCAACCTTAATGGGATGGTCAAAATAGTCAGCTATGAACACATGTATATATGATAATAGATTGCAATACCGGTCCAGACCAAAGGTCAATGCAATATCGACTGTTATAATTTCATATTAAGTGCATGTATGATTTGGTAAATATGGATTCATCTATATATTAAATTAATTGAAAATAACTTTCCGGTTTAAACAATGATATTTTTAATTATTTACGATAAAAAAAAAGATAAAACAGTAATTAATTTTTTAAAAAATATTTCACTAATTGGTTTGGTGTATGATGATGGTTTTATATGGAATTGACTTGCCTGAATTAGATCCATTGTTCTGCCCATATATCAAATTAATAAAAATATAATTTTTTTGTTGAAAATATAATATTTCCAACTATACATCGGGAAAAAAAAAAAGGATAATGTATGGACAATTTTTAAAAAAATAAGTGTGGGTAAATCTGTTCTAAACAAACACAATCCGGTTTCATACATTTAATGTGCAGGCAAGTGTTTCCACGGACGTGTATATATATATATATATAATATCATTTGAACTCCAATTAAATACAATTATAACCTCCATATCCACAATTCACTGAAATAAAAACTCACAAATCAAAATTAAAATACAAAATAAACTAATAATCAAAACAAAAAGAAAAACACTACCAAATTAAATTAATTATTAAAAATTAATTACACATATATGTCTATCAAGAATGAAGTGAAGTCCAAGCAGAAGCAGTGAACAAACTAGTATCTTTCCATCCAAGCTTCAAAGTCCCATCTCCTTGAACAAGACTATAGCCATGAGCAGGAGGAAACATATTCAATATAAGTTGTGCTTGAGCCATAGAATTTCCACTCATAGGAACTTGCATAAATGAACTATTTCTTCTTGCGATTTCACTTCTCCAATGCCTTAACTTATCTTCCCCACTTCTTGCAGGCCCTCCTATTGCTAATATATTATTAATTTCTCTGTAAAGAAGACAACTCTCAACTCTGTACCTACTGTTATCTTCACTGCCCAGAAATGCACCTAGTGAATCAAATATTGTTGAGTAGTAATGAAGGGAACCGACAAATCGATCCAAGAAAGACCCACCATGAGAGATTTCTTGTTCTACTAATGTGATTACTTTCGGTGATAATTCTTCAAAAAGTCTCATTGTTTTCCAATCTGGTCCAGTTGCATCATATAGTGAATGTTGTAGCCAATGCACAGCTAGGGTTTCTCCTCTTCTTAATTGCACCATTGATAGATCAATTTCTCCAAATTTTTTTGCAATTGGGTGGAACTCAAATGACATTCCAAGTCTTTTAGCAAAATTGGAGAGTTGTTTTCCTGTCTCTATTAAGACTTCCATTGAAGTACCCAAACCGGTCATTCGGACATGTGGAGGACCTTCAATTCTTGTAGCAAGAATGTGAAATAAGGCAGGCCATTGCAGACCTTGCATAATATCAAGATCAATTATGTGAACCCTATCGCGGCGCTGGAAAGCTTCAAGAATTGCTTGATTGGAAGTGAAATGAGCGAATTTGATGAAAGGAGAGATATTGTTAAAGATTTGAAAAGAAGAGTGGACATTTCTGTGATTAATCAAAGGAGAGCAAATGCCTAGCCAAGAATTTATAACCCTACTGGACATTGCTTTAGCAAAATAAGCTACAACTCTTTCAGCACAAGAAGGACCATATGGAGAAGCCATTTGGGTTAGCTCAAGTAACATTCTGTGAGCTTCACCAAGATTATCAACTGAAATAGCTACTGCACATTCTAAAAGAAGGGTAATTAGGTTTAACCCTTGCTCATCAACCCTAGTCAACCCTCCTCCTCCATTAGTATTTTCATGCTCATTACTAATATTGTTACAGTGGAACTGATTTTCTTGATCAAAATGACTTCTCCTTATGGATTTTCTTGGTCTAAATTGATCAAGACCATTATTACCCATTAAGAAGCTACTATTTTCTTGATCACATAACATTCTACTGTCGTTTTGCATGCTTTCACTTGTCATTTCAGGCATGTCATCTATAAGTTGCTTTGTAATATGTTCAACCCACTCAGAGAGTTCATTTCTCTCCATTGCAGGCTTTGCCATGGCGTTAGGGTTTACTGTGGCTGATTGAAACCCTAAAACGGCATAATCCCATGGTTCATTAGGTGCCATAGTATCAACAGCCCCATGAACCACTTCATATCCTCCTTTCATTGTCTATAATCTAGAGGGAGAGTGAGAGCGGTGAAGGTATAGATATATAAGAGTGCGTGACAGAGGGAAAACCCGCGATTTTTGAGAGGAAAAGAGATAAATCAAAGTGTTTTTAAAACCAGTCCGATGATTAAACTGTCTGATAATCGAATAAGAAAGAAAGAGAGAAGGAAAGGTGGGAGGTTGTTAAAGAGAGGTTAGGTTCATTTTTAAAGGGAAAGCAAGAAAATTATGAAATTAAGAAACATGACCAAAGAAATGGCCTATGAAATAACAGAAAAAATTTCTTGCACTATTATAATACAATAGCATGGCCGGCATAGCTAGACATATAGAAGAAGATAAGTTGCTAAGAGACGATAACACACGTCAGTTTGGTAGTGATTTTTATATTTATTAACTTGGAACTTAAGTTAAGGAGAGAATTAATTAATTTTAATTAGGAAAGTTCTTGGATTTAATAGTGTTTTTCTGCAAAAAGTAATGCATGCAGACGAGGATTTGAGAATTATTTTTAGAGTAGAATTAGAAAGATGGAGAAAGAACAACTACCCACATAAATATAAATAACAGTATTATCAAACAGTAAATTATTGACGATCTATGTACATTAATGAGTGTATCAATTAGATTTGTTAATTATGAATTATGGAGAAAATTAATTAATTAATATTTTGAAAAGAACCTAAACTATCGGATATATAAAATTGATAATTTTTGTTCAATTTATTTTCAGCATTATGTATAATTTAATTAATAATACTGAGCTAATTAATCATATATATGTTAATCAACATAATGAAACCAATACTTAACTATGATTAGTTCAAATGGTAAGTTACACTTAATTAAGTTGAATAAGTATGCCTGCAAGGTAGGTTTGATTTGTAAAAAAGCACTAATGAAAAAACAAACAATTATGTATTTCAAAATAAAACTAGTCTCAAAATAAAAAAAAAAGAGAAAAAATAATAATCAAACTAAATATAATAATAATAATAATAATAATAAATTATTTGAGATTTTTTTCAGTCGTTGAACAAGCCTGTCTCTTTGAAACTGACAGGTATAAGCATGGTGCTAATCAAGTTGGAACACCATGACGAAAAAAATTTATGACAGATGAGCAATGGCCACCAAGCCATCTAGATAATGTTTTTATAACAAGCATTTTACATTTTTTTTTTTAAATTAATACAAACATTTGTAACATCCATTTGGATTTATAATCATTTGAAATAAATATAAATTTCAAGTATGAAAATATTAAAAAACAACAAATGTTTGTTCTAAATATTAGAAATTTGATATGAATTTTCTTAAAAGAAAATATTATCTATCGACTGGCGGACCATTATAAGGGCAACAATTTGCTTTTTAAATTGTAGCTATATTATTATTATTATTATTATTATTAAGCATTAAAGAAGAATAAAGTTTTATGAGATTGAAACATCTGTTATAATACAAAAAATTAATTAAAATTACATATAACTGTATTACAGTACAAATTAATAAAAATAAGTAATTATCAATGACACACATCTTTCCAAGGGTTCTGGTATTGCATGTGGGTCATAGACAACTTGATTACTAATTAATTAATATATAATTATCACTAAATCAACATCATGCTTTGGCTGAAAATTTTGGTACTTTCTCTCTTAGACGGTTGCTTTATCAAAAATATGCCAAAAGCTTTGTAAATCCCAGTTGCGGAACTAAATTAAATAATTAAACAAAAAATATATATTTAACCTTTTTCTTAATTTCTGTAATTAATTAATTAATTAATTAATCCTTCCATTTATATATATATTAGTACCCACTTCCATCTGCATCCAAAAAACAAATTACTAGTAAAAAAGTGGAATCTTTTCCAAAAGGGTCAAACCTTAAAAACTTGGTCAATAGGTCCAATTCCTGGTCAACAAGTCTTGGCCTGCGAAGAATAATATCATATCCTCCATTAATCTTGCATCAACCATATGTAATTGTTTAATTGTTTGAGTAGAGATGATTAGAAACCAAAGTATAAAACAAGCTATTTACTTGCCATTGCCTATACGGTATGTCGTTTCTACGGTTAATTACTTGATCAACACTTGTATGCATAGGAAATTTGAAGGATTCTCCGTCTTTAAGTTAATTGAATTTGAAGCTAAAATAAACATATATATATATATATATAATCTGCAAGTGCAAATGACTGGTCAAAACGTTCATACCGGTTCAACTCAAGAGTTTCTTTTTTGATGAATGATAATGACAGAAGATTGGCATGATTTCTTGACATATGGAGGATACAGAGCAACCATAGACCCACCAAACATGACTGACCAGACAGAATATTTAGGAATGATCCTTTTCTGGACCAGATTCCTTTGTTTTTTTCTTTTTCTTTAATCATATGTCCGTATGAGATTAAGAGGTTATTACATTTTGGGATTAAGAACATCCCCTTTTCGATTTTGAATAATTCATTTAGATGACTTTTATTTTTTACCTATATATTTCTTCTTTTTTTTTTCTTTTTCTTTTTCTTTTTTTCTTTTTTGCTTATTTTGGAGTCTTTATGCGTCAACAATAACTAATCTTCTTTTACGGAAGGAGTATAATAATATTCATCTTATTTAATATAAATTTAAAAAATTATCAAAAAATGGTCAATAAAATTGAAAGTAAATTCATATTGTCAATGTAGTCTCTTCGTGTTACTTACCCATATATTCCACATTCTAACTATGAACATTTCAAAGTCTGGCAGCTAACTCTTTTTTTTTTTTGGTTTTGCCCCTCAGTAAAGTGGCGTTTGTCATAGAATTGAACTCGTATTCTCGTATTTATGATGATTGAAATAGCTTACCATTTGACAAAAGTGTCTTAATTTTTTTATTCAAAACAAAGTGTGCATCTATGCTTCCTTCTAAGGAAGGAAAGATATCAATAGCTTGCTATTAGATATCCTAATAATTTGAACTTGAAAATAAAAATTCCAATCCACTGAATAGCTCAAATGTGAAATAAAACAAATTTATGCATCTATTTTTGCTATCAGTAATTAAGGAATGCATGTATTTGTATAAATGGTATGAGTTGAACTGTGTATTTGTACAACATTTTGACTCCCATGCCAAAATGATAAAATAATAATAATAATAATAAATTACATTCCAATAGGAAACGCATTACTATCTTATCTACTCTTTGGTTCTGTCTAGTTTCGCAGATCTATTCCTTGAGCAGGGTTAAGCTAAAATAGTAGCCTAAAAACCACAGCACTTTGTTCAATCGTTAGAGATTGAGCATCTAAAGCTTTGTGCGAGTGTCAGTAGAGCAACAAATCCAAATGTGGGAAGTAGCATTAACAATGGAATCTAATAATTTCAAGTCAAATTTTGCAGTTGGTTAACAGGTTGGAGCTGTCATCCAACAGTGCAAAAAGATTGGCAGGGTTAGAGGCCTCAGAGAGATTCCTTCTGCTTTTCAGATACTTCTAACTGGGGAGGTAAAAGGTTTAGAAAACTCCCTTGAACACATTTATCGCTTGCGGTTGTATCAGATGATTCCGATGTTTCTGACTCTGTATCTGCACAATTGAAGCCAAAGATAGTTTAAGAGACAAAACGCAATCTAAAGGTAGTTAAATCCTAAGAAGACAATAACTTGCTTCAAGAAATGTTATAGGAACAAAGCCTACCAAAAAGTGACTTCACGGAAGGCCTCTTTGGTTTGTTGGTTTTCTTCTTCAAGTCAGCTGAGGTGGAAAGAAAAAAAAAAAAAATCAACATGAAATAATAATTCTAAATTGAAAATACCAGAACATAACACAGGAACTCAATCTAACTGAAAACAAGTATCAAAATTAAATAAAGGGAACAAAGAAAATACGAGAACATTCTGTTTCTTTAAATTTTCTATTTAATCGTGTGTGAACTTGTATGTAATATTCAAATATCCAAGATTCATCCATCTTCATGCCAACCGATCATCATCTTCTCCTTCTTTTCTTGCCAGGCACTTGAAAATTTATGATACACAAAAACATGAACATGCAAGATAGACAAAAGCACACCAACGCAGCAGATCAAATATTACACAACTTCCAGGAATTTCAGCCACACTGAAGCAATTTAAGAACATTTAAAAAGATTAAATGAAAATTTTAGGTTTCCCTGGGAAACCTTAAACATTATTCATAAAATCCATACAATTGCTAATCTAGAAAGAAAATGATGAAAGATCATTAGTTGATCCAATTCAAATTTAGAAGTCAAAAACACAGATAATATGCATCTTCACCTATCTATGGCCAAAACAAGACATGACGTGCACAGGTGTAGAATATTCATAGCATAAATTTTACTTTTGTAATCCCATTAAAATAGAAGGTGCCATATGCCTCTTTCTTTGATTCTGAAAAGATAAGTAAATTTTTCTGTCCCTTTTAAGTGGATGTGCTCAAGGCCCCAGATTTCCCATCCTCTCATTAGCTAGTCTAATGAACAGGCCACATCATAAAAAAATGAATAAATAAATAGAAGAACAAAAACTTATATTTTAAAAAGAGAATGGAACCATAAACTTATTTAAATTGAATGCACAGCCAAGCTTACCCATTCCAGGCACTTGATAATCGTTCACTATTTCAAAGTTCTTATATGTGTAGCCAACAAAATTGAGGTCTTTAGATGAGAGCATCTGCAAAATGGAGGGTAAGAATGTAAGAAGAAAAATAAAAAAATTGGGGAAAAGAAAGGATTAAAGCACCAGTCATGACTTCGCAGAAACAAAATATTAGCAAGTTACAGCAAATACCAGAAAAGTTAAGAAAGTTTTTATGATGCTTCATGGGCATTGGCACATGCAACATTCACATCATCAAGTTTTTTTTGCAGGCTTAAAACAACTTATTCAAAATGGATGTTTATTAGTACTTAATCCAGAGTGAATCAAGCCAAACAAAGCTCCTCAATCCAGACAGATAGGCAACACCAGCAGACTAAGGATTGAGTAATGTATGAGTAAAGTTCCTCACAAAAGCTGCTTGCAAATGAATAGAACTCATACGACACTTGGGAGAGAAGCTACTGCAGTAACTTTGATTTCATTGCTTCAGCATCAAATGACAGTTCTTGGTTTTTATGGAAAGGCAAAAATGAAATTCCAAAGGAACCAACAAAACTTCATAATAGAATGTGATACAATGCGGATGACACCGCTACATGCAAGTTGATCAAAATTCAAAAATAGCTTAAATAGCACAAGTGCATGTAAACTGACCTTTCTCCATGGACCAGTTTTGGTTGTAGTTTGAGTTTGATTCTCAGTCTGCTCAGAAAGGAAACTGGCATAATGAGCAACATGAGCCCATACAAAAGATTATCAATAAAAATAATAAGAAGCTTAGACATATTAATACCTCTTCAAACTTTTCAAAATTTTGAGTATCTAGCTCATCCTTGACCTCAGGGATAAATGCAGCTTCCATCCGATAAAGATTATCCCATTCAATACCTTCAAACCATGGATGCTCCTGCAAAAGGAAATGCAGAAGGTAATTCCTTATATTTGCTACTAGCTTATCTAGCAAATTCAAGTATTCAGAAAAGGACACACCATACAACACCTTTATTTCATCTGCGCCTTTTGAGCCCAATCTCTGGCTGACATTACATAAGAGCTTGCTAATAATGTCTTCTGCCTCTGGAGATAACTTTGCTTCTTCTGGAAATTTCAAATGAGTTTTCCAATTTACTATCTGCATAAAAAAGCAATAATATTTCAATGTTAATTAAGATGGTTATATTCATTTCCCGTTTGAAAGGTTTTCTTAAACTTAATTTATGGGGAAGGGGTGGAATTTATAGATTACCATCAGTAGAAAAGTCAATGCATCTATGCATGTCTGAAATTTACATTTAAAGCAAAAATAAATGCAAGAAACAGCAAAGGAAAGTTTTTAAGTATCAGACAGAAAAATTTACAAGCTAATGAGGAATCTTGGAGAGCATAATTGACTGCAAAGTGTTCTTTGTTGAACTTCTAGACAAATTCTCAGGGTATAGAAATTAACCACTCTTCATTTTTAAGTATAGAAATAACATAAGATCTAATTCAAAAATATTGGAATAAAAGCAATATCTGTGTATGAATAAATGAATGTGCTGAGAGCCTTCAAAAAATATCCAAAGTGAGTTGTGAACCTGCACAAATTAAATAAAATAGTGGGGAAATTTAAACAAAAAAAAAAGCAGTATGTCTCACTCTACCTTTCTACAGGTTGACATTGGATCATCTGAATAAAAAGGAGGGTATCCCACAAGCATCTCGTACATGATAGCACCAAGTGACCACCTGTGATTCATAATGACCATTAGTGCCACAAGTATAAATTACTTTCAATCAAATTAGGGCATCTCAAGGCATTTGAATAAATGCTCAATCAGTGCATGAAAATATGACAGAAAGTTAGCGCCAGATCCAAATGCCCCGTCCATAAATTTGCATGAGCACTTACCAATCACACTCCATCCCATAACCTTTCTTCAGCAACACTTCTGGAGCGATGTAGTCAGGTGTACCCACAGTGGAATAAGCCTGCAGTGGCCATACACTGACAATCAGAAAAAAAAAAAAAAAAAAAAAGGAAAGAAACATCTTCAAAGATTCTTCTGTCTTCTACGCCAAGTTTAGTGTCCTCTGTGAAAAAAAAAAAAAAAAAAAAAAGGAAAGAAAGAAAAAGGTGGCATGCACTTGAGCAAGTGAAATATACATCTGTGCAAAGAATACAGACACATAACAGCCTTAAACTTACAAGCATTCTTCTGTTCTTCTGCCAATGTTGTAGTTGCTCCTGCTGTGTGCGCTTTGGTGCTGCTGGGCCTTCATTCTGTGCACTCTGGTTGTTGCTCACTACTGAAAAATCCCCTTCTTGAATGGTACTGCAGTCTAATGGTTTACACAGCCCAAAATCAGACAGCCTCAAGTGTCCATATCTATCAAGTAGCAGGTTGTCGGGCTTGATATCCCTTTACATGATTAAAATAACATTTTATTAAAGAAAAGTTGAATCTGTTTGTTGCTTCCAATGTAATATATTTCTCAAGAACGCATCAAAGAGCATTGATATATTGTCGTCCTTAAGCACAAACCTGTGAATGTAATTGTGCCTATGTATAGATTCAATTGCTAACACTGTCTCTGCAACATAAAATCTAGCTTCATCTTCTGTCAAGGTATCTTTTCTCATGAGTAAAGTCATCATATCTCCACCAGGTAAGTATTCCATAATAAGGTACAGAAACTCATCGTCTTGAAAAGAGCAATATAGTTTTACAATGCAATTGCTGTCAACCTCTGCAAGCAGATTCCTTTCAGCTCTCACATGCTCAACCTGAAAAAGATTGGAAAACCAATCGGTAATAAATATATGGTCTAAAAATTGACCACTGATATCAGGCAGGTCAGATTAACTTATACCTGGCCTCTACGAAGCATCTCAGATTTCTTGAGTTTTTTCATAGCATACACATGATCTGTTGTCTTTTCCCTACAAACTCTTACCTGTCCAGAAATCAAAATTTAAATACAATCACTAACTAACTGCAGAAAAAGATACATTGATTAAAAAATTCTTAGGCTCCCTTTGTTTCTGGATTTTCTGAATTTTCTGACGTTTAGAGCACTTCAGAAAATTAGTCAACAGAAAATATTTATCGGTCAAAGGGAAAACCAAATGACTCAATTAATCATCTGATATTCCAGACTTATTAGCACAATAATTTAGTATCTAAATATAATAAAAATGACGCTTAAGAACTAACAGAAATATATAATTATTGAACAAGACCTTAGCCTATAATAGCCAATCACATGCACACTATAACATGCACAAGACTGGATGCAACCAGTAAGCTAAGGGGGAAAATACAGAACAGAATGTATGACAAAACCCAAAAGAAGAAAATAACTGCCATAATAATAACATTGCACTGTGTCGATTAAAAGAGAGGCAAAAGGATATATACCTCCCCAAATGCACCTTTGCCAATCATTGTCAATAATTCAAAATCCTCAACACCCATTTTATGCCTCTGGAGTCGCATGTATTCAGTTTCTTTCTTCTCCAAAAATTTAAGTAAATTATTCTGATCTTCCTCTGATACATCAGCGTCAGCCAACTTCTTTTCCAATATAGTTCGTCTGTTAAAAATAAAATCATAATAACAATTGAACCAAAAATCATTCAGTCAAAATAACTACCACCCAATCAACCCTAAGCTAACTCTCCACCTATATTTGACCCATTCTATCTTCAAATTCAAAAGGACAACAACATATAACGTCTATCTTTTAAGAACAAACGGATGCATCGTAGCATACCTCTCCTTCCTCTCCTGGAGATTCTTCATTTGCTCTTTGTAATGATTCTCAATATACTGTTTGGCAGCAGCAACTTTCTGCTTGGTAGTATTTGAGAGAGATTCATCATCTTCTGGCGATTTCATTTCTTCTTTAGATTCATCAAACGGATCCTTCTTCCTAGTAGAGGCCCTTAGCTTGTCTCTCGGCTGAAATTTTTGGAACCAACTCCTCGCAGAATCCATTTCAACACAAGCGGACTACCATTGCCTACAAATAAAAAACCACAAATTCTGCACAAATTATATAAATAAATTGCATCGCAAAAAATGTCAGAACTCACCAAAATTTCAATAAACGGCAATGTGCTTCCAGGTTTTACAGAAGTCAGAAGAAACGAACGAAACTGAAGAGAGTGAGAAAAATTGAAAATTGAAAAACAAAAAAAAAAGGAAATAAAATGTAAAGAAATTAAAACAATCAAAAACCTAAGGAAATGAAATGAAGACGAAGAAATAAGGCTGAGAAATCGGATTACCGTGATGATCAAAGAGCGGCGATTACGGTCTGTTGTGTCTATTTAAGAATGTAAATGAATAGAAAGAAAATGGAAGCATGTATCAAGCAATGTAAATTTTTGTAGAGAAAATGTGTTTGGATGTAGAGAAAATGTGGAAAAATTAAAATGGGAATATTTGTTGATGTCCGCGTGATTTTCTCTCGTTCTGTAATGTGAAGAAGATTGCAGGTGTACCTTCCATTTTATATAGGTTTTCCATGGTTTTGCTCGTTTTATTTTTATATTTTAGTATTTTAGTATTTTTTTTTATTTTTTAATATTTAGATTTGTGTATTTGTGTATGTGTTCGCTGCACTGCATCTCTCGAGTAAAATTGATCCGATAAGATTCGTTGGGCGGCTACTTTGATCTGTGGCTGCGTTTCGCCACATGCACAAAGCGCACCCACTTAGGCTCAATTTTAGGGTAAATAATTATTTAGTTCCCCTGTTTGATTATACGAATAATTACTATTATTAATATATTTTACCATAATTAAATATTTTATATTTATTTTTTTAAATATTTATTCTTAATATATATCCTGTTTATCTTCGATAAAAAATTATCTATTTTACCGGTAGATGTGAATTGTTTTATTAGTCAAATTATCTATTTTTTTATTAAATAAAAAATAGAAACTTTAATCAGCATAAAATATAATATTAACTACAATTAATATGATTAATTATTGATTATGATTAATTTTTATCATTATTTTACTTTTAAGACAATATTAGAGATAAGATAAAGTAAGTATTAAAACTCGAATAGGGGCAAATAATAACATTGATGAGTTAAAATTCATAGGATATATATTTATTACTCATCTTATGTGTCCAATAGTATAAGTAATAATTTTGAATTTATTTATTTTACTATGATTTCTATAGGTAAATATTATTTGATTGCAATTAATAATCTATTAAGAATATACTAAATTTTAATTGATTTCCGATTTGATCCATTTCATTTCTTTTTATATGTCTAAATTTTATATTTCAGCCCACATATATTTATATAAACTGAAATTTCATTATTTATATATATATTAATACAAAACTAAAAATTATGAGATTCGCCTCTTGTACGACCTATGTACACCCCTATTAAATAAATATATAATCTACGCTTCTAATTTATAAACTAAGTACCTGGCTCACTAAGCACTTAGCAATATAGGAAGGGACGAAAATGTAGAAGTTGGCGTTGTCATGTGGGATCAGAAGGAAGTTGCCAACCAACATCATGAAATGGACAACATTGTAACCCAGTGTTCTAGCCAGAATCACACCTAACTCAAAGTACAATTTGTCATTATTCATTAAGTTGAAACTTAAAAATTATTACGACCTAAAATTTTTATTAATGTGGTAAGAGTGATGGAAATAATTTCCATTACACTGTGTAATTCATAATTTTCAGGTAGTAATGAATTTAGGTTTGTATATTTTGTCTAACTCTAATAAGAATGTTGAAATCTTAAAATTGTTGGTTTAGACAGAGTGGTTGGTTAGGTTGTGAAGTTGGAGTTGGAGAGACATAAACGTCATAGAAAAAGTGACTAGAACCAAGTGTCTCGTTCTTCTCCCAATTTACTGGCTATTATGTTTACTCCATCTTTCTAAGTTCCATTTTTGCTAGTTGAACGAGTGTGTTTGGTATAAATTTGAAAAATATCCCCACCAACAACGATTCAGTAATTAAGTCTACTAATTTCAAACTATTTGCTTGTTTGTATTTCATAAATTTAAGAATTTCACTGTTGATTATGAAAAATGAGAGTCTCCGACTGTTCTCGTTAATCATTACTTTGATTCCATGTTAATATATACACAACGTAGTATTGTTTTGAGCACTCTAATTTCTTCAAAGTAACAGCATCAGAGGCAATCGAAATAATAAATTATTATTATTATTTTACTTTGTAGAGGTCCATGCGAATGAAAAAAAAATATATATATATATAATTTTAAATATGACTTTTCTCTATACGATTTTTAACACAGTTCTTTCTCTTTGAATACCATTTACCATCAATGCATCAAAACTTGAATAATATCAAGCCTTTTAAAAAATTGGATCCATTTAATTCATAAATTTCTTCTTAAAATTGAAGTAAGCAAGAATTATACTCCATAAGAGACTTGAATTGGGATTACAGTCAAGTTCATAAATTTTGTTTTAAGTTGAGTGTAACTAACCCTACGAAACTCCATGTAGCTCAAATGATTACCTCACTGGCTATAGGTATTACATCAAAAATTGACCATTTTAATAACAACCAACCTGCTCCTCCTGCACTTGTTGCCAAAATCTCTGTATCCTTTTGTTGGCTTGACAATCCCCATATCTTTTTCTGGCATATTATTTTTTATTTTCTTCCTATAAGTTTTGCGCAAATATTCTATTTTTATTTTTGGACCTTCAAAATTTGAATTCTAGTTCCGCTCCTGTCATACCATTCATTAAACAAATAATTATTTGATCATCACATGGACATTTTGGGCTAAAGTAGCAGCAGCAGCAGCAACCTTTTTCGCCATGAAAGAGCCATTACCTTCAAAAGATGGAAGACGATAAATTTTTTTTTTGTTTACCGTAGTAGAAAAACATTTTCCTTGGAAAAAGAACGGATAAGCAATATTTTTCAATCATTTACCTAAAGGAAAGAAACTGACTTTTAGTTTTTTTTCTCTTTTATAATGGATCTGTGACTGTGATGCCAAACACGGAAAAGATTAACAGAAAATGGAGATCTAATTGTACTAGCATTAAATTACTAATCACATAATGGAGATCTAATTATGTAGTGGAAAAGATTTTGCTAACATTGTAGAATACAACATTGGCATAAAACCTGTCCAACAAGAATAACATGGTAATTGGTTACAAACTACATTTGCTGAGGGTACATAATTATTTCTTTACCATTTCTACCACCAAACCAAAAGCCAGCAGTTAAGCCTTATCTGCGATACGTTATCCCCATTTCTGCAGACAGCTACTGGAAAGAGAATTTCTGCATCATTTGAAGTTTGAATAATCTAGCATACAATCAGGCGTCAATAAGTTTTCCCAATTTTCTCATGAAGTCCTGGCCTCTTGGTGTCTTTGCGTTTTCCATCATTTGAAAGTATGATTCACTGTACTCTTCCCCAATTTTCTTGCACATTTGGCTTGGAATTTGAAACTGGAGAAATTAGCGATAGTAGGCCATGTGTCTGGATGACATAAAAGGAGAAGCACCAAAGGGAGAGGTCTTTTGCTTTTCAGGAGGAGGGTTAGTTGGTTTCTCTTTCTCGCTCTTTGTTTCAGAGCGGAGCCAGGACTCGACGACTGAGAGCAGATTGGCAGAACTTCTCAACTCACTAACTTCTGTTAACTTCTTGGCCCTCCTCAGTTCACCATCCTGAATGTAGGCTAAATGTGTTGCCCATGTTTCCAATCCATCAAAAATATGAGTTGCATATACAATTGTAGCACCTCTCTGAAATCAACAAAATAGCATTATATATTCATATTGCGTTGTAGCAAAACTTTCCAGTAATGAATAATGATGTCACACACACACAAACACACACATACATACACAAAAAGTCTGTCTGCATTTCATGTTTTGTATATATATATATATATATATATTTTAAAAAAAGAGGAGTAAAGAGGACTCCATGGCAGATGATATTTACTCGAGAGCAATGTTTCAAATTAAAAATCAAGGTTCATATGAAAATTATTCCTCTTTCTTGGATAGAATTCCAAGTATGGACATCAGGTGGTCGGTCTGTCCTGTAACAATTAAGCTAATCTAGTCCATTTCTTATCTAGCCTTCAATCAGGCCTGGTTAGCACCATACACGTGGATGCTATGTGGTATGATAAGAATGGGAAGTAATACCTGTTCACATTCTTGCTTGAAGAACTCTAGCAAATCTATCCTGGCAACAACATCCAAGTCAACTGTGACCTCATCTAGTAAAAGAACCTGAAACAGAAAAATTTGGCACCTATTTAATGAGAAAATTGAAATATCTTCTTCATATGCAGACCCAAGATGCAAAATAAACACTAAAACAAATAACGAGCAACTCTGACTTGTTAGGATTAAGTTCGCAGATAGGCTGGTGCTCAAGACTTATCATTTCTACTAGTAGGTAGGTCAAAACTTGCAAGTTAAAAAGCAAAAAAGTAGGAAAATATTTTTTGAATGCATAGACCAGAAGTTCAGTCAGAAAGAGAAAAAAGGGGTATAGGATAAGAAGTTTAAAAGGGATATGCAAGTACTTCCAGATAGCAGGACTACCCAATCCACATTCATTGCAAATGCACAACAGGACTTGCATAGTGTTATGGTACCTTAAATGGAACAAGAAGACCCATACAGATCTGGACTCGACGCCGTTGTCCATCAGATACCTTATGCATACGCCATTGAAGATCAATATCAAGCAAATCAATTAACTTTTCTCTCCTAGCAGGATCAATCCCTTCAACTGCCCACAAATGAAAGGTACAAATAAGCACATTTTCTCTTTATTTGAATATGGTTGTGAGTAAACAAGAGATAATAACAAAAATAGAAAATGCAACATCATCAAAAATTGAAAGAACAGAAAAATAATAAGACAATGCATTAATTACCTCCAAATATCATTTGTTCTGCAGAGAAGTCTCCCTGGAGTGGAATCTCTCCCTGGAAGTTAGCAATCCATAGTGAATATATTCAGAGTTAATAGAATAATTTGATGGTAGAAGACCCAAAGGATAACCACAAATCATCGTTATATATTTCTAACTTGGAAAGATTACTTTAGATAATACAATGAGCAGTGAGAAGAATGAATCACATGCTTAATCCAATCCTGTATTCCAAATCAACTCTATGATAAATTTTTATAACTTCTATCATGAATTAGCCAGACAAATTAGTCACATTAAATCTCATCATAATTAGACATATTTCTTTGATAAACATACTACTTAAATAGATTTTTAAGAACAAGCACACACAAAATTATATAGAAATATATCAACAGACAGCATTATACAAATATACAAAGAAAAAAGAAATTGAATTTGATAGAACTATTAAAAGCCACAAAGCTCAAGAACTTACAGCAGATCCAACAGTTTTACTCCAAGAACCGCCTAAATAGGCCAATTCACCACTGCAAACCAATTGAGTGTCATGAAAAGCCGAACGATTTAGCACTTGCACTACATCTCTTCCTCCTACCATATGCTTACCCGCCAGAATCCTCAGCAAAGTGGTCTTTCCTGCACCAGACAAGTAATAAGCACCAACTACCAACTACCAAAGCTCAGAAAAGTCTGAAAACTGAATCGGATTAGATTCTACCAGATCCATTAGCCCCGACAAGAAGGTAGCGAGATCCTGGAAGGGTATTGAGATTGAAACCGTAGAAGAGAGGAGATTGTCCTTCGTATGCAAATTGCATACCAACCACACTGATACTATTTTGTTTCTCATTTTCGGATTCTTCGTTTTTCCATGCTTTTTCCGCCATTTTTCTTTTTTCTTCTTCTCCTTCTCTCTTTGGCACTGCAAATGAATGGGTTGTACGGAACCTATAGCGTTCTCCTTGGTGATTCTATACACGTCTCCTGCTACTCCAATTTGCCTGTAGATTCTTGACGCGTCAGTTGAGTTTGGTGGCAGCCTAGTTGGTTCCATCTTTCGTTTACACGTGTTGAGTATTTAGAATGCCACGTAACTCTCTTGGACTATCCTCTGGGTATATTTAATAAATGGTGAAAAATAATTTTATTTTATTTATTTATAGGTCAAACGACGTAGGTTTAGCTATCGTATATGGCGACGTAAATTGCTGGTGAAGGAGAAACAGCGTAGGACGGTAGGAGAAGAGAAATAGAAGCAGAGAAGCCGCTGACGGAGAGAAGAGGAAATCATGAATTTAGGTTTGGCTTAGATTGAAATTTTGTATCAAATTTGGGGATGAAAATCTAAATATGAGAGATTGGAGCTGGACTTAGAATCTGGCAATTTCGACTCACAGCCTTCTAGGTATTATAATGTTAATGCAATTCGTTATGGAAAACAGTCGGTTTCGATTTTCCTTATTACTCAGTTCCTTTGATTTGGTTTCCTTTGCTCTTCGTACGCAACTCATGTGTTTATTCCGCGATTGAAACTTTTTGCAATTGAAAGTCCCAAAATGGAAAGTGTGCGAGTTAAATTGTAGAAAACAAGAAGATAGTGTTGTATGCATGGTGTTTTGGGCACAGCATTCCCTGATAATTGTAGTGGATTGTAGGGCTTGCTCGAAGGTTACTTGCTCAGAAGTTGGTGGGCAGAGCAATAAAATTCTCTCTCATTTAGAAACATTAACTGGTATGCTTGTGACATAAATTGAAAATGCATTTAAGTGAAATATACTATTATTTGTGTTATATGTTGATTAATTGATTAGTTCTAAGCAAAACAGTAGAGTGAGGAGACTTTTTTCAGTTGGTTAATTTTCCAGTTGGTTTGGTTGCTTAAACTTTTTGTCGAATTTGTTTTGACCTTATGCTGAATATTTTGAAACTAGTGGGTCAGAAAACTCTGTTTTCTGGAAGGAAAGAATCATGCTTGCTGAACATTTTGAAACTATTGGGTCAGAAAACTGAAAGGGAAGAATAGTTTCATTTATTTCCATTATTATGTTTGGTTTGGGGGAGTTTGAAAAATCCATAGATTTGGGTAAATCTATTGTTTGTCAGCAAATGTGAGACAAAAGTCCAAGGACTTTGCGGAACCCCTCATTCAATAAAATCCCTAACTAGTTTTAAAATTACACCTCTCAAGTGAGTTTTGGTGAAATCCAGATGATGAATTTGATGAACTTTTTTCATTCCAAAAATGCCATTCTCTTCTATGGATTTACTTTACAGACCAAACAAAATACTGCAGATCCATGGAGTAAAAAATCCAGTCGAAGGAACACAAACTCCCCCCCTTCTTTTCTCTCTCTCTCTCTCTTTCTCTCTCTCTCTCTCTCTCTCTCTCTCTCTCTCTCTCTCTCTCTTTTCGTAGATGACTTACCTTGATTTTGTCATGTTGTTTGGGCAGCGTGATTTTAACAATGGAGGAAGACGAGGACAAAGTTTTGCTCAGTTCTTTGGGTGTAACATCTGCAAATCCTGAAGACATCGAGCGTGACGTTTTAGCAGAGGTATAAATTTGGCTTCTTTATCATCTTTGTTTTTGTAGGCAGTGATAAATGCTTATCTTTATTATTGATGAACGGAGCATCATCGTATGTGTGAAAAGGATGGGGTTATTCTACACTTAAATTTCTTCATGTTGTTAGAAGTTCTTTTGCACTAGGGCGGGTCTTTTCAATTTATTAATGAAGTGAATAAAAAAGGATGATCTTACAGATTTGGTTCTAATTTTAACTGTTATTTTATTTTACATGTTTATGAGATATTGCTTGTTCTTGATATTTTTGTTGTTAGGTTTTTCTGGATTTCTTATCCTGTTTTAGCTATGAGATGATGTGACTTTATGTTGTTCGCCAAAATGTTACAATTTGACAAAAACATATTCCTTTGTGGCAGGTGACAAACGATGCAGAGAATAATGGAGAAGCTAGAGGGAGCACTGAGGAGGAACTTCCTGAAATATCAAAAAACATTGATCCAGCATCTACCAGCCAGGCAAAACTCTATAATAGATTGAGGGCTGTAGAGTACGAAATAGATGCTGTTGCATCCACCTTTAAACAAGTAAAAAATGTTGCTGGAAGTGAAGATCACGCTTATGATGATGTTGATGGAGTAGAAGGTGGGGATAGAAAGGATGATGAAAGTGGTGTTCAGGTGTCACCCAGTGGTTTCACCCTTCAGCAAGCCCTAGCTGCTGATCGGCTGAAAAGTCTTAAGAGAACTAAGGCTCAACTTGAGCAAGAATTTTCAGATATGTGCAAGGATGATATGACCAAGGGTGTGAACTATGAAAAAATGTTAGCAAATCTGGTTAAGGAAGAATCAAGACCAAAGAGAAAGATGAAGGAAATTCAGAAACCAGGTAAAAAGAAGGGAAAGAGTGAGAAAGTGGTTTCATTCAGTGATGATACTGATTTTGATGCAATGTTGGATGCAGCGTCTGGGGGATTTGTTGAAACAGTGAGTTAAAAATTAATTTCTAGTTTTCTCTACATTAGTTAATCAGGTTTTCAGGAGGATAGGAAGAATTCAATGGCTTACTTTCCATTTTTAATGAACTGAGCTTTGTTGGCTGCTAACTTATTGCTGTTTATGTCCTAGGAAAGGGATGAATTGGTCAGGAAAGGAATTTTAACTCCTTTTCATAAGCTTAAGGGCTTTGAACGGCGTCTTCAGCATCCGGGGCCATCAAGTAGGTACAGTGTATCTGAGGAAGAGGATAAAAGTGATGAGCTTGCTTCTGACAGTATTGCTAGAGCTGCAAAGTCAATTTCAGAGGCTGTAAAAGCTCGCCCAGTGACAAAACTGCTTGATTCAGATGATCTGCCAAAGCTTGATGGACCCACTCGCCCTTTTCAGAGGCTGAAAAAACCTTTGCAAATTAATCAGTCCCCAGAAAGTGATGCAGAGAAAAGGAAAAGCTTCAAAAAGAAAAGGAAACGGCCTTTGCCTGGCCAGAAATGGAGAAGACGTCTTTCACGTGAAGAAATCCACCTGGAAGAAAGCAGTAGGTTTACTAATTTCCTTAAGTTATTTGAAAATTGCATGGGTTAGCATCTTCCTGTACCATGGGAATTGCTTTCTCATCTTCAGCTATTCACTTTCTGTTTCTTTACAGCTGACCTCGCGATCTCTGGGCACCTTATCTTAATTCTAAAATGGCTATGACTGATTTTGAAATAAGTAAATAGTTCATTCCTTTGTTCCATTCAGATGTTAACAATTTTTCTTATCCAACAACATATATACTCTATTATGGCCTGTACCATATATGTTGAAATTTGTAACCTCGTACTCTTCCAGCTAGTTAACAGTCTTCATTTACGTGTGGAATAGTCGGACAATAATCAATACTTTCATGATGATGATATCTATGTTTGGCAAATATTTTAAAGGAAAATTTACCTGGAAATAGATACAATCAATTGTTTATTTCTATTTCACAGAGTGATTATTACTTTTTTTTTTTCTACATAAGATGCAAGGGGTAGCTCAGTTACATCCAGTTATGAAGAAGAAAGGCTAGAGGATAGCGAAGATGTAGAAGATGATGATTCTCCTTTTGTAACTCTTGAAGGAGGGCTAAAAATCCCAGAAGCTATTTTTAGCAAACTTTTTGAATACCAGAAAGTGGGAGTGCAGTGGCTATGGGAACTGCATTGCCAAAGAGCTGGTGGTATTATTGGGGATGAGATGGGTCTTGGTAAGACCATACAGGTCTTATCTTTTCTAGGAGCATTGCATTTCAGTAATATGTACAAACCAAGCATCGTTGTTTGCCCTGTCACACTTTTGCGACAGTGGAAAAGGGAAGCTCAGAAGTGGTACCCATGCTTTCATGTTGAGTTACTTCATGATTCAGCAGAAGATCTTCATCATAGAAAGAAGCAGGCTGATTCTCACAACAGTGATGATGAAAGTGAAGGTTCTCTAGACAGCAATTATGAGGGAAAGTTATCATCTAAGGCCAATAAATGGGATTCCTTGATAAATCGAGTTTTGAAATCAGAATCTGGTTTGCTTATTACTACTTATGAGCAACTCAGGTTGCTAGGAGAAAAATTGCTTGACATTGAGTGGGGTTATGCTGTTCTGGATGAAGGACATCGAATTCGTAATCCAAATGCTGAAATTACTCTGGTTTGCAAACAGCTTCAGACAGTTCATCGTATAATAATGACAGGGGCACCAATTCAGAACAAGTTGAGTGAATTGTGGTCTTTGTTTGATTTTGTTTTCCCTGGAAAGCTGGGGGTACTGCCTGTGTTTGAGGCTGAATTTGCTGTTCCCATTTCTGTTGGTGGCTATGCCAATGCCTCACCATTGCAAGTATCTACAGCCTACAGGTAAAAGATGTTATGTGTCTGAAATGTTTTCAGAGGTTCCAAAGTTTGTATGGAAGTGGTAGCTTTTCTATTTTCGTTGGTTTCTAATTTTCAAATTTGTAAATTGTTTGTAAGAATAATCAATTTCTGGATCCTATATTTGTCTTGCTACAGATGTGCTGTAGTGCTACGTGACTTGATTATGCCTTATCTTCTTCGCCGTATGAAGGTGGACGTGAATGCGCAGCTTCCCAAAAAAACTGAACATGTCCTCTTTTGTAGCCTTACAGAAGATCAACGTTCTGCATATAGAGCATTTCTTGCAAGCACTGAGGTGGAACAAATACTTGATGGAAATAGGAATTCCCTATATGGAATTGATGTGATGCGCAAGATATGTAACCACCCTGATCTGCTTGAAAGAGAACATGCCTGCCAGAATCCAGATTATGGAAATCCTGAACGCAGTGGAAAGATGAAAGTTGTTGCCCAAGTGCTTAAGGTTTGGCAGGAGCAGGGACATCGTGTTCTTCTTTTTGCTCAAACTCAACAAATGCTTGATATTCTTGAAAATTTCTTAATCTCTGGTGGTTATAACTACCGAAGAATGGATGGTATGACTCCTGTAAAGCAGAGAATGGCCTTAATAGATGAATTCAACAACTGCGATGATGTGTTCATTTTTATCTTAACTACAAAGGTTGGCGGATTAGGGACTAATTTAACTGGTGCGAACAGAGTGATTATTTTTGACCCTGATTGGAATCCCTCAACTGACATGCAGGTATTTTGCTGCTAATGTTGGTTTGAACCCCATATGTTGTAATATGATTTTACATCTAACCTAAATTATTACATCATAATTTTTAAAAATATTTTGCATGGTAATCATCACAAGCAATTCTACTGCATATAACACTTTTCAGCATACACAATATCTAGTGGAATTTCAATAAAATTTTGTTTGAGAATATGTTCATCCTTTTGACCATAGAGGTGGCATCTGAATTTAGCTTCATTGACAATTGATATTTCTAGATATTGAGGACAACTATTGCTCATAACAGGCCAGGGAACGTGCTTGGCGCATTGGTCAGAAACGGGATGTTACTGTCTATAGATTGATCACACGTGGAACTATTGAAGAAAAGGTGTACCACCGGCAAATTTACAAGCATTTTCTTACTAATAAGATACTAAAAAACCCGCAGCAGAAAAGGTTCTTTAAAGCTCGAGATATGAAGGATCTTTTTGCTTTGAATGATGAAGAGGAGACAGGGATGACTGAAACATCTAATATTTTCAGTCAGTTATCTGAAGATGTTAGTGTTGTTGGTTCAAAGAAAGAAAAGAAGGACAAGCAGAAAAGTTGTAGAGGTACTGCATCACATGCTTATGATGATTCAGATGATGAAGAAAACAAAGCTGAGGTTCGACCTTCACGGAGGAAAGGAAAAGAAATGGCTGATAATAGTGATGGTGAAGTAGATGAAGAAACAAATATTTTGAGGAGTCTTTTTGATGCACAGGGTATACATGTGAGTTTCAGCGCTATTTATCTTTTGATTATTTATAGTTTATAGTTGCTATCATGTTTTGGTCTCTTTATTATGCTTGTTTTTTTGTGCTATGATTGGCCTTCTTACACTATTCTGAACTTTTTTGATAAAAAGACCTTCAGTACCTTTTCTTTTGTAAAATAACCACTAACCCGTCTACAACACCGGGATATTTAATAATTATAATTTGATTTATAACATGTTAGAATACATGTTGGTTAAAAACCCAATTCCGTGTCTGAAGTGAAATGTGTGTGTTTTTCTTCTCACTCGGTCTCTTTTCATCTCTTTCTTCAGAGTGCTGTCAACCATGATGCTATTGTGAATGCACATGATGAAGAGAAGATAAGGCTTGAGGAGCAAGCTTCTCAAGTTGCACAAAGGGCAGCTGAAGCATTACGTCAATCACGACTGCTTCGTAGTCGTGATAGTGTATCGGTCCCAACATGGACAGGGAAATCGGGTACTGCTGGTGCACCATCATCTGTTCGCCAGAAATTTGGATCGACTGTGAACTCACAGCTAATCAGATCATCTGATGAATCATCTGGCAATAAAATAAGCAATCTGAATGGATTATCAGCTGGAGCTTCTGCCGGAAAGGCATTATCATCTGCTGAACTACTAGCTAGAATTAGAGGAAATCAAGAGAGAGCTGTTGGTGCAGCACTTGATCAACAGTTTGGATTGGCATCAAGTTCTGCTAACAGAGCAGTGTCTGAAAATAATGGAGTATCTAAGCCATCTAAAAATTTATCGAGTGTCCAGCCCGAAATATTGATTCGTCAGATCTGTACATTTATACAAGAAAGAGGTGGAACCACTGACTCGGCGACCATTGTGGAACACTTTAAGGACAGAATACCTTCAAAGGATCTGCCCTTGTTTAAAAATCTTTTGAAGGAGATAGCCACATTGGAGAAAGACTCTACCGGCAAACTATGGGTTCTCAAGCCAGAGTACCGGTAAAAATTGGTTAGCCCAATTATTTTGTGGTTGTTTTGACATCACAGATCTCACCAGAGGATAGTCTTTTGTGGTGTTAGCATCCTCCATTTTTTGCAAGGAAAGCATTCTTAGTGTACGGTTTGGTAATGTTTTTTTTTCTAGCAGCTTTTCTCATCCACTTAGTGTACAGTTTTAAGAATTATTTTTTCTCACTTACTGCAGGAAACTTGGATGCGATTTCATTAAAGAAATTGTCAGCCATGAAAGTCGAATAGATATAGGTTTTAACGTTGAACATAAGGCTCCAAAATCCAATTTTTAATTCCTTTCATTTAGCTTAGATTATTCATTCATATTTTGATTTGAAAGCGGTGGAATGCAAGGCACATATTGATTGTGGCACTCCAGCTCTATTTGTACAAAGAGCAATCCTATTTTTCCTTAAAATGTGACTCGCTGGAAACGGAAGACGTGGGCCGATCTCATTGCATTAGCATGGTGTTGCTTCGGTGGGACTGGAGCATTGACTCGAGGTTATTAAAATTTGTTTTCATTTCATAAAATTTCAAAACAGGATTGAAGACTACTTTTTCCAATAAACACTTAAAATAACATTCTAAAATTGTTCTGGAAAAATAAAATTTCAAACCATAGCAATCAAGTTCCTTGATAGGCATGTATTACTTGGATACTTTGATAGGCATATAAGCCAACAAGCAAAGATCTCAAACTAAAGCATAACAACGTTTAGCTCAAACGCCAAACATCAAACTAGACACCATATTTGGTCCATAGTGTCTCTAAATATCAGCCAAAGAAAATGAAGATGAAACATAATTCAATTTAAAGAAGTATTCTTGTAGGAGAAAGAAGTATTCCTGTATTCCATTAAACATTATTTTCCACACATGAACATATATGGCTGTGCTTTCTTACTTTTTTCAATTATATGTTCATTTTCACTTTTGTAAAGAAAACATCAACAGAGGTTTCATACCCAAATAAATAACCCACAAAACTAGAAAGCCGCCCAGCCTGATGCACTCGTCTTTGTTGATCCTGATGTTGCTGAAGGAAGATTCCTCTGCAAACACCAAGAGCAAATGAGCCATAACATATGCATCTATAAAAGAAAACTCCAAACATGGGCTTTTCAACTTATTGGTTAGTCACTAGATAAATGCACAATTCAAGATGTGTCCACAAACACCAAAATTCAGCAACAAACATTTGTGGAAAAATTAATATGCTTCCTAAACTTTCTAAAAGGATATTATTAACAGCTACTGTGATAAGAGGGAACCAATATTATGAACTATAAGCATTGTCATTGTTTGACAATGCAAGTGGAGATAAAGAACATGATCTTTTCAAAACATACATCTGCTTGATAAGATGCAATGCGACCACTGTGTTTTGAGTTAAAGAACATTGATATTTAAGGCCTCATGTATTATGGAAATGTAGCCTATGAAAACAAGAGGCATACCTCAAGTGGAGAAAGATCTGATAAAGGATCAGTAGATAGCTTTGTATTTTCTTTAGGTGCCCTGAGACCAACACCAGGATTAGCAGCAGTCATTCTTGCAGCAGCTGGATCATTTGGAGGTGGTGGGAGCGGCGACCTTATTTTTCCCGCCCCACTTGGTGGTGGTGCGATGCCTAAAGTCTTAGGCTTACCAGTTCCCGAAAGTCCCCCAGATAGACCTGCTGCTGAAAGCATTCCAGTTCCACTGGTTGGTTTAGGCTTCACATTTATACGGATGGTTTCACCTTCCTATAATCCAAGAGTCCAAGATACTGTAAGCTAATTTCATCCAAAATAAGGAAAATTAGCTCTTAAAACCCATATAATAAACTAATATCAATTTACCAACAGTTCAAAGACAAAGGAAATCATCTTTTAAGGATTCATTTAACTGCTAAATCATCCCTCTTAGTTAAATTTTGGTTCATTTTCTGGCCAAAAAGAAAATTTGCCAAAAAAATAAAAACTCACACTGTCTTCACATGCATTGTTATATTAAATCGCTAAAAAGGGGAGAGGAATAAGGAAATTAAGAATACCTTTAGTCTGTGATTTACAGCAGGATGTATATCGATGTGGGTGTCGCTCTCGCTCGTCTCTCCATTCTCCTTCTCGTTTTCTCTCCTAACGTATTTCTCGTGATCCGATAACGCGACATTAAAATCAAACGCCTCATTCCTCTCGGTAAACCCTAGCCCGATAAACGCATGTTTCCCTGTTCCGTCCTCGATCTTAAGCACAAAATACCTGGACGAATCTAGCACCGTCTCTACCGAGTTCTCGCGCTGACCCGGTTGCACAAAACACGCTGCGAAAAGCTCGCCAGAGTTAGGATCCTCTAATCGGATCTCACATCGGTCCTTACAAGACACGACCCGAAGCCTACCGGACCAGATCTTATCGGACTGTAACCACTCCCCACATTTGTAACCGCCGGAAGTAGAACGTGGAGGTATTTTGTAAACGGAAACCTCGCGGACCACCAGGAGGGTGTGCTCCATGGATTCCTCATCCTCCTGAAACGACATAGTTTGGATGGTTGGCTGTAATTCCTTCCGGTGGCTTCTCTGAGGACAGTGAGGGAAATGTGAGATCGTGGACTTGGTTTTGTAAGAGGCAAAATTCCGATAATCTCATAAAGGTGAAGGGTTGTATCAAATACAGACAGAAAGATAGAGAGAGATAGAGTTGCAGAGACGTGGATTCGAAGAGTGATTGATTGGTCAGCTGTAACGAGAGGGAGAGAAATTTATTTGTTTAATTACTGATTTGCCCTTTGTCTCTTTATTAATGACATGACGCGTTCTCCACAGCTGTGTTTGGGAAGGATGAAAATGAACAGTATTTAAACACGAAGAAAATGTGAAAGAAAAATAGTGCAGAATATTCAATTATATTGCTTTGATATTTTCTTCTTTCTTTATCATATATATATTTGTTTAATTACTGATGCCCTTTGTCTCTTTATTAATGACCATGACGTGGCGTTCCTCCCACAGGCTGTGTTTGGGAAAGGAGAAAATGAACAGTCTTAAACAACGAAGAAAATGTGAAAGAAAAATAGTGCAGAATATTCAAATTTATATTGCTTTGATATTTTCTTCTTTCTTTATCATTTCCTCCATATATAATATATTATATATATATATATATTTTTTTTTTTTTACTAGAGAATTTTTAGTTTGAGTGGTTGGATTTTTTTTTCTTTAAGCATCTGTTCAGCTGTTAGATATTTTATAATTTTTCATAAAACATTAAAAACTAAACGTTAGAGGTTAATATTCAAATATTTATATTTTTGAACACTCTAAAAATATGATTTAGCCAAAATTTCTAAAAATTAGTTTAAATGTTGTTTTACCCAACATTATAAAAAAATATCGTTTAGTCAAAATTTTAAAAAACTATTTAAAAAATTATTATCGAACACAACTTGATTCAAGTTGGATCCATTCTTATGGATGAAGTAAATCCTTGATGGACCGACTCCGTCCACATAGATTTAATCTCAGCTAATGGATATTTTTCTTTTTTTTTTTTTTTTTTAATTTTTTTTTTTTTTTTTATAAAACGATACGCCTACAAATTTCTTTGTTTTGCAATTTATAAACTCTTACATTTTTGTTGCTATTTTTCTTTCCTTCCTCCAATTCTTTCCAAACAAGGCCTAACGTTTTGGATAAACGGGCTTTAGGGCATTTAGCCTCATTAGAATCTGGCCTGGTCTCTGTCTCTCCCTTGACTATAAAAAAGTCATAAACCCTAGTTTTCTTACCTTTACATATCTGCATAAGCTCTTCTTTTTTGCGTCGGTCACTTGACTTTCCCGTGTAACCGAACTGCTGTTCAACTTTTTTCAGACGAGCTTCATACGGTATGGTTCTTATCTTATTAGTCTTTTTTCGTAGCTTTGTGGTGAATGGTTAAGGATCGATTAGGGTTTTGTACCCATCAAAATCAAATGGATATTAGGGTTTTAGGGTTTTACTGATTTGGGTTTTTAACATATTTGATTTGATGATCTCTATTTTTGTTTAAGCAGGCTAGATATCAGTTACAATGTATCTTCAGTTCTATATAAACGAGAATGGTGATAAGGTGTACACAACCAAGGTATGCTTGCTTGCCGTGGTTGTTGTTTGTTTTGTTTCTGCAATAAGCAAGACCTTGTTTCGGCCTTTTTTTCCCTAGCTATTTTCTTTGTGGCTTCTTAAGGATTTTTTCTAATTTTATTTTATTTTTGAATCTTAGCTTTATGCGTTGATCTGCATTTCTTACTGTTATTTTATAGATGTTGAAGATCAACAATATGAAGCCTGTTTCCTTTTCTTTCCTTTTTCTGCTGTTTTTAATGAATCCTAAAAACAATTAATTAGAAAAGAAGTTGATCTGCATTTCTTACTGTTATTTTATAGATGTTGAAGATCAACAATATGAAGCCTGTTTCCTTTTCTTTCCTTTTTCTGCTGTTTTTAATGAATCCTAAAAACAATTAATTAGAAAAGAAGTTGATCTGCATTTCTTACTGTTATTTTATAGATGTTGAAGATCAACAATATGAAGCCTGTTTCCTTTTCTTTCCTTTTTCTGCTGTTTTTAATGAATCCTAAAAACAATTAATTAGAAAAGAAGTTGATCTGCATTTCTTACTGTTATTTTATAGATGTTGAAGATCAACAATATGAAGCCTGTTTCCTTTTCTTTCCTTTTTCTGCTGTTTTTAATGAATCCTAAAAACAATTAATTAGAAAAGAAGTTGATCTGCATTTCTTACTGTTATTTTATAGATGTTGAAGATCAACAATATGAAGCCTGTTTCCTTTTCTTTCCTTTTTCTGCTGTTTTTAATGAATCCTAAAAACAATTAATTAGAAAAGAAGTTGATCTGCATTTCTTACTGTTATTTTATAGATGTTGAAGATCAACAATATGAAGCCTGTTTCCTTTTCTTTCCTTTTTCTGCTGTTTTTAATGAATCCTAAAAACAATTAATTAGAAAAGAAGTTGATCTGCATTTCTTACTGTTATTTTATAGATGTTGAAGATCAACAATATGAAGCCTGTTTCCTTTTCTTTCCTTTTTCTGCTGTTTTTAATGAATCCTAAAAACAATTAATTAGAAAAGAAGTTGATCTGCATTTCTTACTGTTATTTTATAGATGTTGAAGATCAACAATATGAAGCCTGTTTCCTTTTCTTTCCTTTTTCTGCTGTTTTTTATGAATCCTAATAACAATTAATTAGAAAAGAAGAATGCAATTGTCTTTTTGCTGGAATGCATTCTCAAGGTGTATTGCATTATACTATTTTTAATGGGAGTTATAGATATTTTTTAACTGAAATTCATCATTGGTTCAATTTGTGTTTCTGGAAAGCTGTTTGCCAAGCTTGATATTGCTTTTATCATTATTTTGCAACTCGGTTTGACACTGTCACAACTTGTTTGTTTTGATATTATATCTTTTGCTGCTGTTGGATTATTTACATTTGGTTGATTTTGTTAAAATAGAAATGGTTTGAAGAGGATTTTGGTGAATGTGGCTAATTAAATTTTGACTAGCCTGCAACTCTGAACTCTTATGGCCTGCTAGCCCTGACTATTTTGCTTTCCTCTTTCTTAGAAATTGTTTTTAATTGATCTGTTTTTCCTCAACTCAATTGCAGCTCGCTTCTCTCCGGATGACAAATACTCTAGGCAAAGATTTCTTCTAAAGAAGCGCTTTGGATTATTGCCAACCCAACAGACACCTCTAAAGTACTGAGTTTGTAGTGTGCTTAATGCTGTATTGTATTGAAGCATATCTAATTAATATGGAGCTTTCCTTCTCAAGTTCCAAAGAGTGTTCTAAATTTTCTACCATTTTGTGTCTTTGGAATGTAGTTTGTTGCCTGCCATAATGTAGCAAAACTGTTACAGCCAGTATTTGTTGGATGGTTGAAATGCATGGAAGTATCAATGACTTAAAGGCCATTATTGGCCAATTTACAAGTGACTTGCAAAAAATTTGAATCATTGATTTTTCACACAGTTGATGTATTGCACAAACAGACATCAGATGCTATCCACTGGATCTCTTCAACATAGTAGTTGGTGTTGTATGGATGGAATCCCATAATCCAAATGTAACAAATTAGTTTATCATAAGGATAACATTAAGTCTTAATGTTTTAGCGTTCTTACCATCTGTTGCCCACCCTTGTTTATGTGTTGTGAACTTCAGTGCATTTTGTCATGAGTTGATCATTCAGGCAAGTAGGACCTTATACTCATCCAACTACTTCTATATCGACCCTAGCCAGTCGAGGAATTAATTGCTTTCACTCAATGAAAATGTTTATTTCATCAATGAAATATGAATTCAATTTCTTTGAATTATATGTAATTACACTAAATTCGTACGAGGTAAAATTTTTTCCATTCAACCTGAAATTTCTTCGACAAAGATGATTGGATAGGTCATGGTAAAATGAATTACAATTATGTACACCTGTATCCTAATTGAATTGAATTTTTAATTAGCTTTGACTATAATTAATTGTTAATTAGGTTCAAATGGTTTTTAAATCTACAAATTAATACGGGGTTTCAAAGGAAAAAAAAAACATATAATACAAATCTATTTTGATAAATCAAATTAATATCATATCTCAAATAATATGCAATTATGGACCTAAGGCTAAGGGAGCATATGAGCGAATAGTAAATTTATTATATAATATGTATAATTTTATAAATTAAATGGGCTAAAAGTATATTTTTTTATATAATATATGTAATTTTATATTTTATAATAATATATGTAATTTTATATATAATAGTATAATTTTATAAATAAATGGGCTAAAAAAAGTATATTTTTTTATATAATATTATGTATTTTATCAATTGAAGTGTGAAATTTATCTGCCTGTTGATTCTCAATATGCCTTTTTTTTTTTTTTTTATTACATGAAACTCCTCCCCATTTTTATACTCTCACATTATCTGCCCAGTGGATTTTTTTTTTTTTTTATTACATGAAACTCTCCCATTTTTATACTCTCACATTATCTGCCCAGTGATCTCAATATTGCCCTTTTTTTTTTTTTTACATGAAACTCTCCCATTTTTATACTCTCACATAAGTCCCGCACGTGCTAGGTATTATAGTAGAAGTACAAGGTCAATTTCGGAATAGTGTGAAAATTTTCACTTGTTTAAGCAGTGGCAGGAGACGACGACACCAACGACTAATCCCTCCAGTCATCGTATGCCCAGTCTCACTCCACTGCCGATCGTCTCCATTTCACGTACGATTCTCTCTCTATCGGTCTCGAACCTCAGCTCCTCGTTTTCCCAAGCATAATGAAAATATAGATTCTTTTAAATCTTCATTTTATCATCTTTACCTGATTCTACTGCAGGAATGGCCAGAAGTCTAGGAGGATTTCTGGTGCTGCTCGCAGCAGCATTGATCTACTCGGCTTCAGTCGCATCCGCTGCTTCGATCTTTCAACCGATTTCTGACTCTCACCGATCCGCTGCTTTGGAGCTTTTCTCTCCTCGTGATGGCTCCTTTGGAAGGTTGTTAAACCCTAGTTAAAGCCTGTTACTCGTTCCCAGATTGGCAATTCTTTATTTCCTCTCTGCGTGAATAGTCTGCAATCTCATCTCTTTTGTCTGTTGCAATTATTGAACTCTTTAAGATTTGGAGGCCTTGTCCGTTTCCAATATTTTTGCGTGGTTACAAGCGTATTGTTGTGATTGATCTAGTTCTGACTGTGCGATTATTTGATCTGATTAATTAACTTCTGATTTTTTTGATATGTCATGTTGCTATTGCAAATGCTGAGGTCATAATTTTTATTATCAATTATGTAACTTTTTTTTTATATGTTTCTCTTGTACTGGACTGCTGGATATTAAGCTGAATCTGGTTACTGCAAATGAATAATTTTGCATCATTGTGATATTTTTTGTTCATGCTTACAGATGCTACTTTGACGCCGTGGTTATTTTTCTGTAGAGATTTTAGCAAAGTATCTTATAGTGTTTGTTTAACTAATTCCCGATAAGATTTTATGCCTTCAGTTTGGAAGAAACATATGAGGCACTCAGGACATTTGAGGTTCTTGGAATCGATAAAAGTGTTGCAGCTTGTCAATTAGTATCAGAAAGCCTGAAGTCATCATCTTCTGCTTCAAAAGATTTATTCTTTGCATTAAAAGTGAATGGAATATTAAAATGTGAGATCAATGACGGGGTTTATGAGGTATTTATTTTCTCCATCATATTTGTTGCCAGTCTGAAAGGTTTTAGCTTTTGCCTGTGGAAGTTACCAAAACATCTTCTATTGTCTGACCTTAGAATTTTCTTTTTCTTATGCTATCAAGGGCATTATTTCAAAACTGAAATCTTCCGTCAGCAGTGCAAGTTCGTTGCTTGATTTCTACCATTCAATAGGAAGTCTGGTACTTATCAAGGTAATAATGAATTGGAATGCTATTAGATTTTATAGTTGTTGTCCTGCATTTAGATAGAATGAATTGGAAAATATTTAACCTTGTTTTCTGATTGCCTATCTGATAAATTGAAGATTTTACCCCTCTAATTATGGTATGTTATAGGTTCAAATATTGTTGAGCATGGGAATACAATGGACTTGTAATTGTGAAACATTTCTTTCATATTTTTTTTAACTTCATTTCTATTTGGTCGTCTTCTACTAAGAGAATGAAGCTTTTGATCTTGGTTATGTATTACTGTACTTGCTGGCTTTGGTAAATGGTTCTGGTCTGATGTATTGTTTAATTTTTCTCCATGCAGGATCAAACATCTAAAGATGATGTGCATCTTGGAGATGCTGAAGGAACTTTTCACTCCATTAAGGTTGGTATCATTGGCGTTATTGTCACAGTAATGATTAGGCTCAGTACTGGAATGCTCTCTATTGAACTCTTCAGGTCTGACTAGGCCCCTTGTGGGACTTAGTTGCTGATAACCCTTGTGGGACTTGTTGCTGATACAGTGAGATTAGGTTGGGGGGTGGGGGGGGGGGTTGCTGATACAGTGAGATTAGGTTGGGGGGTGGGGGGGGGGGTGTTGTTGGTTTGTAGTCTTTCTGATTTGGGCAGCTAATTTTGGTTAATTATTTTTTTTTCTCTCGTGTATAATTTGGGTTATTACAAATTATTGTCAGGCTTTGGAAGCCCCGAGTTTGATTGATGCTGGAAGACGCAATGTAGACAGAGTGGCGCTATAGTTTCCCCATAATATCCCGAGTCCAGTACCTTTGCTGCAGGGGGGGGGGGGTGTTGTTGGTTTGGTAGTATTTCTGATTTGGCAGCTTATTTTTGGTTTAATTATTTTTTTTTCCTGCGTGTATAATTTGGGTTAATTTACAAATTATTGTCAGGCTTTGAGCCAGAGTGATGGAAGATGGCGCTATAGTTTCAATAATCCCGAGTCCAGTACCTTTGCTGCAGGTAATGATCCATAATTGTTTGTGCACAATTATAACATTTTTTCTTGTGTTAATACTTCCCTATGCTATTGTTTTGGTGTTCCTTTCTGTAATTCCAGCTTGACTTCTTTTACTGCATTTTCATTCTGTTGTAAAGTGCAAGAATATGTAAAATTTCCTATATAAATTCCATTTTGTGTCTTCTTTGATTCTTCTTTGTGGGCATAATTTTACAAAATGATCGACTATTATGTGTATCGAAAATTGACATGCAATTGCGACATACCTAACTGCAAATTTCCAGAAAAGTATGGAGTACCATATTTATATTCAATACGACAACAACTAACTCAATCTCAAACTATTTGGGATTGGCTATATAGATCCTTTGTTTCTCCACTCTGTTCATAACTCTGTGCTAATGTGAAGGAGTAGTAGGTCTTTTCATACATTACCAAAGTTAGCACTTCTGTGCCATATATTGGCAGATGACGCTGTGCTTGGTCTTTTTTCTCAGGTTTAGCACTTGAAGCGCTTGCTGGAGTGGTGTCATTATCGTCTTCTGAGATTGATCAATCTCTGGTAATTTGAAATGTATTCTTTGGCAATGCTGAATTATCAACCTTTTTCTTTTGTGAGCCAGAAATTTATTTCTTTTCTTGTGAGAATAATTCCAGTTAAGGTTAATTTGCTTCTCAAGATTAGAGGTTTAGGAAGTCAATATGGAGCTTATTATTTCCTTAAAATATGTGCTATGGTGCTATACATGGATGCAATTTAATGGAAATATTCTTCTTCCTTTGTAATGGAGCAGAATTCGCTTCATGTTAGTCTTTCTGCTGTTTCACATTACATGTGGTGCAAAGTCTACAATATGGTTGCCTTGTCTATTTTTTTTGATGGTTGTGCTGTGTGTCTTTGTTTTGTCTTAACTGATATTTCTGGTACCTTCAATATGATGAATCTTACATTTGTCTATTGATGGCAGATTGGGACAACTAAAAATGATATATTGAAGTTGTTTGACAGCATTGAGAAGTATGGTACGTATATATTTCTGGTCCAAATGATTGATTACCATGTTGATAACTATGTACTGCTTCTACTCATATGGTTCATGTTGGAATATTTGTCATTTACCATTCTTAACAGTCTATTAAACATTGCACTTTTCTCAATAGCAGTGCAAACAACAATACCTTATGGACCCACAATGCATCTAGGAATGTTTTTTAAGAAGCATAAAGTCATCTGTTGCTGAGCTTTCTATAAATCCATTTTGATAATATATTGCTAGCATTATCATTTAGGTGAGGCTAAATTTGTAGGACTTGCTTGTGTTCTTGGACAAAACTGCATATTACACGGGATTTTTATGTTGAGGTTGTGACTGGTTTTGTGAAATATCTTGTGGGACCAATCGACTTGATGCAGTCTACTCCATACTTATTTTCAACTTTAATCTTACTTCTTAAAGCAAAATATCTTTAGTTTTTAGGCTATGCAATTAGATATAGTTGACATCTATTATTATTTTCGTTATTATGTTGTGCTATAACATGTTTAATAAGCTATATCTCCTTATTCTAGATGATGGGGCTTTTTTCTTTGATGAGAAACTGGTTGATGCAAATGAATATCGAGGTCCTCTTTCAACCACATCATCTGTTGTTAGAGGATTTACTGCATTTGAAGCTGTGACTCCGGGAAGCTTAAATGTCAGTCAGAATTATCAATTTTGTGAATCTAATATCGCTAATTTTCTTCTGAAAGTGCTACTGAAATTTTTTTGTTTGTTTGGTTTTTTAGCTTCCAGGTGACAAAATTGTTGGTTTGGCAAAGTTTTTCCTGGGCATTGGAATTCCTGGTGATGCCAAAGACTTATTCAACCAAGTAGACTCCTTGAGTCGCTTGGAGAGCAATAGGCAAGTTCTTTTTCAATGTTTTTCTGCATGCTATATTCCCCCCCACACCCCCCTCCCCAACCCACACAATTTTATAATGTATATAAATCATATGTTGTAAGGAACCATTGAGATAGTTGCTTGTCAGACAATGGGTGTAATTGGTTCTATCAGAAGAACTCAATAATTGGTAATAAATTTTGGGAAACACTAAATAACTTATGGAACATGCCATAAATTCTTATAACTATTTTCATTAAATGTGAACAGAGCTTGGAAATTGAGTTCTCAATTTTAACATATTCTTTTTTCAAATTATGAGGTTTCGATTTTACTTCCTGGTGCAGGGTTTCCATCCCTCTGATTTTATCGCTTCCAGCAACAGTGCTGTCATTGACAAAGAAGGAACCACTTAAGGTGTACTGCCATTCATATGATAATGAATCTTGTAGACTGTCCTTTTTAGCTTACTCAATTTTTGCTTGCTTTTATAACTACCTTCTTTTTTCTTCATATCTGGAATCTTTATGAAGTCAGAGCCAATAATAATTTTTTTCCTTGCACATGAGTTTTCTAACATTTATGATCTTATGAAAGTTCTGAAGGTGTCCTGTATCTCTGGCATCAATTAATTGTAACTATGTATGTATAATGCTGTGTTAATATTTTCAGGTTAAGGTGAATACTGTGCTTGGTTCAAATGCACCTCCCTTGATGGTAAAACTTGTAAGAGTTTCCAGTTCTGGTTCAAAGGATGCTCCCATAATTGAGAACCAGGTGTGGCTATGATTCAATTTTGGTCAATTGGGTTCATTTTATTCTCAGCTATCTATTGCTTCTCTCCTGCTTAGTCTCTTCTAGTTCAGTGGATTTTACCCTTGATGAATTGCATTTCTTCAATTTTGTGATTTAGGAACTCAGCTTTGACGATGAAAGAGCAGAGCATTTCTTGGATGGTTTATCAAAGAGTTTTGATGTTGGAATTTACATTTTTGTTTTTGAGGTATTTCTTTTTCCTTTGATGCTTCAGATGTCTTTTAGCTGTGTTTCAATCCTTTATATGGTCAACCAATTTTTGCAGGCGGTGCTCCATGATCCTGAGCAGGCAAAAGTTTATACCTTGGGAAGCGAAACCGAAGTTCCAGTTTTTTTCACAGGAGTTGTTGAAGTTGATAATGCTGAAATTGAAGTGCTTGATAGTGACCATGGGCTTGCAGAGAGCCAAAGGAAGTATGCTTACATCCTTCAACCTTTATCTATGATGCCTTACACCTTACTATAGATGTGTATGATGTCATAGCATGTTGGAATGTGGTCTCTAGAAATTCATACTCTCTATTGAGTTATTTTTCACTGGAATCAACTGCAAAACTTTAATTAGGGTATGATTCTACTTCTTGGATCATGCAGACTAGATTTAGCTGGAGAAGATCTTGTATCACTATCAGCAAACCACCTCCAGAAGCTGCACCTCTCTTTTAAATTGACCACTCCTCTTGGCCATGCTTTTAGGCCACACCAGGTCTGCAGTTCTCTCTGTCTTCCTGTTGTGTAGCAACCTTTGCAAATTTAATTGTTGAGGTTTCTTTCTTTGCAGGCAATTCTTAAGTTGAGACATGAAACTGGTGTTGAGCATATCCTTTTGGTGGGGAACTCGGGACGGAAGTTTGATATAATTCTAGTTAAGTTATTTTCATAATGCCTTTATTCTTTTTGTCAGTTTGTCCATCTGTCTGTCTTCTCTCTCTCTCTCTCTCTCTCTCTCCTGTTAATTACTTTTTCAAATTCAACCTGCTATCAGCAGAACTGCATTTTATTGGTAAATCAATGCATAGAAATCAGGGGATGTCTTCTCTCCCCAGCAAGTGGGATCTGATAGTGGATATATCAAGATGATGGTAAACTGCTGTACAGAAAGTTAATGAACAGGGAGTTCTTGAGTACATGTCCAATACCTTTTTACATTTCTTAGGGTGCATGATGAACATGACTGACTCTTTAACTTCCCTTGAGGGTGAAGTTGTCATCCAGACCCTCATTGTTTTGTAATATGATCAGGATTTACTGACTTCCCTCCCTGTGCTTCTGTTTTGCACCAGTGTTGTTTGCTTATCTCAGAAAATTAAATTTTGCAATATTTTTTTGATATTCTACAATTTGCCTTGTAGGATTTTCTTGGACTCGTTGAGAAATTTTACTATCTATCTGGCAGATATGACATTCAGTTGACTGTTGGTGATGCAGTCATGGTAGGTTTCCTTTTATTCTTAAATATTTTTCTTACTTCTGTTTGTTTGTTCTAGTTTACAATATTAGAATAATACAATTGTGTTTTTCTTCCTCAGGAGAACTCTTTCTTAAAGGTTATTGGTCATGTAGACCTAGACCTACCAGAACCACCTGAAAAGGCACCCCGTCCTCCCCTGCAGCCAGTTGAACTATACTCAAGATACGGCCCAAAGGCTGAGATAACCCACATCTTTAGGGCACCTGAAAAGCGTCCGCCTGAGGAGCTCTCCCTTGCTTTCTTGGGTCTTACACTTGTGCCATTCATTGGATTCTTAATTGGGGTGAGTTGCATATTAATATTTGTTAGAAATTTATGAACATGTGAGATATGTTGTTATCTTCTTTTGAAAAGCTTATAATATGCCTAGACTGGATTGACTTCTTGGTCACTGAAATGGTTGGATATCCATGCTGTGCACAGAGCTTTTGTACAAATAATATGTTTTTATCTTTTGTTCAGTGAATTGGTTAGTCTTTTCTAGCTTGTTTAGGACACCAAGTACTGGATTCATCTTGGTACATGTCTCCATGCGCGCAAGTGAGCTTGTTACAACATTAAATTTCTGGTTGAAATTAGGTTTTAGGTTTTTGGGATCAGGATCTGCTAGTGTAGTAACTTGTCATATGACCTCAGTGTGAAAGGCCTGGAGTCTGCACCTGGTTTATAATAGAAAATGAAGGTACCTTTTTTGTGTTCTATAATTCACCCAAATAGGGGAGAGTTAAGAGTTCAAAGTATCCCGGAGCCCATTATTTGTGCCTGTTTTTTGTTGGCATGTGATGTGAACCAGTTCGCTCACAAGGTGGTAATTAGTAACATATGTTAACATGCTTTTTCTTTTGGCAGCTTTTACGTCTAGGGATAAACCTGAAGAATTTCCCTTCTTCACCTATACCTGCTACATTTGCCATCCTCTTCCATTTTGGAATCGCAGCAGTTCTGTCGCTCTATGTGCTTTTCTGGCTAAAGGTACGTTTTTTGACTTTTGTTTATTTCTGCAAATGTTGGATGGCGTCTGCTAGGTGCTGAACTACTGTGATTATGCAGTTCTGGTTTTCTTTGAACTTTGATTTACTGATATCTATTGCCTAATCTGCTGACTTTTGTTGCACTAAATATACCTTTAACTCGGTAGTCATAATAGCATTTCATTCTTGGTTATTTCATTACCTAGCAGAAGGGGCATTCAAATAGAAACTTATAGTATATCTAGTGTTTTATTGACCTTATTTATTTATTGGGTGAACAGTTGGATCTTTTTACAACATTGAAAGCGCTTGGTTTCTTGGGAGCTTTCCTGATGTTTGTTGGACACAGAACCCTTTCCTACCTGGCATCAACGTCAACCAAGGTGAAATCTGCTTGAAGACACCATGAAAACCCAACTACTGAGCTAGGATAAAAGTGAGGAACGAGTGAAACACTGTTAGACAGTTTGACTCAATTTTGTAGGATTTTATTTGATGAACCTTATATTCTGTTGAGTATTTTACTACACATTTATTTGAAAGAAGAAAAAAAAAAAATTTTATAGAGTCAATGACTTTCTCATCTATTGGATTTCCCTTTCAAGCTGTTGAGGTGAGTTGTGATGGTAAAGACTATTTCTGTGTTGGGAAGTGCATTTGGCATATCAGTTCTTACAGGCCACTGTTTTTCTCGAGGCAGTTGCTTATTCAGTGTTAATATGACATGGCCAAGCAAGGAGCTAAAAACAGTAAAGCAACTATATATACAAAGAATGTTATTTTCTGCATGTCCTGTTGTATGAGGTAGAGAATTAAGCACGAGGAAGAAGGATACAAAATTTTTTTAGTTTTGATGCCAATTGTTTCTCTACCATTCAATTAAAACTAGATTGGTGTATTTTATGAGATTCATATCCAAAAGCCAAAAATTCTCATTATTACAAACTTGTCTTCATTCGGAAAGATTAGTGATCAATTATATACATCTCACGTTTATACTTGTAATGTGGAATTTAAATTATGTAACCATAATGTTCTCTGCGCAAGTGGACAAACAGTGCATCACGTTTATACTTGATATGACCCTTGAGATTTGAGAACCATACCTAAAAAATATTTTCCAGATCCAAATCATTGATGTCGTGTCTTCGAAAATCATGATAGAGATCAATGTTCAAATTCGTGAAAACGAAAACGGTAAAAAAAAAAAAAAAAAAAAAAAAAAAAAAAAAAAAAAAACCTAAACAAATAATTTTCCAGATCCAAATCATTGATGTCGGTGTCCTTCCGAAAATCATGAATAGAAGATCAATGTTCACATTCGTGAAAACGAAAACGGTAAAAAAAAAAAAAAAAAAAAAAAAGAAAGAAAAAAAAAAAAAAAAAAAAAAAAGAAAAAGAAAAAAACAATATACTCTTTTTCTAAAGAAAAAGCTAGAGCCTCCATTTTACATTATCTTACGGGGTTTAGATTGAGTTTTCTGCTATGCAATAGGAATAGCTTTAAGTAATTAATTATTCATTTATTTTTAACATTCCCAAATGGCTAGAAAAACCCAAATTAATTATTTTATATCATATTAAGTACTAAAAAAGAAATTTATTTCTTATTAATTAAAATCTGAATTAAGGTTGTAGCTTAACCTAACAAATTTTGGAGAAGCCTTTCAAAGGTGGAGAATACAAACAAACAGAAACAGACATAAGCACATAAACATATATCTGTCTTGAAAAGAAAAGACGCAAACAGTACTGTCTTCCTCAAAAAGAAAACCAAACAATTAATGCAGGTTGCATCATATTATATGTCTGTCTTTAATTACAAATACAACAAAAAGAGAACCAACAACAACAACAACATGCCATTCCAATCTGGTAATTTTTGATTCAATGCCTCATATATGCTTTATTCCTTTCTTCTATTTAAATATAACTACCAACCCCATTAACCTAATTTCAATCTCTCATTTTTCATATGACGACTTCTTCTCTTGTCCTTTCTTTATACACCCACTGTTAGAACATGCATCTTTCTTACATATATGTCATAAATCAAATTCACATTTAACTTTTTTTCTTTTGCAACAAAAATGTTTGATTTTGAAATTAATTCATTTTAATTTTTCTTAAATATACTTTTTTTTTTCCTAGTTATTGACATGAGTGCGCATTTAGCTATGAACACAGTATGATGGATAGCTTTCTCCATTTTTATAATCTTTCAACAACTGAAATAAGTAAAGGGAAAAAGAAAAACAATTCTTAACAAGCTTATCTGAAGATTTCAAATAAAAACAATTGATTGTCGAAAGTCAGATTTTATTGAAGACAAGTGATTAAAGGAAGAAGAACTATTTAATAATTAGGTAACAGTTGCTTAATGAATTGATTCTTTTAATGTTTATAGTGACTGAGTGAAATGGAAGCAAGACTTCATCTTCTGTTTATACATACCAAATTGTAACACACTAACACTTAAAAAATTGATATTATTTTACCAATTTAAAAAAATTAAAATTATATATATAATAGATTTTTGTGTATATCTCTAACAAAATTATATTCAAGAAAAAGGAATTGGAAGAAAAGAAGCTAAAGAGATGGCAACGAAGAGCATTGGTGCCTTCATGAATAAGGCAGCAAAGCCCGAGTCAGACAATTGAGAACAAAAGAGAATGAAGCCAACGGTCGAGATTCAACAAAGAAAATTTCTTATATTATTATTTTATGGTTGGCTCCAAATATGGGAATAAGATTCATCTTTTTGTTTGGTACAGAAAATAAAAATTTTAATTTTTTTAGTAATGTTTTTACGTTTGAATTACATGAAAATGATATCCAACTATTTAATCATAATTTTTTAGATAATCATTAATTTTAATTTTTAATTTTCAATTTTCAATTTATTTAGCGATGAGATGGTTTCATGGTTTACTCCTTAATTATATATACTAAGTCAACTTAATTCATCCCTCGACCCATTTGTCATATTTCATATTCTCGTTTTATGATTAATCCTAAATGAGCGAATTCGATAGATTATTTACACCAAAATTACAGAATTTAAAATTGTAAAAATTACTTCATTTTCTGATCTGGTTCTAAAGGCAAGATTTAAAAATTCGTTTGTATTTTTCAATTATGTTTCTAGAAAAGAAAAAAAAAAAAAAAAAAGGTTCATTATGTTTCCCTAGAAAAAGCAAAAAAAAAAAAAAAAAAAAAAAAAAGGTGAAACACATGAAATAATTCGCAATTAAGGATAAATGATAGTACATGAAGAATTGATGCTTTTGACAAGAGAAGAAAAAGGAGAGTGTCATCACATATATAACAAAAAATATGAAAAAAAAATAATTATTGAAGTGACTTTAAGATTTTGAAAAGAAAAGAAAAGAGACACAACACATCAATTATATGCCATGTGTCAATGAAATTCAATAATATTATTACCTTTACAAGGAACCAATTAAGATTTAAGAGCGTGAATTCATGATTTTCTGTCTCATATTAATGTTTAATTTCAACTTAATCATAAATCAACACGCAAAGTTCAGTATTTTTCAAAATTAGAGAGACCATTGAGATTATTATCCTCGTAATTTAATATCACTAAATTAAAATTTATTAATTATTTCAATCATTGGAATTTGTATGGACTTTCTTTTTTACGTAGTAAAGCAAGCAAAAAATTTATTATTTTTAAATTAACCTTATACTTCTCTTACCTACATAAGTCAAAAGAAGAAATATTTGTTTCTGAAACTTTTAACAGAATATGAACAATTACAGTATAAGGTTCTCCATATCATTCGGTTTGATTCTTTCAAAATTTATTTTTATACAAGAAAATAAACAAATATATATATAAGACACAGAAAGAAATTAAGGTTTTTTAATAATAAACATTTATGTTTCTTTTATTCAAAGAGAAAATTAATTATAGCCAATATAATTGCAAATTAAAATTATAAACGTAGTATCTTTGAGTAATATTTATTAAATAAATATTAATCTTACCCTCTTTAATGGTAAAAAGAGAAAGAATTAATTAGCATATCAGGAATTTTAGGATGAGACAGAAATCTTGCAATGCGAATCTTAACCAGAAGCACCTAACATCACGCGGTTTGAAGAATCCAAAAGAAATTATCTTGATGCTAATCAAGAATATTTTTAGATATGATTTCAGTAAGTAAATATATATATGATAAATATAAATAATTTGTACATCATTACATGGATGCCAAAATATTTGTATACAAAAAAAAAAAAAAAAAAAAAAAAAAAAAAAAAAAAAAAAAAAAAAAAAAAAAAAAAAAAAAAAAAAAAAAAAAAAAAACCCTAAGCAAACTAACACAAATCTTGATTTCCTAATTAAAACATTTGATCCAATCAAACCTAGAGTTTTCCCTCAAATCCAAACACCACAAATTACATATATCATAAATCAACAAATGGGTATATACATAAATATATTTTTTTTCTTTTTCTAATAAAAAAAATTATAGCAAAACCATATTATTATTATTACCCATTTCAAATCTAATATTTTCCAAGCTTGAAGCTCCTCCATCTCCCATATCAGTTTCTTCCAAGTGCATGTCATCCCACAGAAACCCATAATCATCGTTTTCCTTAGAGCTCATGTCAGTAGTAGTAGTTATAGGGTTTGTGTTATTTCTTTCATGTGAAAGTTGGAGAAGGTTTAATAAAGAGGTCTGGTCATGGCTTATTTGATGTGGAGAAGATAATGAGGTGATTTGCTGATGAAACCCACAAACCAGAGCTTGTTGGCCAGTTAATGGAGGAGAAACTGCTAAATTTAATGGACCACTACTATCTGTTGTCTCAAACATGTACTGTGGGTTATATAATTTGTTGCTGTTTTCTCCTTTGCTTTTGTGAAATACTCTACATAATACCCAGTCCTCCTGTAATTCACACAAAAATAATTAGTTTTTAAACCAATAAATTAATTATAACTCGTAACCCAGTACACGAAACATCATATATTTGTAAACTCCAATCAGAGTTGATATATGTAATATTTCTCCGCTTTTACAGGAAAACTCTTTCAAGTTACAAAGAAGTAACTTTGTTATTACACTGAAATTAATATATATATATTTTTGGTATAGTAGAAGAAAATATTTGAATTGGAGCCACACAAATTTTAGGTCATGTGAGACAAGAAAGGGACAAGTGCCTTGCATGAGAGTCACAACTCATTGAAGTATGTCTACTTCAGAGTTTCCAATGAGAGAACATGGTCTCTCTTCTCCTATTATGACCTGCTCTATCCTTACCCGTTAATTCTGTCTCTCAAAAATTATTATTCATCAATTATTCTGTACATTCTATGCATTCTGTACTTTTCTTTCACATTCTTGTAGGATGGATATGTTTTTAAAATTATTAAAGTCAAAAGTATAATGATTAGAACAACTGTCATTATCTGTTATGAGATAGACACTCGATTATTAACCGGAACTCCAGATCATCTGATTACTAATTAACCGTACAAATTATATATGAACAGTATTAGACATAGAAGTTACCTTAGGAGGCATATGTGGGGTCTCAAGACGAAACTCATGCATGATCCAACCAGTCTTGATCCCATTAGGAGCTCTGTTCCTGTAGAACACTAAAGTCTTTCTCATTCCTACAATCTCACGAGTTGCAGGGTCCAGAACTGTACGATCTTTTCCTGTAGCTTTCCAGTATCCAGATGTCGTTGCCCTGTTGGTTCGAAATCCGGTTGCGTACTTCCGGTCTCTGAAGCTGAAGAAATACCACTCATTTGCGTTTAGCTTAGCCACCTCTGCATAATTGCATACACAAGTGGGTAAGTGTAATTAAGAGTTAGATAAAACAAAGCTTTCATAAACATAGTTTAATGTCTCGTAAATGGTTAAGGTTTTCACTTTTTAAATAGTTACTTGTACAAACCATATATTATTTTTATTTCTTGTTTAAATTATTAATATTCACCATATAAACTACAAACTTGAAAGAAAAAAAAAAAAGAAAATTACAAATATTAATATCATTTTATGGTATGAAATTCTATTTTCATGATATTCATTTAGTATCATAATTAAGAAAAAGAGCAAGAAAAAACATATTTATTATTAGGAGTAAATTTTAATTTGTAAAACAAAAAAAGAAAGGATTTTTTATTATTTTTAAATAATTATTAGTTTTCATTTATACTGTTGACTAAAGAGTATGTAGGCCAAAGTTTCTCTCCTGAATAGAATAATTACCCAGAAATAATGATGGTGAGTTATGTCATTTCATGATGAGTCGTGTCTAAGAAATTAAAGAAACCTAAGCAATCATTTTTCAACTATTCATCTATAAATCTGGAGTATATGGAAGAAACAAAGAAAAAATTGCTAAAAAAATTTCTTTATTTTTTTTAGAAAAGAAGAAATCCAATTTGTTTCTATAGGACTAAACCAGAATTTAAGTTAGGGACGAACACTGAAATAACTAAATTGAGGGGTGAAAATAGTTAAAAAAGAATTTTAAAAAGCTGTAAATCCTGAACTTGAACAACAAACTTACATCAAAAAAAATTTTTTTTAATATATAATTACTGACTCGGGTGGAAGCTTCAATTCCTTAATATTTAAAATAAACGAAAAGAGAAAAGAAAAGAAAAGTGTTTTTAAATTAACCCTACTTGTGTATAAGACAACTATGATTAAGCACAAAATAGACTGTAATTAAGGTATATAGATATGGCGACTGCAAGCATGCATTGGCCCATTGTTTGACTCCTGAGGTGGTAACTGGTAAGAGACTAGAAGAAGAAGAAGCAGCAGCAGCAGCTTGCCACACGGTTCAACAAAAATAATACTTGAAACATAAAATAGTGATGTCAAGATCACCTACAACAAAAATAATACTTGAAACATAAAATAGTGATGTCAAGATCACCTAATTATTAATAATTCTTGGCTATTATTAATTATTATTATTTCTTTGTTCAATGAACTTTAAGCCTATCATTAATGTCACTATATATTAGCTGAGGTTAATAGAAGTCAAAACCAAGAAAAAAAAAAAACGAAATTTCGGAAAGTTTTTGCCAAAACAAAGTCTCCTGAAAACATATTATCTCTTCAAAGTTACTGAATTGCATTCCAAGTTTAAAGTTTGTTTGGATGTAGGTTATGTTAAAACAAAGAATAACTCGATAAGACATGAGTTATTTTTATATATGTAAAATTATAAATAGAATGAAATTAACCGTATTACTGTTGATGTAAATTATTTGTAAACTTTTGAAAAAAATCTGTTGGGATTAACAGTAAAAGTAATATTTTTATAATTTTCATACCAGAAAAGTAGTTTATTTATTATAATGGAGAATACGCGGTTTTTGGCATATAAGACTTGCCATGAAAGCAATTCTTGGAATTGTAGAGGATAAGCATATCCCAAGAAAGGTGGTATATATGAACTGGGTCTAGCTTATTAGGAATCAGAAAATATCATTATTTCTTCAAAATTCTTGCTTTCCAAACATTACCAATCATATATATCTAAACAAATATCAAAGAAGATAATAATAACAACAGGAAGAATAAAAATAAAGAAGAAAAAGTTAGATATACATATATATATAGAAAATAATATCATACTTATCCAAAAAATAAATAATCAAAAGAGGATAAAAATGTTTTTGATGGCTGAGAAGACATTGATATAACTCTGAAAACAAGGAAGCCAAAACTTGCTATATGAATTATAATATTGACATATTAATAATGACTAATTTCTTGTTTTACAAAACAAGAAAAGTAGAAAAACAGAAAGACAGAGCTTCTTTGGCCAGAAATGAAACTGGCATTCCCATTCAAGAACTGTATATACATAGTCTGTAATGAAAACCATGCTGTTTGAAATATATAAGTTTTTTCCTTTTTTTTTTTTTTTTAAAAAAACTTTTTTTTTTTTTTTTTTTTTTTTTTTTTTTTTTAAAAAAAATGGAATTATTATTATCCTGCAAAGAACAAACAAGGTATCTTTCTACTTCAAACAGAAAAATGAAATTAATAAAAGAAAAAGGCTAAGAAAGTAAGTAAAAGAGAAAACAAACCAGGAAGCTGCCATGGCTCGCAAGTATGCAAGTCGATTTCGACTAAAGTACCCTTGAGAACTTCTTCATTAGTGATTTTCTTGTAAAGATAATGGCAGACCAGTTCCTCATCACTTGGATAGAATCTAAAACCAGGAGGCAAACTTGCTCCAATGTCTCTTAGCCCCATTTTTGTACTGTTTTTGTTGTCTTTTAATTGGAAGAAGAAGCTGAGATATGTAGGGGAATTTTCAGTTATAGAGAAAAGGAATGTGTTTTTGAAAGAAAGAAAGAAAGAAAGAACAGTGATGTTTGGGTTTTCTTAGTTTGAGATATAGAAATATAATATGGAAGAGAAAGGGTTGGTATAATGTACATATATAGTTGGAGTTTGCCTGTCTGTTAGAATTTCTTACAATATTCTAACAATGGGTCCATGTCTATGTAACCACATAGAAGAGTTATTGTAGGGAAGTTTCAAGAAATACCAAAGTTACAAGAAATTAAAAATACAAACATATGTAGACAAAACCAAAAAAATCCATATAAAATTTTTATTAGAGAAACATTCCAAAACTCTCCTTTATAAAATATATGCATAAAGCAAAAAAATTTATTAACTCAATTACAAGGATTAATTAACAGACCAACAAACAAACAAACAAATAATAATAATTAAGAACAAGGGTATTTAATTAATTAATTAATTAATTAATTGTGTCAAAAACATTATAATTCACGTGCCCTACACGTTGTCTAAATTGAAATGAAAGAAAAATAATAATTGATGAAGCAATGTGTATATTCTTCTTCCATGGATTATTTTTGATTCACTTTTTTGATTATTGACTCTTGTCCTTACTTTGTATTATTTTTCCCATCAATCCCTCTTTGCGTCACCCAAATGTTAAATCATAAGGAATCCCATGGCCATTCTCCTTCCTAATTCCTACCTTCCACCCAATTTTTCCATCTAAATCTAATATTTTTTTAGCCTAATTAAATTATTTTCTAATAATAATTATTTATTTTTTATGCTAGATAACATTCACACTTGCTTTTTCTTTTTCTTTTTTTTTTTTTTTTTTTCTTGGTTTTTTTTTTTTTTTTTATTCTTGATCACACGTACATAATAATTAGGAAACTGAACTGCATGCACACTAGAATATTAATTAGAAAGTTATAATTAAGATTTTATAATTTCTATCTTAGGATCATTTATATTCAATTAGTCTTTGACTTTTTGTTAAACTCCCACATATTGCAATTCATGTAATTTTTATTAGGTTCTATGATCATATTCAAATCAAAATTTTGATTGTTGTATTAACATATACACCTTCCTAAATCACCTCAATCAAAGCATGTTTTTTTGGAACATAGAACATAGCAAGTAAATACAACCAAACCCACACAATACGACATTTCTTGAAAATTTTAATTTGCAAAAAAGTCTTTTTTTTTTTTTCCCTCTATTTATGATTCATTAGTTTTCATTTGTACATATCAGATCAAGATATTTCATTTCCAAATTATATTATCCTTATAGAAATTTTATGTATTTATAATTGATATTATTTGGCCTAATCCATTAGTTATTATGTATTTCAGATTAGTTATTCTGTTATTAAATGCTATTAGATGGATTCAAAGATAAGCGAACGTAGGAGCTTATGTTTGTTTTCAAGCATTTGAGTCGATTCCACATAGTTTGTTACTTTTCTATACTTTTTAATGCAAATTTCTATTTTGATTGCTTTCAAAAAAAAAAAAAAAAAAAAAAAAAAAAAAAAAAAAAGAAATTATTATATTCTAATTTAAAAAAAAAAAAAAAAAAAAAAGAAATTATATATTCTAATTAAAAAATTAAAGAATAAGAGAGATTTTTCAAAAAAAATTCAGAAATAAATTTATGTATATATTAAATTACTTTTTTATGTATAAAATCATTCATTCTTTTATAATAAATTTATATGGATAATCTTAAATTTTTACGGGAAATTAAAAAAAAAAGACAAAATTTAAATTATAAGACATTAATGAGCTTTGTCTTAATGATATTGGAATCATCTTTAAAATTATTGATTCCCACTTTTAGCCGTCAAATTAACAAAAAAAAACAAAAAAAAAAATTAGAAGCCAAGCAAATAAAAGATTTAATGATGGAGCTTCCTATTCATAAATATAAAGATTAGCTAAATTATGATGGGTACTATGTTTTATTATGTATTTAAATATGGAAAGTGGTGATTAAAATCCAAGATAATGCATAATTAAACTATAAATTAATGGTTTATGCATGAGATTAATTATTAATCATTAATTAGTTGGATCATTCCATCAAAGGGGCCATATATACCCTACTGTTCAACGAAATTCCCAAGAACAAAATGTCCCAAGCACGTGAACCATTTTGATTGATCTAAGACCTAAAAACATGGACAGCTCAAGAAAATAAATAATCATCAAATCATTAAAATAGCTGGAAAATTAAATTAAATTAAATTTTTTATGTTTTAAAATTTTTAATCATCAAACTCATAAGCTAGAGACTGGAGAGTCCCATTTGTTCAATTTTCGATCACATACAGAATATTTTTGGATTGATGCAAAGGATAAAAAGGTGGGCCACTCTAATTGTCCTTTGAGATTGTAGGGTCCACTAATGATGAAGGAAAGTAGGTCCCACTTATATCAATTACATAATTTTCTGTGGAGCTTATCTAATTATTAATTCAATTGTAGTTAGTTTTTTTATTTTTATTATTATTATTATTTTAATTTTTTGGATGAGTAATGTCGCAAAGGCAATAATAATGGGTATATGGACAAAAGGGTATTTGTCATAACATGTATCATCATCTGATCATAATAATTTGGATGTTAATTCAGATGATGACTGGACTTGGGTCACCTACATGTACGTATATACATATATTAGCCAACCATTCAAATGATCGATATGATAATGAAATTTATCGAATTTCTGTAAATTAATTCGGTTGATAAGTAAATTTAATTTTTATTTTATTGATCGAGATTATCTAATCTTTATGAATATCTAATCTTTTATCAAATTAATAAAATAAACTTTAATACAGTGAGTAAAAACTAAATAGAAAATAAAGATGGAGTTCATCAAATTTGATTTTTCACCTCATGGTCTAGCATGGAGACACACGTACAATAATATCAACATAAAGTCAAGAATGCCCTTTCAACTTCATGTAGGAAACTTGCACAACATGTCAAGAAAAAGCAGTGTAAATGTCAGTGGGCTCTTTAGAGATAATGCCATAATGGGTCATTTTCGCCGTTTACGTATTATTTTTTTATTTATACGTATTGTAGTAGATGATATTTTTACAACTGATGGGGGCAAGGTAAAGAACAAAACAAAGCGACATTTACTAATTCGGTTGGTTTATTTATGATCTTGTCGGGAAAAATACATAAAGAGAGAGTTAATTAATGAGTGATTAAGAGGGAAGGATGTTAAATCAGCAAATTAATTAACATGGAAGTGAAACTTTCTAGTCATAATCATGAGAATATTTAGAATTTCAATGTTGATATTAAACACCTTTTATGTATAATTTTCTTTTTGGTAAATAACCATATATGTTCAATTAATAACATAAGAAAATTAGAGTTAATTACAAAATTGAAAAGAAATATATTTAAAATTACTATTATTCCACATTGGTAATAAATATAAATCGTCTTATCATGTCTTATAAAAGAATATAAAAAAATGAACTCGGGTTCCAGCCTTATTAGCTGGCGAAAAAATTTAATCAATTTGATAAATAATAGTATTTGATAAATATCAAGAGACTTCTCTTTGTTGTAATACATATTTAAACAATTAAAATCATTCAAATTTAATAATCAAGATCTTAATATTAAAGGAGAGAGAATATTATTGTATAAAAAGGAGGAATTGAATGTCAAAGTGTCACGAAATGTTTTTTTTAATTAACTTTTTGCAACATATAAAATAAAAGCTTTTCACCATTAAATTACTAATCTAATAATAATTAATCATAATTAACACTATCATATATATGAGATGAAAAGGAAACACAGAAGATTACATGTTATGAGATGAAAATAAATTAAAAATAAAAAAGGAAACAGGAAGAAGAGTGCAAAAAAAAATGACGAGGATCATAGTGTGATGGATTGAGATTAAGAATAAGGAAAGGAGGAGCCTAAATTAACGGGAGCCAAATGCGGCGTAAGACATGTGAAGCCACAAAGCAAGTAACACGTCATAAACCAAGTGACGTATAGATCTTTCTAAATTCTATAAATAAATAAAAAATGATGACTAACCCATCCAAGGAACAAATACAAAATCATTGTGAGTGGTAGGCTTAGGGTTTTTGCTACCTTGGGAATTTTTGTTAGGTGTCCCTACGTATTAATTGTTTCATTTCATGTTATAGAAAGAGTGACGGCTTCGTATTCCTCCTCTCCTCTCCTCTCCTTTTCTTTTTCATTTTTTTATTCCTACACTCTTATAGCGTAAAATTTTTTGACTCTTTTAGCAAAGTGTTTCTTTTAGAGATCGTATTTATGTTCTCACCTCTTACGGGAATTGAGAACGCTAACCACCTCAATCAACATTTTATTGGTTATTTTTTATACCCTTCTCGATAAAAGAATAATTTCATTTCAGAATTCATTAATCTCATTTCAGAATATATGACTACTTTCTTTGCAACTGTTTTTTTTTTTATCGCGGATCAAACTACGCAATTTTATAAAAATAGTGGGTTAAACTCAAATCTGCCTTGCTTTTTTTTTTTGTTAAATATGAGCAATAATTTGAATTAATTAATATGCTCTCAATCCCTTTAGTATCATTAAGATTTGTATGTGTGTGTCCTTTTACTTAGTATACTTCCATAAGTTATGGGCTCTTTATTATGGGACACACACAAAAGAAAATGAATTGTGGTCCAAAGAATTGTAGCATGAGGTCATGAAAATACTGCCCTATAGTGTTTTGCCAAATCAGCTTGAAATAAATGAGGTGGCATTCTCTAATGTTCTTTGGAAGTTGCTCATTATTAATTAGCAATGTTGTTATCCAAATCATTTCTATGCCCTACATCCTACATATTGACATATGCTGATATTGAAATTTTTTATGCATACAATTATTATTATTATTATTATTATATAATTTTAATGGTTATCCTAACTTATTTCCTATGATTTCCATAGTAAGTTGACAAGAATCATTTTTAGGTATTATTTTATTTTTCTACGTTTATCATTTAACACTTACTGGTTAGTTAATTAACAAATTGTTCTTAATTATGTGGAAATTAACAACAGAGA